GTTATTTTGATTGTATTTGAGTTCTTAGGGGTATTTCTTGTTTGCCCTCTGCTGCCCTCTTGTGTCAGTCTAATTTTCCCTCGCTCCCTTCTAGTCTCCTCCGTTCACAGCTGCTCCCAATCTGCTGATTAGCCTGGTTTCCCATATATGCACCTCCTACTCAGTCACTGTTGCTGGTTTGTTGTCATTTCTTTCTCCCCTTGTTGTGAGTATTCCTGGTTCGCGATTTTTGTGGAGTTATATTTTTGGATCTTTGCTTCTGTTTCCCTTTTTGTGTTAATAAATTTGCAAGTAACCTCCTTCAGCTTCAGTCTGCATTTGGGTCCTCCTTCAGACCTCCACCCTACTGTGACAGGAGTACCACAGGGATCAGTGCTAGGACCAATTCTCTTTACTTTATACATGCTCCCAATTGGTAGAGTTATTAGACAGCATGGGATTAATTTCCACTGTTATGCTGATGATACCCAGCTATATCTGTCTATAATCCAGATGAAGCTAACCCATTACATAGATTACAGGCATGTCTGAAGACATAAAAACCTGGATGACTCTTAACTTTCTGCTTCTGAATGCAGACAAAACAGAAGTTATAGTCTTTGGACCAGAGTCTCTGAAAAAGAAGCTGATTAGCCAGTCACTTCATTTGGATGGGATTAAACTGATTTCAGATAATAAAGTAAAAAATCTTGGTGTTATTTTTGATCAGGACCTGTCATTTAAATCCCAGATCAAAGAGGTTTCTAGAATTTCCTTCTTTCATCTGAGGAACATTGCAAAAATGAGAAATCTCCTGTCCAGGGGTGATGCTGAGAAACTAGTCCATGCATTTGTTACTTCAAGGCTGGACTATTGTAACTCTTTACTATCAGGAAGTCCACACTTCTGAGATTTTAACGGTTCTTATCAGAGTTTTAATTAAATGTCCTGCTGAGTGATGTGATCATCAGATTGGTGCGATGGTGACGCTCAGACCTAACGAGCTTCACACCAACAGCTTGTTACTCTGACTTCAGATGAGTATTTAACGCCAAACACACTGAGAGGATTAATTTAGATTATTGTGGATTTCCGGACCTCCAGAGGACCACCCAGGGTCCGGCTCAGAGGGATGGTCTTGTTCCTCTGCAAGGGTTCTCGCTTAATTCCCCTGGTTCTAAAAGCTCTGGATGTCAAACCCTGAGGGTCCACACAAGATGGTTCCACAAGGACCAGTCCCTCTTTGTCCACCTTGTGTTCTTCAACAGTCAGCTCGTGGAACCGACCCGGTCCAATGACGATGTCCCTCCAAACACGGGTCACACTGACGGTGTGTCCCAGAACACAGAGCTCCTGGTTTTTCCTCCCACATAATGATTCATCTGTGCTAAAGGACAGGTGGAACCGGAATCAGAACCCATCTGTTCAAGCCCCGCCCATCAGGTATAGCAGTATGCAGGCTTTATCAAATTGTCCCCACTTTCCTTGGCTGGTCCCCTACAATTCCTTTGTAAACATCAATCTTTGTACTGAAATATTGTTTCTATCATGATTTGTGGACATTAAGATCTAAAGAGAAGCGCCATCTCCAGGTCAGACCCTGTAATTCAGGGAAAGGGAGGAGTCAGATAAAAAATATGCACGCCCAAGAGAAGGCCAGTGGCTGGAAGGTGGGGGGGATTTTCCTGCCATTTGCCTGGATTTTGATTGGAAGCGCCATTTTGAATGGCTGCTACTGTACATATGTGGGTTTAACAGTAATAATAATACTAATTTAACTTTATTCACATTGGAGAAAGTCCCTCTCTGCATTTAACCCCTCCCCTCGGGGAGCAGTGGGCTGCCATCGTGCAGCGCCCGGAGAGCAGTGTGGGGTTAAGGGTCTTGGTCAGAGAGCCAGAGCGGCAGTCTGCAAGACTAGGGCTTGAACTCACAACCTCTGGATTCCAAGCTCTATGCCCTAACCGTCAGGCCGCCACTCTTACTGAGGACCATCCGTAGACGTCCACTCAGCCTCTGACCTCTCTAAAGCCGAACCACAACCCCAACAACGAGGAGGACCACAATGAGGTCAGACTTGGACTCTGATGTGGATCCTTAATCCTGGAACCTTCAGGAGTCCCTATGGACTCAAATAATGGCTCAGACCTGTAGAACCTCTGAACCTCAGGTTCCTCCTCATCAGGTTCCATCCCTGAAACCATTAAACGCTTCGGTTACGGCCGGCTGTAGATTCAAAATTCAAGAATTTGATCCAATTCTCAAGGTTTAGAATCAGTTTTTTTTTCAATCTGATTTTAAACTGGATTTCTGGGATTGAAAACATTTTTTTTTTTTTGCTGCTACCTGAAAGTCTGGTTCTGTAACACACCGATACCAGAACAACAGTAGCGTCCAACAGTGAAGTTCAAAATAAACGCAGCGGCTGGAGGCTATGAGGACCAAAGGAAAATCACACTTTGACATTTGAATTAATTGATATTTAGGAAAATGTATTCAAATTTTGGAAAACTGATTTTTTTAATACAGTCCTACTTCCTGTAGACCCAGAACCACATCTTCAACCATCAGCAGAAGCATGTTCTGTACGGACAAAGGAAACTGTCTCACTGGTGTTACTGGTTTGAGTCCAGTTGGGTTGATGGGACAGATTAGGGCACATTAACAGTTTGTGTGTGTGTGTGTGGATTAGAGGTGATTAGGCACAAACAGTAATCTGAATCTGGACCCAGACTAAAATCCTTCAGATTAGGTTTAGTTTAATCTTCATCTCACTGATGATGATGATGATGATGTCACAGCTTCATATTGGTCACATGACCCGCCTGCTCTCCTCTGACCTGCTGCCCCCCTGCAGGTCACACACCTTCACCTGGTTCTCCTATGAATCCAGATCACACCAGCAGCCAATCAGATGCCTGTTTTGGTGGAGTGGGAGGGGCTCTGAGAATCACCCTGGATAGAAACATGTTGATGTTCTGATCCGGTCCCAGACTGGGTGCTGAGGTCAGGGGGGGATTTAGGCAATACTCGTCAGGTGCCTGGGGCCCATAAAACTCTGTTTCCATGTACGGTTAATACAACTATTCCTTATTTGTGCAAATTAATTATTTTATTTTATAAAAATGCAATCAGAACGCTGATAATATTAAGTGTGTCTCAGCCCCCCCCCCCCCCCCCTTTCAGTGTCCGCCATATTGGATCAGTCCATTTGCTGCACATCTTCAGAAAGGTCCAAACAGACAGCAGCAAACCATTTGAAAACAAACCATGCAAAGAGCAGTGTTGCCAACTTAGCGCTTTAGTCGCTATATTTAGCCACTTTTCAGACCCCTCTAGCACTTTGATTTCTAAAAAGCTCCTAGCGCCAAATCTAGAGACTTTTTTCTGCTACTGGAGACTTTGGAGACAACATCTAAAAGCAGCGAACTCTGCTCTCCAGAGCGAGTAGATTGGTAACCCCGCCTCCTGCTCTCCTCTATCTTGTCTGCTGTCATGATTCATGCAGCTATTATTTCATCCAAATGAAAAATGGAAAACAGATAAGCAGATCATGGCTTGTCTACAGTGAAAAGAAGGACTGGGTTATTTACTTTGGCCTTTTTGGAAACACAGGAAGGAGCAATCAGCTAAGTGAGCTTAGTGCTTGGAAAAAATCTTTCATTCCTTTAGAGACAGCATGAAAAGTCAGCTGAGTACAAAACATAGAGAGGAAAACAAGAAGAAAAGGGACAAGAAGAGAGGGACACAACCTAGAACAGATAATGGATGTCTATTCTATTAACATTTCTACATCTGGAGAATGGGGCTGTTCTATGTGTTGTCTTCTCCATTCAGAGGGGCCCCTGCCTGTCTTTGCCTAGGGCCCCACATTTCCTAAATCCGGCCCTGACTGAGGTCATACCTCATCGTTGGACTCATTTAAAAAGCAGCAACATTTGTTAAGTTTCTGCTTTAATGTGAACATTTTATTTACTTATTTAGTTAATTCATCAAGTTAATCAGCAGCTGATTTGGTTCCCATAGTTCATAAAAATACAGAACTACATGAAGGTTTGGGTCCAAAGCTGCTAAAAGTTCTGGTTCTGATGGAGGGTCCAACTCAGTCCTCAGATCATAAACTGGACCTGGTTCTGCTCTGTCGCTGGGTTCCAAAGGATTGGATTGATTTGGTTCTGTTGGACTCTAGATGTGGTTCTGAACAGGACCTGCTTTAAAGTGTTGTGAGAAACTGGCTCTGATTTGGTTCAGTGAGAATAGAACTGGTCTGAAACCGGAAGTTTGTTTCAGAAATTCTGCAGAAACCGAATGGGGCTGCAGCCTTGAAGCTTTGGATCAGAACCACTGGAGCTGCAGACCAATCAGACAGTTTAGACTGCACCATTATGGATCGGAACCAGAACCGGAATGTCAGGGTCGCATGGTCACGTGGTCCAAAGTTGTTTTATGAAACATCAGCAGGTGACTTCAGATCAACAGACCCTCAGCTCATCTGACTCCGCGCGCCAGGCGAGTGTATCCATGCACGTGCGCGCGTCCTCTCAATATGTGTGTGTGCGCGTGTCCGTGCATGTGCAGGAATGTGAGTTATTCCGCTGCAGGCTGAACCGAACCGAGTCAGGATCCTCCTGCCGGGACATAACGGACCGACACGCAGAACCCAGAACCGAACCGAACCCCCCTCAGTCCAAAGACCAGAACCCGTTTCATTTCTGTTCACTTTTAAACTCGCTGCTCTCAGCTGAATTCAGCAGTCAGTCAATCCAAAGCCAGCAGAACCGGTACCGAACCACTGGACTGGAACGACATTTCTAAGCCGAATCACAGAGCTTGTACTGTGAGGTCGGTCCAGTTCAGAACCGGTCCGGTACTCAGAACTTTCACGGAGAAAAACAGAGAAACGAAAAAACTCTCCGATTCCTGAAGGGAGTCTGGCGCGCTCCCGTCAGACACGCCTGGCTCGCGCGCTCCTTCATGCAGCGCGAGACAACTTGGATCCAACAGAACCGAGTCCAACTCACCTGGACGAAGAGGTCTGGTTCTGGGTCTTTCAGGGTCCAAATATCCAGAGAGAAGTTCGGTGGATCCAGAGAACCAGCAGAGTCCAGGAGGGACAACAGGTCTGACTGAGACCCCGCCCCACGCAGCCGGCCGGGCCACCCGAACACGCTCCTCCTCACCCAACAACAGGTACCGAGCGGCCCGTGGGCTCCGGAACCCGAACTCTGAGGGAGGGTCTAGTTCTGGACCCCTTAAGGTTCGGATTTTCTGACAAATTCAACTCTGGTCTGATAGAACCGGGACAGAACCAGGTCCATTCAGCCAAACCTTCAACCTTCCCTTTAGAACCTCATCATTCCACAGAGGGTCTGCAGGCAGGTGAGAACACACCTGGGCTTACGTCATCAGAAGTTAGGGAACCTGCAGGAACATGTTAACCCAGACAGAGAGGCTCCACGAAGAAGCTCCATCCAGTCAAACTTCTGGGTTCCACCAGAACCTCCAGTTCATCTTAACAGCTGGACCGAGTTCTTCCAGGTTCTAAGAGGCTCAACTGGTTACCAGAGCTGATGAACTTTGACCTTTTGGACCCACTGCTCACATGAACCGGCTCCAACCTTCGTTCTGATGGTTCTGTCAGAACTCGTTTCTTTGGGCCCTGGAACCAGGAGGAACTGAGCAAACCGCTGAAGGTCTAAAGTTCCCAGAGCCTAGAACTCAGTTCCTCCACCTCACAGCTGATTGGTCCGATGGTTGTCAGTAAAAGTGGGAGGAGCCAGATCATTTCACAGAAAGAAAATCTTAAGATTTTAAAATATCTTCATCCTCAGCGCAACCAGGGAGCTAACTATACGATGGAGTATTAGGGCCAGGGTGGAGATAATTTTTCTTCTATTTCGAGAATAAATTCGTAACATTAAGATAATTAAGTTTTAAATTACGGGAATAAAGTAATCTCTTCCCAGAAGCCCTTTCTTCCCTAAAATAGCGCCAACAGTTCACCAGATCATCCAGTCAGATTGATTCAAAGTTTTCTATCTAAGGAAAACCAGCTGATTGCATCGACTCATTGACTCTTCAGCAATCCCTCACACTAAGCATGCTTGTAGCGACTGTGGAGAGGAAAAACTCCCTTTGAACAGGAAGAAACCTCCAGCAGAACCAGGCTCAGTGTGAGGGATTGCTGAAGAGTCAATGAGTCGATGCCTGGTTGATTCTGGATCCTACAGAACTGTAGTATACTTTTCCCGTGACCCGAATGGATCCTGACCTCCAGGTACTGGATCTTTTTTTAGAAGACAGAACCAGAGAGAACATTTTTCCTTTTCCTTCCTACTGGAAATAAAGCTTCTGTTCTGGTGGAGAACGTTTGACCCTTACTTCAGTAAATAGTGAACATCTGGAGAATTGTTCAAAGATCCAACTTCATCCAAGGTTCTGTCTGAGTTCTTTCAACAATTCTAAATGTCTTCAAGCATAATCTGGAGTTTTAAAAGAGATAAAACTTTAAATGGACCGAATCTCCTTTGGTCCGTCTGTTCTGACCACCGGTCACAGGAACAGTGCCGCGAGGCAGAGGGGATTGACCATTAGGCAATACTAGGGCCCCAAGTTCCTGGGGGCCTCATATGTATGGTTAATACAACTATTCCTTATTTGTGCACATTAATTGTGTTCTTAATAAAAATCCTTTTGCTAAAATGCCATCAGGACGCTGATTATATTAAGTGTGTCTCAGCCCCCCCCTTCAGTGTCCACCATATTGGATCAGTCCATTTGCTGCACATGTTCAAAAAGGTCCAAGCAGCGTTAGCAAACTAGCGCTTTAGTTGCTATATTTAGAGACTTTTCTGCGGAAGCCCAGAGCGGTCGAACTCTATTTATTTTTGTCTTCTCGAGATAATGACATAAATATCTCGTTTTCACGGTTAAACCATTTTTTTCATGAGAATTATCTTGTAATCACGAGTTATTTCTGACTTGAGATAGCGAGATGATTAACCTGTCTGAGTCGTGAGTGAGGCTGGATTCCCAGTCCATCCACGCCTTCGGGGTCTGAAGTTGTTCAGTCGCTTTTAGTTGCTTTAAGTTTACTTTTTCTTTCCACTCATTGCGTAGAAACATTAGAACCAGATCTGTTTTTAAATTAGCATCCTTAATCTGGACTCATTTTGGGGGTTAATGCACCTTCTACCTGTTCCAGGTGTAACACCGGGGCGGGTCAGAAACACCTGGAGGCCCGACCTCGTTTGGTTGGTCGGTTCTGTTCAAACAGAGAACTTTTATTGTGAAAAAACCAGACAAACATCAATTAGCAGAAAATCTTTTATTTCCTGTAAAATAAGGCCTCTTCATCATCATCATCATCATCACTGATTGCACTGAAACGACAGCAGCTCATTGGTCGCTGATCGGCTCTCTGATTGGTTCACAAAGTTAGGGTCAAAATGGCACATTAGAGCCCGGTCCCGTGACCTGTGATCTGGGTCATGTGACTTGATGGCGGCCGTCAGCAGGTCCGTTTCAGCTGCTAAGACCCGGAACAGGAGGGGAACCCGTGCACACGGCCCCGGACACGAGCAGCGCCAGCTGTGACCAGCAGCAGCTTCACTGTCGCAATAACAGGGCTCAGGTGTGTGTGGGGGGCGGAGCCCGCACCTGGTGACCAATCAAAGCAGAAGAACCTTTAAAACTGCTTCAGGTGAGGCTCCGCCCCCTCCGAGTCTCCAGGTGAGCTAAACGGAGGTAAAGCAGCTCAGCCAATGCAGCGGCACCATCATGGATGACATCATCATATCTAATAATCAATAATTTAATCAGTCATTAAAAGCTTTGAAATGTAAAACCACAGGTGAGTGCGCTGATTGAGCTCCACAGGTGACGCCCTGACCAATCACAGCAGGACGGGGAGGGAGACCCGCCCATCAGGGGGAGGAGCCTCAGACAGCAGAAGGACTACTCTAAAAAATTAGGAGTAAAAATCTTAAATTCAGTCACATGATGAACCACCTGACCTGACCTCACTCACGTGGACGCTCGCGTCTCTCACGTGGACGCTCGCGTCCGTCTCTCACACAGCTCTAACATAGAATGGCCTCTGCCGGGTCCTGGCTCTCCGCTGCGTCCTCGCCGTCCTGCTCCGTCTCTCCCAGTAGAACCCGGAGCTCCGACAGTCTCTGCTGCATCTTGGGAACGCCTGACAGCTGGTTCTCCAGGCGCTGCTTCTCCTCCTGGAACAGGAGAACAAACGGCTTTTAGAACACCGACCCGCCAGCTGAGGGAGAGCGTGAGCGCCGTGAACTCACCTGCATGGAGGACCGGGCCGAGGCGTCCAGAGGCTCAAACTTCCATCCTCCTTCGCCGTCGAACTGCAGCAGGTGGGAGTGGTACTTCCTGTGGAGCAGGGGAAGGTCAGCGGCGGCCGGAGGATTGGCGGTTCTAAGAACATAAGAACGTTTCTAACCAGAGGGAGGGGCGGTGGGTGATTGACAGCAGAGCTATCCCAGCATCCTTTGCAGCCTGGAAGATCTTCCCCTCCACGTCGATGCTGACGGCGCTCGTACACTCGTCCAGCAGGGCGTACCGCGGGCTGCATCACAGAGAGACAACCAATCAGCTCCCACCAATCAGAGCCGTCCTTATATAAAAAGCACTGGATGATGTCACAGGGAGGCGAGGTCTCGCTGTGACATCATCAGGGCTGGCAGAGCAGGTACCGGTGGTAGAACATGCGGGCCATCCCCATCCTCTGCTTCTCTCCTCCAGACAGAACGTCCTTCCAGTCGCTGAGCGCCTCCCAGCCTGAAACACACAGGTTACTGTAGTACTACTATAATATACTATAGTACTGCTGTAGTACTACTGTAATACTACTATAGTACTGCTGTAGTACTACTGCAATACTACTATAGTACTGCTGTAGTACTACTGTAATACTACTATTGTGATACTGTAGTACTGCCATAGTACTACTATAGTACTGCTGTAGTACTACTGTAATACTACTATAGTACTGCTGTAGTACTACTGCAATACTACTATAGTACTGCTGTAGTACTACTGTAATACTACTATTGTGATACTGTAGTACTGCCATAGTACTACTATAGTACTGCTGTAGTACTACTGCAATACTACTATAGTACTGCTGTAGTACTACTGTAATACTACTATAGTACTGCTGTAGTACTACTGTAATACTACTATAGTGATACTGTAGTACTGCCATAGTACTACTATAATACTGCTGTAGTACTACTGTAATACTACTATAGTACTGCTGTAGTACTACTGCAATACTACTATAGTACTGCTGTAGTACTACTGTAATACTACTATAGTGATACTGTAGTACTGCCATAGTACTACTATAATACTGCTGTAGTACTACTGTAGTACAACTAAAGCACCGATATAATACAGCTACAGAACCGCTATAGTACTACTGTAGTACAACTATTATACTGCTATAGTACCGCTTTAGTAACTGCTATAGTACTACTATAATACAGCTAAAGTACTGCTGTAGTACTTCAGTAGTGCTATAGCAGTACTATAGCAGTATTATAGTAGTACTATATTAGTACTACACTAGTACTATAGCAGTACTACAGCAGTACTTTAGCAGTATTATAGTTGTACTTTAGTAGTACTTCAGTAGTGCTATAGCAGTACTATAGTGGTACTATAGAAGTATAATAACTGTACTACAGTAATACTATAGCTGTATTATAGTAGTACTATAGCAGTTACTAAAGCGGTACTATAGCAGTGTAATAGTTGTACTACAGTACTACTACAGCAGTATTATAGTAGTACTATGGCTGTACTACAGCAGTACTACAGTAGTACTACACTAGTACTATAGCAGTACTACAGCAGTACTTTAGCAGTATTATAGTTGTACTTTAGTAGTACTTCAGTAGTGCTATAGCAGTACTATAGTGGTACTATAGAAGTATAATAACTGTACTACAGTAATACTATAGCTGTATTATAGTAGTACTATAGCAGTATAATAGTTGTACTACAGTACTACTACAGCAGTATTATAGTAGTACTATGGCTGTACTACAGCAGTACTACAGTAGTACTACAGCAGTACTTTAGCAGTATTATAGTTGTACTTTAGTAGTACTTCAGTAGTGCTATAGCAGTACTATAGTGGTACTATAGCAGTACTATAGCGGTACTATAGCAGTACTATAGCGACACTATAGTGATGCTATAGCAGTACTATAGTACTGCTATAGCATCACTATAGCAGTACTATAGTATACTATAATATAGTACTGCTATAGTGATGCTATAGCAGTACTATAGTACTATCCTATCCTATAGTAGTACTATAGCAGTACTATAGTACTGCTATAACATCACTATAGTGTCGCTATAGTACTGCTATAGTGTCGCTATAGTACTATAGTACTGCTATAGCATAGTGATAGTGATGCTATAGCAGTACTATAGTACTGCTATAGTACTACTATAGGATAGGATAGTACTATAGTACTGCTATAGCATAGTATATAGTGATGCTATAGCAGTACTATAGTACTGCTATAGTACTACTATAGGATAGGATAGTACTATAGTACTGCTATAGCATCACTATAGCAGTACTATACTATAGTATACTATAGTACTGCTATAGTGATGCTATAGCAGTACTATAGTACTGCTATAGCATCACTATAGTGTCGCTATAGTACTGCTATAGTACTATAGCGACACTATAGCAGTACTATAGTACTGCTATAGTACTACTATAGGATAGGATAGTACTATAGTACTGCTATAGCATCACTATAGCAGTACTATACTATAGTATACTATAGTACTGCTATAGTGATGCTATAGCAGTACTATAGTACTGCTATAGCATCACTATAGTGTCGCTATAGTACTGCTATAGTACTATAGCGACACTATAGCAGTACTATAGTACTGCTATAGTACTACTATAGGATAGGATAGTACTATAGTACTGCTATAGTGATGTTATAGCAGTACTATAGTACTATCCTATCCTATAGTAGTACTATAGCAGTACTATAGTACTGCTATAACATCACTATAGCAGTACTATAGTACTATCCTATCCTATAGTAGTACTATAGCAGTACTATAGTACTGCTATAGTGATGCTATAGCAGTACTATAGTACTGCTTTAGTACTGCTATAGTACTGTGCTGTAGTACTACTACTGTAATACTACAGTCCTGTGAGGCAGCGCTCTGACTCACCTCCCTCCCTCTCCAGGATGTAGAGCAGGTGAACGGTACGAAGGATCTCCTCCAGGTCCGAGTCCGTCAGCCCCTTCTGCACCATGTCGTCCACCGAGTCAGGATATATGACCTGGTCTCTGAGCGTCCCCTCTGACATGTAGGGTCTGCACAGAACCACAGCAGCAGCGTCACTGATGGCGTTCTCATCTCCTGCTTCCTGACATCTATTCAACCTACTTCATGTTGTCAGACAGGATCTGAGTGATTAATATCTAGATTCTACGGGTCTGGCTGTGACTGGGTCACCACGGGCAGACCGTGGACCTGTACCTCTGAGGGATGTAGAACATGTTGTGAGGCGGTGGACGGTACAGCGCGCCGCCGTAGACGGGCCACAGCCCACTGAGGATCCTGAAAAGAGAACTCTTCCCGCAGCCGTTGGGACCCGTGATCAACACGTTCATCCCGTCCTCCACCTGCAACACACACGAGTCATGAGGCCACGATGGCAGAACCAGAACCGACACACTGACCAGTACCCAGCATGTGAGGGGACCGAGCCGTCACGGGACTAGGAAAGCAGATTCTTAGAGCGTGACTCAGAGAAAACGGGCCAATCAGAACACAGTGACCGATCTGTTTCCACGACTTCCTCTGATTGTCGCTCAGAGCCAAGCTAACCTCTGATCTTCACTTCCTCACAACACAAAGAGACTCTTTACACACGGCCCGGCCCGAACCGGACCGGACCAGACGGGCCCAGGCAGTCAGTAGAATCCTGATTGAACTTGTATCTGTTTGAACAGGAAAACCAGTCTCAAGTCTTCAGTCCCCTGAACACACTGTTCAGCTGAGCTGGAGGAAAACAGGAAGGTTCTGATGGGCTCCGTGGAACCGGCCACTCGGGTTTCAGGTCCGTGCCTTATCCCCAACACATACAGAACGTACAGGAACTTCCTGTGACCCAGACGAAGCTACTTCCTGTGAACCAGAACCTCCTGTGACCCATCAGGAGCTCAGTCTGCCTGGAGGTCTGATGTTCAGAGCTGCAGCGCTGCCACCTGCTGGTCAGCAGCTGAAGCTTCACCCTCTGAGCCTCAGACTCATCAGGTTCTGAACCGGTTCTGGTTCACATGTGGTGAGATTTTAATTGTTATTGTGTTTAGAAGAGTTTGGATCTGAATGAAGGACATAAGAAGTTCTGGTTCCCAGCTGGATCTCCTTGTGAACTGAACCGGACCTGAACACTGGGCAGACACTCAGAAACATAATGGTTTGGTTCTACGGAGCGCTGACGGGTCGGGCTCTTTGGTTCTTTGGGTTCACCACAGATTCTGATCAGACAAAGGGAACAGAACCAGATCCAGCGGACCGGCTCCTTCTGACAGCCTGACACCAGAACCAGCGCCGGCGCTGCCGTACCTGGATGTTGAGGCTGGACACCACCACGTCTCCGGTAGGAGTGATGATGGGCAGGTTCTGGCAGCGGATCCCCGTCTCCACGTCGATCACCTGACCTGCATGCGGCAACAGAACCAGCAGAACTTAGACCATGATTGAAAGCATTCGGACCGGAACCGCTCATCGAGTTCTGGTACGGAGGACGACCCGGCTCACCTCTGATCTCCAGCGGACCACAGATCCTCTGTCCGTGTCTGACCTGGGCTCCTCGCTGTGCTGCAGACTCCTCCTCCTCGCTGTCGCCGGAGCGACGGTATACGCCCTGACTCACGTCCTCAAACACTTCAAACATCTCCCAAACACGGGAAGTGTAGCCGGCCAGCTCCGTCACCTGCAGGAAGAACGTCTGAGGTCACATGACTACGTGGGAGAAAGGGGGGAGGGGGTGCGGACACAGACCTCCTTGTAGGAGCTCATGATCCTCTCCACGGCATCGGCAGCAGCGTTTAGAAGGTTCCGGGCGGTGGTGAAGGCCTGAGTGCGCTCGCTCACCAGCTCCTCCTCCTTCATCCCAATGGCCGCCTGCTTCACCTCCTCAGAATCTGCACACAGCGACGACCAGAGGTCACACGGCGCCGCTGCAGCCTTCGCTCTGGCCTGCGGCGCCGTGCGTTTACCGTATTTGGAGTACCCTGTGGCGGTGATGATGGGCACCGCCACCATGACCAGGCCGGACGCGCTCCAGACGTACTTCATGAGGAACTGTTCCAGCATGATGTACCAGAGACGCTTCCGCAGGATCTGATGGATCTGAGCCGACAGGGCGCCGTAACTCTGCTGCAGCCGGGAAAGCTCCACCTGCCGAGCAGACGCACCCGGGCAGGTTACACAGAACCAAAGCATCGACAGGTCGCCGCTCAGAGCGCCGCTCACCTTGTGTCCTCCATAAAAGGCGATTTCCTCAGAGTTGGCGATGATGCGTGAGTGCATGTAGCGCAGGTCTCCCTTCCTCCGCGCCTCCTCGGCCACCAGCTTCCCGAAGTGAGGCGAGCAGGAGCGCAGCACCTTGGCGGTGAGCGCCACCACCAGGCCAGCAATGGCGGACGGCCAGGTGGTGTTGGCTCCTATGGGACGACACATTTAGGCTTGGCGGCGGTGTGCGTGTCGGCGGGCGTGTCAGCAGGCGTACCTTTGGCCTCAGCCGTGCGCAGCAGAGTGTAGCAGGTGACCACCACGTCCAGAATGGGTTTGGTCAGGTTGGAGTACAGGTGAGCGATGGAGGCGGAGAACATGACGATGTCCTCGGTGAGAGACTGGTCGGGGTTGGACAGGCGGCCGTCCATGTTGCTGATGCGGTAATACGTCTGTGAACGGGAGACCATTTAGACTCGCTCAGCCGAGACGGACGCGGCCGTTAGCGATGCGGACGTTAGCGACGCGGCGTTACCTGGTTGGTGAAGTACAGCTGGTAGGCATGGTTGACCAAGCGGCTCCTGAAGCTAAGTGTCAGCTGACCCTCCAGGAATCGGATGGCGCTGTTGATGAACGTTGCAGGAACTGCAACCAGAAGCCACTTCAGCAGCTGCAGCACAAACGCCTGTGGATCTTTCTGCACGATACACCTGACGATCACACCTGAGAGAACGGGGGGGGGGGTAAGAATCGGCCGACGCTGCAGGTCGTTTCTCAGTCTGTGTACCTGGACGTTCTCATCAGCATCAGCCCTAGCACTGTTCCAATTCACAAGAATAAGACCGAGAACGGACAATGGGCGTTTCTCAATTCACGAGAACGCGAGTACGTACTCGCGTTCTCGTCAAGTCCGTTCTTGGCGAGAACGCAGGCAGATTGGACTTGACGAGAACGCGAGTACGTACTCGCGTTCTCGTCAAGTCCGTTCTTGGCGAGAACGCAGGCAGATTGGACTTGACGAGAACGCGAGCACGCGAGCACGCAAGCACGTATGTGTATTGGAACAGAAGCGTACTCGTGACGTCATCACAGGCAACGTTCTTTAGCATTGCTTTAACAGTCAAAACTATTTATCAACGAGCGGTAGTTCACACATAACTAGACCGAGAGAAGTGCACTACAGACGGGGTAAATTTAGCCCTGGCTGCGGTTACCCTCGGAGGTCTGCTGGTCACTCTGGTCCGCTCAACGTCGGACTTTTTTTTTAAATTTCGCACTAACTCTGTAAACAGGCCACACAGGGAGGCTTCAATGTATAATGTTATCGCCTCAAACGATTTCAAAACGTACTTTTGAAGAACAACAGCAGCAGAAAAGGGAATGTTTAACTTAACACTGTGAGCGCTGTCTGGAATCAAGCTGCGGCCGCGGGGCATTCTGGGGAAGCGGTCAGTCTGAAGAACGCACAAGTCTGCTCTGATGCATGCTCGATAAAGAGGGCGGGGCGAGAACAACATCCGGGGATTTGGTGCGTTCTCGATCTGGCGTTCGTTCTCGAGAATTGGAACGGTACTCGGGCTGAGGCTGATGACGTGTCACGAGTACACGAGAACGCTCAAGAACACATATTGAGAAACGGCCAAAGTCTCCGGATGTTGTTCTGGCCCCTCCCTCTTTACCCAGCATGCATCAGAGCAGACTTGTCCGTTCTCCAGACTGACAGCTGTCCCAGCATGCACTGCGGCAGCTTCCACGTTAGCGCTCACAAAAGTTCTCTTTTCTGTTGCCGTTGTTCAATAAAAGAACGTTTTAAGATCATTTGAGGCGAGAACATTATACTTTAAGCTTCACTTTATGGAACATTTACTGATTTAATGCTTAATATATGAAAAAAGAGGAACGCGGCTAACCGCAGCCAAGGCTAACGTTAGCCCGTCTGCAGCAGCCCTCTCTCTGCATAGCTATGTGTGAAGTACCGCTGCCTCTGATGGCGAGATTTTTGTTTTATTTGGTAAAATGTTCATTTGATTTGTGTTTATCTGACTGTGTTCATTATTATTCCTCCACTAAATGAAAAAGTCAGAATTTATTATCATCTAGAGATTATTAATAACAGGAGGTGAAAAGCAGCTCCAGACTAGCTTTGAATGTGATGATGTCATCAGTACGCTGCTGTTCTAATTGACCCAGATTTATTCTGCGTTCTCCCAGAGTCCAGACTGTGTCCTTGTCAAGAAAGGACTTGGTGAGAACGAGTCGGTACTCGTGCTCTGGTGAACTGAGAAACAGTGAAAATCTCGTTCTCTCTGGACAGGCGTAGACAAGCGTGAAACCAGGGGTCTCCAGTCCTCGAGGACCGCCGTCCTACCACGTTTAGGCGTGTTCCTCGCCCTGAACACCTGAATCAAATATCCAACCTGATGAGCTAATTTTCCAGTCAGGTGTGTCGAAGCAGAGACTCGTCTGAACGGTTCAGGACGCCGGCCCTCGAGGAACCGAGTTCGAGACCACTGGAGAAGACGGATGTGAACTGAAAGGGTTAAACAGGTAGAGGAAGATGCAGACCATCCAGAGAAGCTACGTAGATGGACAGGAAGGTCCTGGTCATCAGAGTGACAGAGTGCAGAGCGAGCAGGCCGAACTCCGGACACAGTAACCGTGGAAACAGGAGCTTCAACAGGTGAGTCAGTCTGAGGACGAAGTCTTTGTTCACTGATGGAGACCTGTAGATGGGTAGAAGGTACAGGTGAGAACAGGTTTGGGACGCTGAGAAATGTCATCTTCATCTGTCACCTGTTGGATTTCTTCTTCTTCTTCTCCTTTTCTCTGTCATCCACGCCGCTGACCACGCCCACAGGTGGTTTAGCTCCCCCTTCCCGGCTACCCGCTGCACCCCTCTGTTAAAACGACACAGAGTTAGCTGCAGCGTTCCCATGACCTCTGACCTTCGGACAGGTGTGCGTCTCACCTGTAGCCGCCTCCACACATATGGAGACAGTTTTTTGACGGCGTAGGCAGCAATCAGGACGGCGGCCAACTTCCTGAGCTTGGAGCTCCGCCTCAGCTGAGCTGGCAGCTTCTCATAGGTCAGCTGCATGATGACGGACAGCTGACGGATGTCCAATCAGTGCACAGGGAGAGCACCTGGATCCTGAGCTGACCTCAGAGCCGAACGCTCCACCTGCACACAGGTAAGGTTACAGTTTTAATGCATAGTTTACAAAAAAATAAAAACATTCCCAGTGGCTACCATTTTAATCACATGGCAGTTCTGTAAGGTGTCAGCAGGGGTCAGCGTAGAGCAGTGAACTCCCTACCAAGATCTCTATTTAATCAGTGGATTGCCGATAGGCTGGAAAAAGTGAAGCCACTTGCTGCTATCTTGGTACTCCCTACTCTGTTGCACCATGAAAACGCTGAGGTGTGTAGCATTTGGCTGCTGTGGGAAGACATTCCACTGGTTATTTATTTATAACCATTGCTTTAATTGCTCTACCTAATTTAGTCGAGTGTATACACATGTATAAATACGTTTTTTTGTTTTTGTTGATAGTTCTATGATTATAAAGCTGGCAGCAGAGAGATTATGAAGTGGATTCTGTCTGTCGGCCGGAGCGGATCCTCCACCGACTGCAGCTTTAATTTGATATAAACATATTTGTGTGATGATAAATTCAAGATATTGATTATTTGTGCCTGTCGACCACTGATCTCTATTTATTCGGTGGATTGCTGATTGCCTGTTGGTAGTATGGGGTTGAAGTGAAGCCAACGGCCGCCATATTGGTACTCCCTAGTTAGACCGGTCGTAATGTAAACAATCTGTGAGCTACAGCATCAAACATCATGATGTTCTCATTTTCAGGGGGATTTAAAGCTTTTAAAATAAAGATAAATTCATCACTTTGACAGAATGGCTGTTTCATAGCATCAGTAGATTAACTTTAACTTAGAATAAACAAATAGGCCCATCACATTACAGAGTCATTATGAAGTCTATAAATAATTTAATATAACATTTATACAAATCCATCCCAATAAAATTAATGTTTTAATGGAGCAGAATAACACAGATGAGCCAAAAGTGATAAATTGATGATGTTCATGTATGTTATGTGCGTCGAGCACATTAATTATTTTTGTTTCTTTTTTCATTTCCCTTTTAGTGTTGTATAGACCTTAGTTGAGTCACTTAAATTTTAGAGTTGATAATTATTTCTTTTTTCTTATGTAAATGATTCGATTACGTTAATTGGTTGTGATATCGGTCCGCCTATAAGTAGGCTGGGTTTTTCTCTCTCTCTCTCTCTCCCTTCGAACCTTCTGATCGAGCCGCCGCCACAGAGGGAGCATCTAGACGCGATGCGCACGTCTCCCGTCTTTGTAGGCCGCCGCTGACCTCTCCAGCCTGCCATGTGGTATTTTTGTTTGTTAGCCTTTGTTTTTTGCTGGTTTTTGTAACTTTGACCTGGTGGGACCGGTTGTCCTGTTTTTGTTTTTTTTAAATATATTTTTATTAGAGTTTTACCGTTAGTTCGGTACTAGCAGAGGCTTCAACAGCCCTGTATAGGGTTGGCCCTCTGCTGTACCGTTTTGTTGCTTTGGTCCAAGTTTCTGTTCATACTTTGGGTTTTTTTTTTCTTAAGAGTTTTTTTTTGGTCACGGGGAACTGGGGAAAAATTTGACTCTCTGTTTTCTTTTCTCTTTGCAGAAAAAAAAAAAACGGATCTAAAAAGAAGTTCCAGAGATTAAGAATAAAATAATTCTTTTGAACCTCATGTTTGTCTCGTGTCCTCAAATGTGTCGTGGCCTGGCTGGTCGTAACAATGTAATATACATAATATTACATATTACACAGAATTTCAAGATTTTACATGAAGACTGAATTACCAGAACACGTCTCTGGATGCTGCAGTACTTTCCTAGTTGCAGGTTGTTCATGCATTATATATATGTGTGTGTGTTCTGGAATGTCCATCCAGATCTCCAGACCTGAAGATTATAGAACATCTGTGGGATGATGTGAAGCAGGCCGTCGCTCAGCGACCATTAAACTCATCTGAACTGGAAAAGTTTTCAAAAAGAAGAAAATGCCTTCATCCAGGATCCAGGAACTCATTCAGAGCTACAGGAAGCAGTTAGAAGCTGCTGGTTTGGCAAAAGGAGGATCTACTAAAGCAGAGAAGTTCTGTTGATCAACAGTCAATGGACCGACCCAGCAGAACCAGCTCCGAGGTACCGGACCTTTTGGTCTCAGTGGAGAAACGGCAGCTTTAAAGGAGGTTCTGGTTCGGTCTGAAAACCACAGCTGTTGCCCAGATGGTCCAGTCCAGCTGTCAAAGTACACCGGACCAGAACCAACATCCAAACATCAGAACTTCTTCAGAGTACTGCTGCTCGGACCTCAACCGGACCAGAACCAGACCTTCAGGAGGAACCGGATGTCCAAAGATCCGAGACGTTCTGCTGAAGGCTGTGAGCAAACAGGGAAACCAGGAACTAGGAGCAGCTGCCGGGTCAGAACCGGTTCCTCTGCAAACACAGCTGGAACTACAGGGAGTCCCGAAGTCATCCAGAAGAGAACCAGAACTTTGTTTAGTTTGAAACACAGAACATTGATCCCAGAGAACCAGAACCAGGACCAGAACCAGAACCAGGACTGGAAACAAAGGTTAACAAGTTGGGTTAGATCAAACTGAGGTTGATCATGGATCTGTCTGGTCTGGGTCTGTCTGGTCCCGGTCTGCCTGGTCCAGATCTGTCTGGTCCCGGTCTGCCTGGTCCGGGTCTGCCTGATCCCGGTCTGCCTGGTCCAGATCTGTCTGGTCCCGGTCTGCCTGGTCCGGGTCTGCCTGATCCCGGTCTGCCTGGTCCAGATCTGTCTGGTCCCGGTCTGCCTGGTCCGGGTCTGCCTGATCCCGGTCTGCCTGGTCCAGATCTGTCTGGTCCCGGTCTGCCTGGTCCAGATCTGTCTGGTCCCGGTCTGCCTGGTCCGGAACTTCTTAACTTTAGAAACCTTTGTTTATTTTATTACTGAACTGATTAGATTTTTTATAAATCGATCCGTTTTATTCTAACTGGATCAGAACCGGGTCAGGAAGACTTCAGTCCTGCTAGAACTTGTGTTTCCAGATGCTGATTGTGGTTCCGCTGCAGTGTAAACATGCTGGGTTCTATTAGAACTGCACCAGAACTCGGTTGTTGATGAAAAGTTCGGCGGAACTAGAACTGATCAGAACCTTCCTGTCAGGATTAGAAATCAGCAGAACATAAAGGGTCCAGAGTCTGACGGAACCGGACCGGTTCGGGTCAACCGGGACCGAACTTGACCTTTGAACTGGTTCTAGTTCCGGTCTGAGGCCGCAGCTGTTTCCGAACCTAAACCTGACTGGACGGAACCGGCCGGTGTCAGTCAGGCTAGCTAAAGCTAAAGCTAGCGGCTAACCGGAACTTTGATGTAGAAATTAACGAAAAACTCCCGTTTCCGGTGACCGAGCTTGTTCTGCCGAACCGAACCCGTCCGTCCGTCCGTCCGGACCGCGGGAGGCCCCCCACCCCCCCAGCTGGAGCAGAACTCTTACCTCATGGCCGAACCGGTCCAGGATGAGCTGCTCTAAGGACAAAGTTTGCTCGGTGTTCCCTGGGCTGCCTGCTGCGGGTTACCGCCTCTGTGAGGACCGAAAGTTACGCAATGAGCCGAGAGGCTTGAGAACGTTCTTCAGTCTGACCTCTGAAAGTCAGAGAACGTTCTTTGTTATATAGATAGAAACAAAAGCAACTCTGCGAGGCCCGCATATTACAACAGATCATTAGAGCCAGAATAGAGATCTTCTTCTATTAATAGAATAAAGTCATTAAATAAAGAGAAACAAGTTATATTTTATAACAACTCCTCCCAGAAGCCCTTTCTTCCCTAAAATGAGGAATGTGGAGCATCATGTTAAGTTCTACTTTAGCATCAGTTTGACAAATCAGGAAATCTTTTAGCAGCAGCATCAAACTGGGCAGGATGTCAAAGTGGACTCAGGTTGCTGATTGGTGGAGCCGGTCTGACGTCATCTACTAAGCGGAGCTCCAAGCTTTCTTTCTAAAACTGGTTGTTGAATGATTACTTTTTTCTCAAAATAAAATTAAAACTAATCTCCAGCCTGGCCCTAATACTCCATCGTACATACACACCGCTGAACGTGTCCAAGTTCTGGAAGGTTCTATTTGTCATGAACTAGTTGATGAGAACCTTACTTGAGAACCTTCTCCCAGGCAGGCACGTGCAGAGGGGGGGGCTAAGGGGGCTTGAGCACCTGCCCCTTTTGCTGCATGATCCCAATGTGCCCTTTTGGTCCCTTTTTTTTTTTTTTTTTTTTTTTTTTTATTTGACACATGTACTGAAATTATTATTATTATCTTTTTTTTTTGGGCAAGAAAAACAATACAATAAGCCCTCTGGTCACATTGTTACCTTTGACCTTTTGCCGGTGACGACGCACTTGCCTCTCGCACAGTCAGATAAGGCGGCTAACTGCGGAGCTAAAGGTAGCGAACATTCCACATTACACTGTGGCCGCTGCTCATTTGGCCCTAAGCAAGATCAACCATGATCGGACGGATGGCTATGTCTTCAGTCTGCACTGCCTCTCCAATGTCAACCTGAATAGAGATGTAAGTGAAACCAAATGAGCCCCATGGATGATGCAGTATTGTTTGATCTAAAACACTGTTTGCTCTGTGCTTTTAGTCTTTTACATTGAAAATTATGTTTTTTAATTCACAAAAAACTGTTCTGTAATGATTACAGAACAGTTCTTTTGTGAATTAAAAAACATAATTTTTGGTGAAAATACTGGAGTAGGCTTCCTACTTGTCAGACAACGGAAAACTTTGAACGTTGTATAATTTCTCTACTTTAGCAAAGAGTAGCGGTTTAAACGGAGGAAAGTATAGGACGCGGTGCGCCTTTCTCTGAAGAACTACTGAGCGGGAGGAGACAGCCAGGTGAGGAAAAGCTGTTCTTATCTATCGATTCAGTATTTTTATCATACAGACATTAGGCTGTTGTTCTTGTGCTATGAGCTAGCTGCTAGCTAATGACTTTGCTAGCAAAGCAAGATAACTAAAAAGCTTCCCTGTGTCGTTAATGACAGTAGGACATTCTTCAGTATTACTTATGCAATAGGGGCACATCGCCCATCAAAAACCTATTATCTCCATAATGGATATATGTCTGATTTTCTAATTTCCTTTGCTGCATGATGTACATTTCATTTATTCTAGCGTTAGGTAAATGTATCTTGAAGGAGAACTCATCCAGAACTACCATGATAGATATATGATAGATATAATGTCTGAAGCTGGTGAAAACAAAACTGCGCAGCTTATGCAAGGAGGATCGGTTGTCAGACCTTCTTTTGTTGGCAATCGAGAAGGATGTGCCAATCATTCACAGTGAGGTTATTAACATTTTTAAAGACATGGCTAACAGAAAACTGCTGCTGTGGACAAAAGAGAACAAAAATAGCAAAAATGCTTAAAAGTTGGAAATTTGTTTTTAAACAGTTAAATCACCATGACGGAAAATACGTTTTTGGATCATAATCTTGGATTTAGTTTGGGGGGAAAAGAAAGGCAAGAGACTGAAATAAATAAGACATTGACCTTCACTCAACACAGAAAAGATGAGACAATGAGGAAAAAAAGAAAAGAGAAACTGACAAGAAAAAACGAAGAGGAAAGATTGAAGAAAATGTATATAGGTACTTACAAAATACACTAAGACACAAACAGAGTAGGCTTTTCTCATGGTGACATGCATTAATAAAATGTTTGTTTTGTTCTTTTTTTTTTCTGCAGTTCCACGTTAAAGTTTGATGCAGCAGCTCTGCTTTTCTGAATGGACCGTCTCCATCTCCACTGTCAGTACAGCAAACCAGGCAGACATTCTTTTTTATAGGTTACAGTACACTAAAAGGTTGCATTGTGCCCTTGTATGCATTTTTAACAGTTTAATTCTGTAAAGACAAAATATGTCTGGTGGTCCAGCTCTGATGTACATCTTTGGCTAAATTGCAGGTTTGAATATTGTAATACTTTCCTATAACAAAATAGACCTGCAGAAAGAAATTACTAATAAAATATTTTACATATGCATAGTTCTATGTAGAGATTTCCCTTAGCTTTGATTGTATGTCTCACAATTTTGTAATTTATCATTGTTCATTAAACTCTGAAAGCTATGTGACTTTGTTAATATTCTGTCCTAAAATGCGATAAGATGTGCCCTTTTTTTTTTTGAGCACCTGCCCCTTTAGTGGTCTCTGCACGGCCCTGCTCCCAGGTGTTCTCCTGCCTGAGGACCATCGGGTGTTTTTACTTTCTTTGTTTTTCCTGTCGGTCTCTAGAAGCTGGAACAGTAACAGTTCTTTGAGGATCAAACGTTCACATGATGCAGCTCTGATCCAGAACAATAAGAACCTTTGATCAGGTCCAGACCTGTAGGTCCCCTGCTGTACTGGGGCTTAGCAGCAGGGGGCGCCAGAATTCAACTTAAAAATCAGCCTGTTTATTAAAGGAAAAGCTCACATATATTCAGAATCCAAACTTCTGAAAGTTCTTTAAATGTGAAATGATTCCATCCTGTTCAATAAATGATCAGTGTTTTTAATTCAGAGTATTTTCCATGTGAATGTGCTTTACTGGAGGCATCCATGTTTGTCAAAGAACACTACTGCCACCTACTGGTTAGTGACGTCACGGTGCGGTATCGGCTGTTGATCAAGTCCCAGTGCTGTATCTGGTGTTTGTCACAACGCGCTATTATCCAAGTCATCTTGAAAACATTCTTCTTCCAAATGTTGGCTACATATTACGGGTTTTTTCTCTGGCCAGAAGTTCGATGGCAAATCCTCCCTCTTCAAGTTGGCGATCCAACGACCAACCCGTCCGTGGAGGATCAGGAATCAGAAAGGTGGAATAACTCTTTTTTCCACTTTTCCCCGATGTATTCCAGCATCCAGCTGCCATGCACGTGGGCATTGTCAGTTTCACTATAGCTCTGGTGAATTTCAATGGTGAAGTCCTCTGGAAATCTTCAATAATTGTTGTTGATTGCAGATGTGTCTAGTAGTTCCCATTGATTTAGCTTGTAAAGCGGGGAGAATGGCGCTAGGCTTACCGCACCGTGACGTCACTGCTGGAAGATGGCAGGAGGGAGGGGCTACTATATTTGGGCAAAAATGGCCGCTCCCATACTCAGTGATCGCAACAGAAATGATTTTACATTTTTTTATTGATTAACGCTAAATTCATTAAATCACAGCGAACGTATTAGCTTTAGGTATAAATAAAGATCCATTGATTATTCGTGCTGACCGAACTTCTCCTTTAAAAACTACTTCAGGTCTACGATGGAGTATTAGGGCCAGGCTAGAGATTTTTTCATTTTATTTTGAGAATAAAGTCGTAAAATTACGAGAATAAAGTTATCATACAACAACCGGCTTCAGAAAGAAAGCTTGGAGCTCCGCCCAGCAGATGACGGACGACCAGCTCCACCAATCAGCAACCAGAGTCCACTTTGACATCCTGCCCAGTTTGATGCTGCTGCTAAAAGATTTCCTGATTTGTCAAACCGATGCTAAAGTAGAACTTCACACGATGCTCCACATTCCTCTTTTTAGGGAAGAAAGGGATTCATGGAAGAGATGTTATAAAATACTTTATCATAATATAAAGAGTTTATTCTCTTAATATTATGACTTTATTCTCGAAATAGAAGAAAAAAATCTCCATCCTGTCCCTAATACTCCGTCATGCAGGTCAGATTTGATCAATCAGCGGATTAGAACAGAAATCTATCAGGCAGCTCTGATGGTTTGAGATCTTAAAAACTGTAAATGATTTTCTGCAGATCATTCATAGAACCAGAGGAGTCAGTAAGAAAGCACCAATACTTCCTAACTTTACTTAAGTAGAAATTCTAGCTATTTACTTTATTATTTATAGATTTATTATTTTTAAACATCTTTTTACTTCTAATCTTTATTTTTTTTTTATGCAATTATCTCTACTTTCTACCTCTTACATTTAAAATTAGACTCGTTAGTTTTGCTTCATTTAAGCTCATTTTCATTAGGGCCTAAAAAAATAAAAAACATTGAAATAATAATTAGTTTCATCCAGACAATTAACATCTTTGTGGTTGGACTCGGTGCTGCCCCAACTTGTTGCTCACCACATACCAAAATAGTTTTTCCAGATGAAGCAAATTTAAATGTGACTCTGTTCCCATTAGTTATAAAACTAAGAAAATGAAGTCTAAGGAAGTTATCATCCAGAAATGAGGAAAAATGTTCCTTTAATGGGGTAGAGCAGGAAAGCTTCTGGCCTTAACATTTTTTCCTGCATTACTTTTACTTTTATACTTTAAGTAGTTTTAAAATTTGTACTTTTACACTTTTACTGGAATAAAAAGCTGAAGTTGATCCTCTAACTTCTATAAAAGTGTTTTTAAACCGTATGATTTATACTTCTACTGCAGTAATAAACATGAATACTTTTGGCAGCTCTGCTAGGGGAGTAAAAAATAAATAAAACCTTTATAGAATTTTTTTTTTTTTGTGCAATAGCTTTGAGTTGGTAGGTAAAATTATCAGCTGTTCAAACACTTTTGTTTGAGATAAATAAAAGATCTGGTGCCGTCATTGTCCCATTTCAAGCTAAAGAGAAGATGGTTCCATTTACCCGTGTGAATGGAGCCAAACCGACGCATTTCCAGGGAATTTAACGATGTTTACATCAATGTTTGCTTTGGGTGACTGAAAGGAGGCTGAAATAAGCCAGGAGACATTTTTTCCTGCATTACTTTTACTTTCATACTTTAAGTAGTTTTAAAATTTGTACTTTTACACTTTTACTGGAATAAAAAGCTGAAGTTGATCCTCTAACTTCTATAAAAGTGTTTTTAAACCGTATGATTTATGCTTCTACTGCAGTAATAAACATGAATACTTTTGGCAGCTCTGCTAGGGGAGTAAAAAATAAATAAAACCTTTATAGAAATATATATATATTTTTTTGCAATTGCTTTGAGTTGGTAGGTAAAATTATCTGCTGTTCAAACACTTTTGTTTGAGATAAATAAAAGATCTGGTGCCGTCATTGTCCCAATTCAAGCTAAAGAGAAGATGGTTCCATTTACCCGTCTGAATGGAGCCAAACGGACGCATTTCCAGGGAATTTAACGATGTTTACATCAATGTTTGTTTTGGGTGACTGAAAGGAGGCTGAAATAAACCAGAAGACATTATTTCCTGCATTACTTTTACACTTTAAAAAGTTTCTAAAATGGTACTTTTACTGGAGTAAAAGCTTAATATGATACTCTAACTTGTACTTTGGTAATAAACATGAATACTTTTGACACCTCTGCATAGAAGAACAGAACAGAGCGATGGACAGAGACTCTTCATGTGTTCTGGGGTAGAACTGAACAGAACTGGAACATGCATAGGCTTTATTTACACACAAAATGAGTCAGAACCACAAACACATCCGGTCCATCACAGGAAACAATCCACACAGAAGCTGCTACGGTACCGAGCAGGTCCGGTTCTGCTGCCAAAGGGAGACAACTTCCTGAAAACATGCAGCAAAAGCAAACGTTATCGGGAATGTAAAGAGTTTGGTGGCAGAACCGACCCTGAACCTCCTTCCCTCTGTTTGATTACTGAGTTAATACTGACCTGGAGTTCCCATACAGTAGAAGACATTCAAAACTTCCACACTTCCATGATGAGTCCTTGGCTGCTCTCCTACAATTCCTTTTTACCAATCAATATTTGTACTAAAATATTCTTTTTACCATGATTTGTGGACATTAAGATCTAAAGAGAAGCGCCATCTCCTGGTCAGACGCTGGACCAGTGGCTGGAAGGTGGAGGGGATTTTGCTGGGAGTTGCAGGGAAATGGTAATTGGGCCATTCAGCTGGCGTTTGACTGGGAAGGTCATTTTGAATGGCTGCTACTGTAGGATCCTACAGGCAGAAGCAGGCGGTCGTACTGTAGTCTTTCAAAATAATACTGTTTTATTAAAAAAAGACTATAAGACTGCAGTTTATAAGGCACTGCAGCTGTTGTAGTACACAACAGTACTTCAGTAGTACTACTTTGAGGCTCTGCTATAAACATCATGTCTTTAGGAGAGTGATCCACGTTGACATGATGAGGAACACCTGCAGGAAAAGAAACAAACATGTGGGCGGAGCAGAGCAGCTGCCAATCTCTGCAGTGGGAGGGACCTGTTTCTAATGGGGCGTGGTCTAGAACACTGGGGTTTTTTTCATATTAGTCAGGAATCTTTCTTTGATAACATGAGGAACACAGGTGTTGAACAGCACAGGTGTGGAAGAGTACAGGGCTCCTCCTTTTCATAAAGCAGGTTTAACAAATTTAGACTCAAATCCTCAACTCTGAATTGATCTAGCCTAAAGTTGGAAACACTGAGTTCATAAAAGCTGCTGTGAATTAGTTCAATCAGCTCTAAGTAGATCCACTCAGATGTAAACACGTGAGTAACAAGTATGAAAAGCCATTATCAGTGGAGCACCGATTCCACGAGTCACCATGACAACAGGCAACAGGAAGTGCCTATTTCACCCGACTGGAACTGGAAGTTTTAAAGAAGAAATGGAAAAATATAGAATGTGTTTAAAAGACAGAGAAACAGAGCTACAGATAGTGAGGAAGATAGCGAAGGAGAAGATTGCTGCTTGAGTTACTCCAGAGATATGGCAGGCCGTTTTTACATTTATCAAAAGCACTCTCAATTTAAATTCTATTCAGTTTATTTCTATAGCTCCAATTCACATCATGTCATCTCAGGTCACTTTCCAGTTCACCAGATCATCCAGTCAGATTGATTCAAAGTTTTCTATCTAAGGAAAACCAGCTGATTGCATCGACTCATTGACTCTTCAGCAATCCCTCACACTAAGCATGCTTGTAGCGACAGTGGAGAGGAAAAACTTCCTTTGAACAGGAAGAAACCTCCAGCAGAGGTTGTTCCATTTTTTGATAATTAAAATAGGATTCTTCCTGATCATAATCCAACTTCTAGACTGAAATGTAATAATATATTTTCTAAATCACATTTTTCCAGCAAAAATTGAATTTCAAAAGTAAAAAAAACCTCTATATTAGTAAGAATTAAGCTTTATATACCTAGAAATTTTTAGACATTATAAGTGGCCATTTTGATATTTATCAGCTTGACTGAATCTTTATTTGTAACGGAAATAAATTTCTTCATGGTCAAAATAATACAAATGATGATCAGTGATGATAGGAATATGGAGATCTGAAATTAATTTCTAGACACCCAGAATGTTTATTCTAGGTGAAAGAAATTTATTTTATTTGGAACTGTCATTTTGACAAGAATTTCTTTTTCAGATATCAGAAATACCTATTTAGACAAACTAATAAATATCTAAACAGCCTGCCATAGCTTCTGATCACGATAACATTAAGAGGGGAAAACTAGCTTACTGGTTGAATGGTAGTGGATCTATGTATTATATTTTGGCTGGATCTCATGGGAGAGAAGCGCACCTGTCAGCAGGTAAAGATGAAGAATAAAGAAGTTGTTCAAACAGGAAGGACCTATTCATCATCTCATGGGATTCCTCCTCATTTTATTTCTGTCTTCCATCAGACGGTAAATTAGTCTCTGACTGTGCAGCTGTTGTCTCTAATGATGTTGATGATATGATATTTATTCATTATAAATACCTTTTAAAGAAGTCAGTACTGCAAATGTGAGGATGGATAAGTTCTGAATGTCTGCGGTGAAACAGTAGCTGAATATAAAAGACGTATACACAGTCAGAGAACCCTCTCCCTATAAACATTAAATTCTCTCTGCTCAGTCTTTGATTGCATCCTCCTGTTTATTTTTAACACCTGATGTCTCTAATGGACCTAGTGAATGGTTTCCTTTTTATTTTATGCATAAAACTACAACCGAGCTCTGCTGTGTCATAATCTTGGCACTGATGACTGGATTATTGGTTTAGTTCTTCCACCCTCCTAGCTCCTCCCAGTTTTCATTATCACCCATCAGATCTGTTTCAGTTCCTATTTAAACTGCCTGGTCCCAGCCATCAGTGCCAGATTATTAGAACCATAGGTGAGTGTTCTCTAGCGTACCCCAGTGTGTTTATTCTGATGGCCAGATCCTGACTAGTTTCTGCCCCTGGACTTCTGGGTTTGCCTGTCCTGATCTGTTTGCCTATCCTGTCTTTGGACTTCCTTTGGAATCTGCCTGCTGAGGACCTTGGATCTGTCTGCTGACACCGCCTTGGATTTCCCTCCCATACCCCTTTGGACCTCTGAACGTCTGGCTTAGAGTTCTGCTTCCATATCAACACAGGCTTTAGATTCTCCATCCGGATACTTCTGCTCTTCCTCGTCTGCTGGCTTCTGCTCGTCAGTCTGCTCGTCCTGGAACTCTGGGCGGCGTCCGCCACATGCTGTGGGAAATAATCTGACTGGATTCCACCACTACCTCTAGGCTTGGACTAAAATTAAAAACCAGGTTAGTGACTCCCATGCTCGCTATCAGTCCCCGCCAGAGCTTCCTGGTCACTAACCTGTGTTTCTACCTCTACCGAGATTCCAGTCATCTAGTCCAAGCTGACGAGCCACAGATCCCTGAGAAGTTAATAATCGCTTTTCATAAATCCCTTCAGTCTGTCTGCCTGAATTCTGGGTCCAACTCTCTGAGTTCCAATATTCTGGTTAAATCAGGAAATAAAACATCATGATTGGCTGTAAGGAGAGCGAAGACAGAGGACACTGAGTTTAATGAGGAAAACCTGCTCCTGACCAGGTTAGCTCCCAGGAGAATGTTGCTATGGCAACAGAAACAGAGGTTGAGGAAACTCAATGTAAAACTAAAACCCCAGAGTTTTCCTGATTTCAGATTTAGAAAACCTGCTTTGTGAAACGGTACCCAGGTGTAGAACAGTACAGGTGTGTAGAACCAAACAAGGCTATGGATTTTTATCAACAGAGTAAACCTCCTGAATTAAGGAGGATTTTAATTATAAACATTTGTAGAAAATCATATGACAGCAGATAAGTAGAAAACATGATCAAACGGTTGATCAGTAAGAAAATCAATCAACGCTGTGACATCATCGTCTGATTGTCGCTCTGATCGTTTTTGGGGTTCTGCGGGTCTTTGAAAGATCCAATTGAAACTTGAAGCTCCTCTTATTGCTTCAGACTAAACCTGGATGTGGATCCTGGATCCTGATTATGACCTGAACTTGGAACTGGATCCAGAACCTGAGTCAGGATAAAAATTTAATCTGGATCTGGCTTTGGATCTGGATCCGCAAAAGGGTTGCCTCCAGGTTGCTGTAGATCTGGATTGTCTCATTGCAGGACCAGACCCGTTTCCCTGAAGAAGGTCTGGTTCCGTCTAGTCTGAACAGTCCCAGGCCCGGGCGATCCTGTTGAGGTCCAGGTCTTGCTGGTTTGAGGATGAAACTCATAGTGCAGGAAATCTGAGTCCAAAATGCAAGGTTAACAACGCTTCGGGTCTGGACTCACCTGAGGATTTACCAGGTAAGTCACCTGACCTGATCGGGGCTGGTGATGTCAGCTGGTGATCAGTCTTTGGAGGAGTGCATGTTCCACCCCAACTGGCTTAGAAAAAGCCTGATTGTCTGAGCAGAGCTGGGGCCAAAGCTTTGAACAAGGATGAGGACCAGGATCAGACTGGTGCCACAACCCCAGAACCTGGACCGCGTTTAATCCACAGTCCAGCTGTGGTTATACAAGAACCAGTTAACAGTTTCCAGCTTTCGGTGAGCTAAAGGTCTGGCCGGTTTCTGTAGAAGTCCAGTAAACTCCAAAAAGTGAAAGCCTCTTTCTCCCTGCAGCAGGGTTCCTTCTTGACCAAAAGCTGGTGGACTTTGTAAGGTTTCACGTTCTCTCAAACAGTGACAAACCATCGCTGGTCAGTTGGGCCTTGATTTGGGACCAGGAGGACTCTTTCAGATGGTCTTCAGCCATGGAACCCCTCAGGGGGAAGTTTCTGCGGGATGAACTAGTCTTTAAGGTGCATGGACTGTACGGGTGGACAGACCTGATTCTTCATGACCCGTTGATCTGCTTGTAGTTTGCTGGTCTGCTGCTTGACACCTGGATCTGGTTAAGCTGAACCATCATCGCCAGATCGCATGTTGCTGGAACCCTAAGCCTGGGAACAGTCCGAGCCCCTTCCTCTCATTGGTTGGTGATCAGACCAGCGTCCCAGGAGATGGCTGGTCCACCACAAAGTCTCTGAGGGGGACTTCCTGTTTCTGTGGGGGAAAGGAGTCCTGGTAGAGCGAGTTATCCACAGACCTAAAAGACAGAGATGAGGGGAGGCGTTTCTAGACGAACCTTCAGAGGAGCTGACCTCTCTTTGCCCTCTGGTTGTTTATGCCCAACATCTCATTAATCGTAGGTAAAATGGAATGGCAGTTTGGCCACTAGATGGCAGTAAGCTCTACACTTTTCCTATAACAGAAAGTGTTGCCAGGAATGTGTGCAGTGCATCGTGGGTGATGTGGTCATGGGGTACCTACCTGCCGTGCAGTGGGTGCCCGTGGAAAGTGGCGGAGTGCGGGAGTGTCTGTTTGTGATGCGGTGCAGCACACTGATGGCTCTGATAGCCCGCCTGCTGGAGGACTCCGTGAGCTGTACGTCTTCGCTGGAGGGCATCGCCACCTCCAGGCTGACCTTTGACACTGGAACTTGGCTTAGCAGTGGCAGCCGCTGAGACATTTCCACTGGCCTGGTTCTGGTGGGCGGATCCTAAGGTGTTCCTCAGGTACCAGTCCCTTAAACCTGTGAGGCAGAAATCAAAGGGAGTCAGACCTGACAGCACCTGGAAGACACAGGTTACCTTGCTGGCTTCTGACCTGAACCATCCACCTGGCAGTGGCTCTCAGTGGACTCAGTTTCTGCTGAATTGAACTATCTTCCTATAAAGTAAAGGTGATTCAGATGGAACTTCTGGGACCCACGCAGATGCCACAGTAATAGTTCTGCAAATCCTATATCAGGCATCCCCAAACTCTCTCCTCGAGGGCTGCTACCCTACAAGTTTTAGAGGTTTTCCTGCTCCAGCACAGCTGATTTACATCAATAGTTGATAAACAGTTTTTTTTGCTGAACTGCAATCATCAGAATCAGCTGTGCTAAAGCAGAGAAACCTCTAAAACCTGCAGGACAGCGGCCCCCCAGGACCGACCCTGTGTATGCCTGCCCTATATGGTCCATCCATTCGTTCATAGAGAACTACTTGACCTCAGGCAACATAGTCTGAAGTGTCAGATATGGTCGTTAGGGAGTTCTGATGGGTCGCTAACTCCCTCGTCAGAGTGGTTTCGGACTCGTTGAAGTGCGTGTCAGGTAAGGCCAGGTGAGAGTCTTCTGGGTATTGTGCCTAAAATTGTCCCAAACGTTAGAAAAGTTCTATTTTTAAAAAATCTTGTCTTAAATCTGTGGCATAGGTATGGCAGGACAGTTAGTTATTCGTCAGCCTGAACACCTAAATTCGGCCAATCATATATCAACGGTCATCTGTCAATCACATGTTTTCGGTCATAGCATCTTGATTCATATGTCGCAGCTAATATACGCAACGGTTGAAACCAGAATCATTTCCTTTCCCATTGAGTTGCGTCCCAGTGTTCACGGGGATGGACGTCTGTGTCTTCGGCAGGCGTAGAGCTAACAGAACTGGCAGCGTTGCGAGGCAAGGGCTCAAACATGTACGGCTGGAAGCCTTCTACACCAAACCAAGCTTCTGCCGCACTGGCGTCCTCTTCCACAACATCTTCGTCCCCGCTTTCCTCCTCTAAATAAAAAATGGATGACGGAGGAGACTCATCCACGACCTCCGACACTAAACTCTCCTCCTCTTGCATGTTTCCTCTGTCCATAGCGTTCCTTGACAGCGTCGTTTCTAAGTCACCAATTTAGTGCTACTTGGTCCCAATGGAATTTCCCATTGGGAACCTGCTAGCACTAAGATGCTAACTGGTTAGCAAGATGCTTCCGACAAACCGGCCACAACCAAACTTGCTTGCGAACCTTCCGCCACAACAATCCCGCCCCCTTGATAATTGGCCAATCACATTCACTTTATTCACTCGTGTAAAGTCGGGCACCACTCGGGAAAATTCGGAAATGCAACGGTTGGAACGGCCACTTCCCTACGACTTTAAAGGTCTTTGCTCAGAGACCCACAGTGGCAGTCTGTGGGAGTGGGTCTTGAAATCAGAACTGCAGGATTCCAAGCTCTATGCCCTAACCTCTAGGCCACCACTCCCGATTCAGAGTTAACCTATTCTGATCAGAACCTTGTGGTTCCGGTCCAATCAGACCCTAATCTTCTACAAATGGTGCAGTTAGACCAGTTTGCTCCAGTTCAGCTCCATCTGCTCTAAATCTTACCTTCCAGGGCCAGGGCCTTATGGAGGCTCTTGGTGGCCTCCTCCAGTTGGGAGTCCTGTTGGGGGGGTAGCTGAGGTGGGCGGGGGGGTAAGAGGTGTGGGTGGGGGTCAGGCTGAATGGTGTCTGGAGCCTGATGGTTGAGGTCGCCCTGGTTCTGTTGCACTGGCAGAAATGGGCCGCAGGACTTGGTGCGGCTGACAGTAACCCTGCGCTGGTCACCATGGTGACCCCGGTAGGTAGGCGGAGCTCCTTGGGGCTGCTGGGCAGAGCAGCCATTATAGAGTGGCGGGTGCTTTGCTGTCTTTGGCGGTCTGCTGGGCTGAGACTGCTGGCGCTGGAGCTGCCGCTGTTTCTCCCACACATAGTCCAACAGAACCTCGCTGTACCCCGCTCCTTTCCCTCCTCCCTGCCCGGTCCCGCCTCCTCTGCCCCCCCCCTCTGAGACTCCGGGGTTATTTCTTACTCGTCTCTCGGTCAGTGTTTCAGCGACCCAGAAGGACCCGGCGGCGTTGGTTCCCCGAGATACAGTCGCCCCGTTCACCCACAGCTCCACTTGCTGAACTCCGCCCTCTTCGCCCGACGGAGGGACGTTGGAAAGGCGGCTGTCTGAGCCGTTACTTTGACGAGATGTTATGCACCCCCCCTCCCGTCCGGCATCCGAGGAGGAGGAGGAGTCCTGAGAGCGGGGGGGAAGAGGGGGCGGATGAGACGGAGGGAGAGGTGGGGGCTTGTTGGTCTCCCGTTGCTCAGTCCTAAAAGGTTCAGAGAACAGGTTGTTAAAATAAAAAAAGCTTTTCTGATTAAAGACGCCAAAAACTGACGGTTTACATCTGGTTAAACTGGTTAAACTGGTTGCTCCTGTCAGGATCAACAGAGCTGGTGACAAAAGGTCAGACATACCTGCTGAGGAACGGGTTCTTCTTGGTTTTGTTCTGGTTAAAAAGCTCCACAGGAGATCCAGCTGAACCCAGTAGGGGGCGCACCTGAGACCCAGGGTTGTCTATCACACAGACAGAGACGTTTCACATCAAGCCTGAATCCTGGGGGGATTTTACAGAAGCTCAGCTGATCAGATCAACACTGAGGTAGAAACAGACCGGTATACCACCAGTACACAGAGTGTTGTTGCAAGAAATGTTTCATAGGGGGGGCCAGATGGGGCCACTAAAAATCTTGGGGTGGCCACTGAAACTAAGAGCCATAATTTCAGGGTTTGAATCGACTATAGTGGTAAACCTGCCTGTAGAAATCAGAAAAATTAATTAACACCTCCTCATGTCTTGGTTTATTGTGGGATGTTTATGTTACGGCGCTGACTGAGCAGAATGCTACTACAATTCACATGGGCCACTGGGGTTCACCACTAGGTGGCGCCACTAGGTGTACCATTAGTACACCACTGGTCCCTTCCTGTCCCCTCCGTGTCCACGTCTGTCCAAACCAATCAGTATTTTGAGTTTTAGGCCCCACCCCTTTGGTTCTAAGCTCCAACTCTGTGTTCGTCATTATGATCATAAATAAAGCCACCAGAGTGAATTCTCAGTCATCCAGGACTTATGCTTTTTAAGGACCTGGAGGCCCTGAAGAACTATTCCATTCATGGCTGCTTCTTTATGGCTGAACAGAGACCTAAAAGCAGGACACCTTTACCCTCGTTCCTAAAGCTGGGACTACACAGCTACATCTCACACTGTACGACGACACCGCTGGGTTTAAACCAGGGGTTTTAACCTAGTTTGCTTTTTATGCTCTGTTATGGATCTGTTTCTGTGGACTGATATCAGCTTTTCTCACTTTTAGGCTGGAAGCAACAATAGAAAGAAAACTGCAGAAAATCCCACCTCTTAAAGGTACACTATGCAACCGGTGTTGATTTTCCAGCGAGGCTCCCCCCAGAGGGCGAAAGTAAAAGTGCACTGTCGTAAATATGCTCAGCTGTTCTCCTGGTTTCTCCGTCAAGCCAGGTGTTGTTGTTTTGAGCTTAGCAGACAGGCGAACGCAACGAATCACCATGTCTAATGCGGTAAGTGACTATTCTGTTCCAATTTTCTGTTTTCTCGCTGGTTCCGCCATGATAACTGCACAAATATTGCCACTGTGCTAGCAACGAGCATGCCTTTCACTGGGGGCGTGTAGCAGTTCTCGCTGTAAAGCAAGACCGACTCTTGCGATGCACGAGACTTCTGAGCCTGTGGGTGCGGGCCGAGGGCTCCTGCAATTGCAAGTACGGTATTTCCCCTACAGACCACCAGGGCGACCGAGAAAACCTTTGTTCAACCTGAAATGACTCATTTAATCATCCAAAACGTTATGGAACACATTAATTAACTGAAAAATGTTGCATAGTGTGCCTTTAAAACTCTTTCCTTCATGGCTGCAGCTAAGAATGTTAGCATAACGCCCTAAGAATAATTGCTGTTTTCTAAAAAGGTTAAAAAGTGCTTAAGTAAAGTCTGTTTAAATAATTCAGTTTAATATTTATGAATGTGTTCTGACAGAAGTAGCCGTAGACTCTAAAACAAATGAAGGAAAAATCCGCTCATATTCAGAATACAATCTTCTGAAAGTTCGTTAAATATGAAATTATTACGTAGTGTTCAATAAATGATGAATGTTGGAAGAAGAATGTTTTCAAGATGACTTGGATAATAGCGCGTTGTGACAAACACCAGATACAGCACTGGGACTTGATCAACAGCCGATACCGCACCGTGACGTCACTAACCAGTAGGTGGCAGTAGTGTTCTTTGACAAACATGGATGCCTCCAGTAAAGCACATTCACATGAAAATTACTCTGGATTAAAAACACTGATCATTTATTGAACAGGATGGAATCATTTCAGATTTAAAGAACTTTCAGAAGTTTGAGTTCTGAATATAAACAGACTTTTCCTTTAACTACTGTATTATAGGCTTTACAGGCGACTTTATATTATAGTCTGTCTGATTACATTACATTACATTACAATTATTTAGTTCCTCAGTAGTTGAGCTTTATTATTATTTACTTATTTTTACTCTTACTTGAGATCTAACTTGGAGATGTTTTAATTTTTATTTGAGTAAAAATATGTTGGTTTGCTTAAGCACAGTCATTTGGTACATTGCTGTCTTTTTCCTCACTAGCTGTCAATCACAGGCGGTTTGCTTTAAGTGGTCCCATCCTCTCAGGGACAGAAGTTGACATGAAGCAGGCACGGAGGGGAGAAGGAGGGAATTTACAGCTGCTTTACATGAAATGCCAGTTTGACCCGGTTTGGTGGAGGTTCTGGAAGGTTCTGGGCTGCTCAGTGGTTTCTAAACCTTCTCCTTGGTGCTGCTGCAGCAAAGCACCTGAACTGACATCCGCTGACTACCTGTCTGCTGTAGCGTCTTAGTGTTTACAGAAGATCAGAATCTTACCGATGTCATATCCTGTGGAGTCTGACGCCGAGCTGCTCTCTGATCGGACTGTGTCGTCTGGAAAAACACAGAAACCGGTGTTCAGGATGGATGCAGCAAGAGGCCGCTTTCCCTGCAGAAACAATGGCGGCTGCAGTGTGTGTGCGAGTTACCGGTGTGGCAGCCGCGGTGCACCGTCCTCTTGCCGTGGTGCGACTGCGTCTGCGCGTGTGACCCGCCGTCGGAGTCGCTGTGTTTCCTCAGGGCGGCGCTGAATAACGTTTTTCTGGATTTTGATCGCTGAGACTCTTCCTCCTGCGCACACAAAGAGGCGCCTCAGACGGCCAGCTCTATGAGGTTCTGCTCTGGGTTCTACAGTGACTCACTAAACCCCAACCAGGTGCTTTCAGGTTTCCAGCTTGGTTCTGACGGTCCTGGTTCTGGACAGCAGAACCTTAACCTTCAGGTTTATCTACACCGACCTCCGACTGGAACCTGTTTCTGCAGAACTGATGGGATCCATGCAGTCCTGTTTGTTTTTTTACAGCGTTTTATTTCCATTACATTGTCACAGAGCAGAGCAATAAAATGAACTCTATATATAACCCATCACCATGGAGAACAGTGTGGGGTAAAGGGTCTTTGCTCAGGGAGCCAGAGTGGCAGTCTGTGGGGGTCTGTGGGAGTCTGAGGGAGACTGAGGGAGTCTGTGGGAGTCTGAGGGAGACTGAGGGAGTCTGTGGGAGTCTGTGGGAGTCTGTGGGAGTCTGAGGGAGTCTGTGGGAGTCTGAGGGAGACTGAGGGAGTCTGTGGGAGTCTGTGGGAGTCTGAGGGAGTCTGTGGGAGTCTGAGGGAGTCTGTGGGAGTCTGTGGGAGTCTGAGGGAGTCTGAGGGAGACTGAGGGAGTCTGTGGGAGTCTGAGGGAGACTGAGGGAGTCTGTGGGAGTCTGTGGGAGTCTGTGGGAGTCTGAGGGAGTCTGTGGGAGTCTGAGGGAGACTGAGGGAGTCTGTGGGAGTCTGTGGGAGTCTGAGGGAGTCTGTGGGAGTCTGAGGGAGTCTGTGGGAGTCTGTGGGAGTCTGAGGGAGTCTGAGGGAGTCTCTGGGAGTCTGTGGGAGTCTGAGGGAGTCTGAGGGAGTCTGTGGGAGTCTGAGGGAGTCTGTGGGAGTCTGTGGGAGTCTGTGGGAGTCTGTGGGAGTCTGTGGGAGTCTGTGGGAGTCTGAGGGAGTCTGAGGGAGTCTGTGGGAGTCTGTGGGAGTCTGAGGGAGTCTGTGGGAGTCTGTGGGAGTCTGAGGGAGTCTGAGGGAGTCTGTGGGAGTCTGTGGGAGTCTGTGGGAGTCTGAGGACGTCTGTGGGAGTCTGACGGAGTCTGAGGGGGTCTGAGGGAGTCTGTGGGGGTCTGAGGGAGTCTGAGGGAGTCTGTGGGAGTCTGTGGGAGTCTGAGGGAGTCTGTGGGAGCCTGTGGGAGTATGTGGGAGTCTGAGGAAGTCTGTGGGAGTCTGAGGGAGTCTGTGGGAGTCTGAGGGGGTCTGTGGGAGTCTGAGGAAGTCTGTGGGAGTCTGAGGGGGTCTGTGGGAGTCTGAGGAAGTCTGAGGGAGTCTGTGGGAGTCTGAGGGAGTCTGTGGGAGTCTGAGGGGGTCTGTGGGAGTCTGTGGGAGTCTGAGGGAGTCTGAGGAAGTCTGTGGGAGTCTGAGGGAGTCTGAAGGAGTGGGGTTTAAACTCAGAACCTCAGGATTCCAGGCGCAGTGCCCTAACCATTAAGCCGCCACTCCCCGCAGTCTTCCAGGCCTTCTAACAGATGAAGGAGGGAATAAATGTGGTTCTGTTATCAGATAAAGGTTCTGACCCGTCTGGATCAGGTGACAGAATCCGAGCCAGCTCACCTCCACTCGACACTTCCTGTTCCCCTGACGCGACGTCCCGCCCCGGCGGCGAAAGCAGGGCGGCTTCTCCCCCGCCTCCAGGGGGAAGTCAGTGGGGACGGCCCCCGTCAGCTCCTGACCAATCAGAGCACAGCACACACGCCTCAGGCTATGCTATATCACAGGAACCACTGCTCTGCTGTGACATCACTCACCGCCTCCTGGAGACAGATCCGCCTCAGCTCAGCCAATCGGGTGCTCAGCAGGGCCTGCAGGCTCCGCCTCCTCTCCTGCAGCTCAGCCATTCGTGCTTTTTGCTTCATGTTTGGACAGGTGAGGGGCTCTGCACACAGGTGAGACCGGGTCAGACAGAATCGGGACAGAAACGCGTTCGTGACGGCCTTCCTCGCTTACCAGGCGCTAAAATGAGTTGACCTTTGACCTCCATGGCACGCAGCTTCCATGTGATCTCCCCTCCTCGTCACCTGGTGTCCTGTTCACCTGTCCTCGGAACCTGGCTAACCCGCAGAGACCCAAAGCCAGATCGAACACCCTGGTTCCGAAGGAACCCGAACACCTGCGGGGCGCCGGTTCCTACCTGTGGCCATCCAACGGGCCGAGCTGCAGCCACAGGCGACGCGCTCAGTTGGTCACAGCAGCTCCCATCCTGGGGGCTCAGGGGCTTCACCTGGAATAAAAACCACAGAAGAAGAGTGAGACTGAGGGTTTTCCTTTAGAGGAACACGATGTTCTTTCTGCCCCCAAACAAGAACAAACTAAGAAGCTTCCTGTGCTCTCCAGAGGATCCAGGAACCTTCAGGTTCTTCATCAGAACAGAGAACTTCCCGATGTCGGCGACTCTCAGAACAAAGCTGAACATAGACCCACCTGACAGCCGCCTGGGAGCAGGTGGGACGTTCTGCTGAGCGACCGACCCGATCGGCCGTCAGACACTTCGTGATCTCAGGTTTAACGGCATTAAAAATAAACCAAAACAGAAACGTGTCTTCATCCACAGCCTCAGACTCGCTCTAACAACAGCCTGTCCAGAAAAGATGCTCCCCTCCGCTGCCCGTCGAGACCGGCGGCCCGGTTCTGCTGCTTCTGCTGCTCCACACAGCGCCTGGGAACAGGAAGCTGGCAGCAGGAAACAGGAAGAAGGAAATGAGCATGGAAGAGACAGGAAGGAGGGGGGAGGCAGCCGGACTGGAGGCGCTCAGAAACCACCTCAGAACCGGTCTCTGTTTTCATCAGTCCGTCTTTGCTCAAGTTTGATCCGTTCGGTTCTGAATCTGACGGTCCAGCTCTTCAGAACCGTTTGGGACGGGTTCTAAGCTCCTCAGCTCGGGTTCTGGACAGTTCGCCTCTGAGCAAAAATTCTTTACAAACGTCTAACTTTCTACGGGATCTGTAACTCAGAGCAGACCAGTTCTGGATGTTTTCCCATCCAGAGCGTCTGATCCGAGTCCAGTAAGGTTCTGATGACAGAGCTGCAGAATCATCCGAAAACTCTGAGCGCCTAAACGTTCCAGACTTCTATCTGCCTGGAAGGTTTTGGAAAACCCAAAATTCTGTTTTAGGAGGTTTAGTTCTCAGGCTCCTCTCCTGTGGAACCAACTACCAGTTTTAGTCCGTGAGGCAGACACCCTGTCTACTTTTAGGCTAGGCTTAAAACTTTCCTTTTTGATAAAGCTTATAGTTAGAGTGGCTCAGGTTATCCTGAGCTATCTCTATAGTTCTGCTGCTATAGGCTTAGACTGCTGGAGGACATAGGGACCCCTTTTTCATCATTCTGCTTCATTCTCTCTCTATTCTCCCACTCTGCAGAATCTGTTAGTTCAATCTCTAACGTTCTGCTCTCTCTGCTTTTTCTCATAGTAGCTTCATCTGGTCTGTTCCTGTTTGGCTGTGACTCCATCCTGGAGAGAAATATCAGCTGTGCTGCTGCCATCAACACCTTTGTTTCTAGATGTTGGAGCTTGGCCTGTTTTCCAGTGTAGTCCTGTTTCTCTGACTGTGACTAACTGGATGTGCTCTCTTCATCCTCTGACATGGGAGCTGGCTCGGAGCTCGTCTGCCTGGCTGTGTGTTTCCTGGACGGGGCCGCCTGTGGAGCTGGTTGCCTTTTGTATCTATGCTTCTTTTTCTATGTCTGCTTCTGTCTCCTTGAACCCCAGTCGGCCTCAGCAGATGGCCGCTCACACTGAGCCTGGTTCTGCTGGAGGTTTCTTCCTGTTCAAAGGGAGTTTTTCCTCTCCACTGTCGCTACAAGCATGCTTAGTGTGAGGGTGAAAGTGACCTGAGATGACATGATGTGAATTGGAGCTATAGAAATAAACTGAATAGAATTATAATAAAAATCTCTTTGTTTATCTTAGGGGGGCTGGTGGTTAGGGCACAGAGCCTGGAATCCAGAGGTTCTGAGTTGGAAGCCAACTCCCACAGACTGCCACTCTGGGTCCCTGAGCAAGACCCTCAACTTCACACGCCGCCCAATGGCAGCCCACTGCTCCCCCACGGGTTAAATCTCTATACTTGTGACAGAGTAATGACAAAAAAAAACAACAAAAAAAGCTGAAAGCTTATTAACTATCTAATAAACCTCGAACTATGAATAGTTATGTATTTCTTTTAAAATACGTATTCTTTTTTTTTATGGAAATTTTCTCTTGATACAAAAAACAACTCAGGTTAAAAAAAAAAAAAAAAGATTGTTATGATCTTTTTGTTGATCAGTAAGATGAATCACTTTGGATGGATTAATGAATAACCTGCAGGCCTGAGCAGCCCTCCGTGGCCCACAGATGGAAGCAGCCACTGGGATAAACTGGGATGTTTACAGGAAGTCCAGTAATCTGCAGGGTTCCTTCTTTGAGCCTGAGAAGCTTAGATCACTGAGCTGCTTTTCTCTGGAGGAACATGAATGTTATCAGCAGTTTATGGTCTAATGGACTCTGATCAATTAGCAGCTGCCCCCCCCCCTTGACTGACTAGGTCCTGGTTCTGCATAGAGCTATGTTCTACCAGAGCTGACAGTCTGTAGCGGCTAGCATCTTTCACAGCCTTTCTGAAGCCATGATGTCGACTGAATGAGTTTCTGTTATGAAGGATAAAGCAGCTAAACTCAGTGACCGTAGCTGTCAGCATATAGCTGCTCATTCATTTAAACAGACTAAGCTCAGCCTAATCTCTGGCTTAGATAGAAAACTTTGAATCAATCTGACTGGATGATCTGGTGAACTGGAAAGTGACCTGAGATGACAGGATGTGAATTGGAGCTATAGAAATAAACTGAATAGAATAAATGAATAAATAACATCCCAGTAATAGGAGGCCCTCTAGTGGTAAGGTGAGGTCATTACCTGGGAGGGCAGGTAGATCCGCAGGTCATAAGAAAAATCAGAATAACTTTAACCCTTCGAGTTGGAAAACTTTTTTTTTTATCCTCCAGGAAGTGTATCACCATGGTAACACAGTGTGAGAACATCTAACCTGGTAGCTAGTTATTGTTCTCTGATGCACCCACAGGTCTAATAGTCAGAACCGACCTGTAAGAACTAGCAGCTGCTGCTAACCCCGAGCTAAAGCTAATCTCATCAAACCGGAATCACCTGGAAATAAAGCGAATAAGATCGTGAATTCATCGCAGGTCTGCTGATGTTTCAGATGCATCCATCAAAGATGGCTCCTAACGACACGAGAATAATAAAGTTTAACTTTCAGCTCAGTCTGAAATTTTGCTCTTCTGTTTGCAGCTTAGCATCCGTTGCCATGGTTACCATCTGTTGCCTTGGTTACCTTTATTAATTCAAATGACAAAAGATGTCAAAGTGGATGAGAGGAGGTGACCCGTAGAAGGTTCTACTGGACCACACTGGAACCAGTTCAGCTCAGACGCTGTTCTGGTTCCAGTTCACTGATCCAGAGATACGGAACATTCCGGGTTTCTGCTCGGTTCTTTTAGGACGACAAACTGAACCAAAAGCCCAGTCTAGTTTTAGGAAATGGATCATTGAGTAAATTAGACTCATAATAATGTTACCATGGCAACACAGATGTTCATGTTTCACTAGTTATTGATAACGCCTGAGACGGGTCACTGCAGCAGGAACCAGAACCAGAACATCAGACCCAGAACATCAGAACTGGGGACCATGAGTGGTTCTGGCTGCGGGTTCCAGCAGCGGTCGGACTCCTCCATGTTCTCCTGCAGGTTTATCTCTCCTCCTTCTGTCTTCACTTTATTTTAAATCTGGATCTTTTTCTTATTTTTGGTTCCCAGAACATTCCTGCTCACAGCAGCACAGCTTTAAAGTTCTGGGTGGTTCTGGGCTCGGACCAGAGGTTCTACTCTGTTTAACAACAAATAAAGATGCTTAGAGTCATGAAGAGACCCAAACAGCCTCAGAACCTGCAGGTTCTAAGAACTTCACTGTGAAACGGCAACATCAGCAGAACTTCCTCGTCACACTCCAGAACCCGTGGTTCTGGTTGAGGACCCGGTCCAAACCCGGCTGCAGTGTGTTCTGTTGGTGAAACCGACCAGCAGCAGAGCCTTAGCAGGAAATTCTGGGCATCAGCACCGGACCCAGAACCTGGTTCTGAAGCCGGGTCATTGAAGGTCTGCAAGAACCTGAGAGAAAAAGAGCAGAACCAAACCCACACTCACACACACAGCCTAGGGGGTGAAAGGTTATTGGCTGGCTGGCTGCAGCTCTCAGCCAATCAGAGCTCAGGACGGGCTGCTGGGATTCTGTGTTGTTGCTGAGCAGAAAATCAGGCTGACCTACATCCATCACAGACAGAACCGCCAGGCTCAGAGGCACTGCGGCAGCGGATCAGCCGGACCTCACAGCAGAACCAGCTTCTCTGGACCTCCGGTTCTGTTCAGGTCCAAATGTAGCCCCCCCCCGTCCAGCTGCTGGTTCTGATGGAAAAAACGGTTCTAGGTGGTAAATAATTCACAGCAGAGGAACCGAGAACCACCGGCAGTCATGATGTTTAGGTCCGGTTCTGGAGGTCCAACAGAGGAAAACACAACGAGCAGCAGAGGAACCAGAAACAGAACCAGGATTGTTCCGTTTGAGTCCAGGAGCCACATACGGTCCGACCGGGCCTGAGCACGGCGGCTCTGGTATCATGGTACGGGCATGTATTTAAAATGGACCCGTTTATCAGGCGCCGGGTCGGTTCTGCTGACCCATCCTGATGCAAACAGGCCCTGAAATGGGAATTTCAGAACCACCGACTGTAGCTGCAGAACATCCGGACGTGTCCGACCCAGACCTCCGTGGTTCTGGTTCTTCACTTTACGGAGAACCTGGACCAGAACCTGATTTTCTCTGAACATCCCGGACCGAGACCAGAACCAGATCAGAACTGATGAATCGGATCTGAAAGACACAGAACCTGATCCTGGTCTAAGACAGGTCCATCAGGACCAGGGATTCTGCTCGGTTTTATTTTTTTTTTACGTGGGCCCGATTTGGGCCGGAGTGACCCCTGCTGGTGGGGATCCGGTATTACAGCCGACTGCAGAAACCTCATCGGTTCTTGGACCAGCAGAACACATGGTTGGCCCAAAACGTCCCGGTTCTATGAATCCCCCGAGTTCAGTCCGAGGTCAGAACCGGGTCATTCATTCATTCCTGGCGCCACGTGGAACCAGGGAGGGATGAACCGACCCGACGCAAATGAGGTTAGATCAGAGGCGGAGCTGAAGAGGTCACATGTTAGAAGACCAATCAGACGGTTCAGATTTGATGACATCATTTGTTGCTAATGGAAACGGAAACTGCTGCAGCTCTGAGAGAGGTTCATCAGGAGCGCCAACATGGCACCTAAAGAGCAGCAGCCGGTTGCTATGGTTCCTGGAATCTTCCCACCAATGAGCCTGATTGAACCTTGGACTTCCTGGACCTCCCAGACCTTCCGGACCTCATGGACCTCCTGGACCTCTGCTCATCAGGGAAGGTTCCAGCAGACTTCTGCCCTGAGCGTTTGGAGAAGAGGAGGAGGAATCTTGATGATGATGCAGTCTAGACGTCTCATTGACCTTAAGCCTAAGCGTGGGTCCAGGTCCAGGTCTGGGTCTGGTTCTGATTCCCGGCATCCCCTCCCATCACTGTGGACTTCAGTATTCCTAGCTTGGATGAATCTCTCTGATTTTTAGATCGGAGCATTGGACAGGAAATGTCTACAGACCCGTTATCCCAGAATCTAAACCCAGTAGGGTTCTTCAACGCCTCGGGGCCTGAGGTCCAAAGGATGTCTGTCTCCGCCGAGTCTTAAGAAGTCAGGCCAGTTTCTGTAGAACTTCTTTGGCTCTTCAGACCAGCATGTGTTCTGTCCACCCCCAATCAGAACCATCTCCTTAACAACCGGGCTCAGCTGAGCAGCAACCTGAGGTCCGCTGGCAGATCAGTTGGAGGACACCCGTGGCAGGACTGGATAACTGGTTTCAACTGAAAGGACCGTCACCAGCAGGGGGCGCTTGACCCATTTCTAAACAGCTTCAGCACCGGAACCCCTGCTAGAACATCGCAGCATCAACATCTCAGAGCTCATTTCGCCCGAAGGTTCCGTCCGTCATTCCGCCAGCGACCATGTGGGGGCAGCGTGGCGCACAGACCATCTGGATCCACGGCGGTTCCTCTGTTCCAGAGATCTTCCACCGTTTTCCTCTGGGACGGTTTGTTGGATCCAGCAGAACCAGCTCGCTGTCAGAACAGAACCTGGAGAAAAGGTCATGTGGAGCAAGGTCATGTGACTGTTGCCATGGCGTCAGTCGGGCACCTTTCCAATAACACAACCATGTGTGTCAGGGACGCCAAAGACCTGAGCTATGGGGCCCCCGGGGGCCCCTCTTTGGTCTGCCCTGACCCCAGGGCTGCTCTCTGATTGGATGACTGCCTCTGGCTGAGATGTTTACATCAATCAGCTGCTCCACATGGCAACAGGAGAGCTGGTGGGTCTCGTGGGTCCAGCAGAACCCAGTCCTTCCAGTCCTCCCCCAGCAGGAATGACTGGTTCCGTTCTGGTACCTGTAGCCTGTTCATGCAGTTGGATCCAAATTATCCACCGAACCGGATTTCTATCCGAACCTGCCTGGTTCTCTGGGCTTTTCGGACTCAGATCCAGCATCCTGGTTCGGTTCCGGTTCTGAATCGAACCCAGCGGTGTTTCACAAACAAACAATCAGGCTCGCGCTGCTCGGCTCCCGCGCGCCGCGCAGCATCAACCCGCAGACTTTCGGAGGGAGTTCGGTTCCGGTTCCTACCTGGGCTCGCGGGTAACGGCTCTGTCACGTGGTCTGCAGCCCGGTCCAGACAGCAGAACCTCACAGTTCTGGTGGATCAGCTGGTTCCGCTCTTCATCGTCCTCCTCTTCATCATCCGCAGCATCAGCAACACGGTGCGCGCTCCCGCCGCGGACCAGCACACGCCTCGCCCATGCGCGCGCACGTGGGCGCAGCAGGTTCCTTCTTTCTTCTTCGCGTGTTTCGGTACCGACCGCCCTGGGTGACCCGGACCGGTCACCTTCTATACGAACTATGGAGACCCAGAGGGGACAAAATGAAATTGACCATTCATAAAATCAACATGTTAAAGGAAATAAATATTTTTTTATTTTCCTGTGATACGCATTTTTTTTATTAAGTCATTAATATTAACATGAAAAAGATAGAAAATAAATAAATGTCCCATTAAATAATTAAATTAACGGCATGAAAAAGGGAAGGAATTTGTTTTATTTATTATTTAAATTTTTTAAAATAAAAAATGAATAAAAATAGATAATCAATTTATCATTTAATGTCATATTTATTAATAAATGGTACGTTTTTTAATTAATAAAAAATAATAATAAAAAATAAAAATAGAAAACGTTTAATTATGGTACCTTTGTTTAATGATGTATTAAATGTTACATTTATTTTATTTTAAATTTCATTACTGAGAAATAAAACCTTATCATGTTTGAAGCTTAGAATATCACCTCAGTTTTAGCTGAAAGTTGCTCTGTCAATTTAATAAAACAATAATTTTGATTATTTAAAAAAAAATCGTTTATACTCTTTATTTCTGGAGATGATACTTTTCACAGTGGAAAAAATTACCAGAAACAGATTAAAAGTTGGACTAAAAGCTATAATTTCAGGGTTTTAATCTACTATTGTTGTAAACCTGCCTGTAGAAATCAGAAAGATTTTTCTTTTTTTATTTAACTTGTCAGGTTGGGGTCTGAACTGCCCCCTCTCCGCTCAGTGTGGAGTCCATTACCCCCCGTCCTGCCTGGGCTCGTTGGTGCACTGGTGGAGCTCGGGGTTTGGGGGTGGATGCCCAGGTGGCTACTGCTCCACGGGGCCTGCCCCTCCAAGGCCTGGTTGGGGCTCCCCCTGGGGCCTCAGGTCCCCGGGGCCGGTTCCACTTCGGGGTGGCTGGCTGTCGGCAGAGCCCGCGGACTCGTCCCTGCGGTTCCCGGGGGCTCCAGCGTTGCGGTGTCTGGGGTTTTCCTCTGGGCTGTCTCTCCTCCACCCTTGGTGGGGGTCGGATTTCCTGGGTTGGTCCCTCCTGGGCGCCTTTGCTCTTGGGGTCCCTGGGGCATCTGGGGCTTTGGGTCTCCTGGCGCTGGACTCGATGCTCAGCAGGTGATGAAGCAGACTGAAAATGTTTTATCATTATCTCCCTTTTATCTCCTCTTTCTTTCATCTCCTTTTTTCATATTTTCCTTTCCTGTTCTGCTTACATTGCAGTGTCCATATAATCTGCAAAACTTCCTGCATAATTATAATAAAGCTGTTTATCTGCATAAATCAAGTGGAACGCTATGGTGATAGCCGTACTGCTCCACTTGTAAAAAGTAAAATCTGTTTTTTGGCATCAAGACAATTATGCTTATTGCTACATTGCCAGACAGGACACTGTAAAAAAAACAAACAAAAAAAAACTGGCCGGTGGGGGGGCCGGGGCATTGCACAGGGTGGCCGGTGCCACCCCCTAGTGGCGCCACTGCCGCCAGTTAGTCAATATTGGAACAAATAAGTTTGGGTTATTTTTTATGTTTTGCTTTGAAGCTCTGAGCGGCTTCCAAATGTGATCGATAAAGTTTTAGATTTTGAACAATCCGCCTGCGACCCAAACGGCTGGAAAAATAGATTTGACCTTTTCTTCACTTTGTAAAGTCGATTCTTGTCATATTTTTCTTCAATTTTAACTTTTAAATGTTAAAGAACATTAACTGGAAAAGACCCAGAGATCCGGACAAGTTAACGGATTAATGCTTCTTTATTGTTTTGACCGATTATTGGTCACTAATTGCAAAGATCAATTATCCTTTGGTTTGATATTGCAGGGACGTTTCTATTGGGGTGAGATTCCCGTTTTCAGAGAATCAATCAGACCTCTAAAACAGGGATATGTCAGAGTGAACCTGGTGTCGAAAATAGGCCACGCCCACTGATCCCTGGACGGGTTTCATGATCCGACTCTGAACAGCCAGTATAAAAATGCACTAAAAACCTTTATTGTTCCAGAGAATATTAACAGGACAAACGGACCAATGAGAGCGCTCCATCATCAACAAAGAAAACATCAAACTTTTATTTAATCAAGTAAAAAAAACAAACGAAAATTTACATCATAGCCCCGCCCACATTGAAGCCCCCCCCCCTCTAAGTCCCACCCCATATTGAAGGCATCCCAACCATCTGAGGCTCCGCCCACTAAACACCAGAACTCAAACCACAGCCAGAGTTCTGACCCAGAAGACTGAGCCTCAACGCTCCTGTTGTCCTTTAGCCCCGCCCACCTCAGGTCCGGATTCTGTGAGTTCTGAAGGGAACGGATCAACGGATCAACAGTCCAACATTCAGGAATATTCAGCTTCTGTTCTCATCGTTTAAAATCAGGAACCCAAACAGACCAGAACCGCTCTGCCCCTGACCAGCTAAGAACCTGAACCTGGAGTTGGGTCGGTCCTCGATAGCCACATTCATTCAGAACCTTTAGAACCATCAGTTTGTCGTGTTTTAAGAACCAACTGGATCATTGCAGAACTGGTTGGGTTCCGACCATCGGCGCCGCCTTGCATCGATCTGGTCAAAATGAAACCAGAACGTTCTGGTAGTTTCTGTGTCTGGTGGGATTCTGGTATCGTCTGCCGGTTCCTACATGTCCTGAGAAGGTCCGCTTCTCTTGGACGCTGCTTTGGAGTCCTTGCTGGTTTCTATGGCAACACAAAACAGAAAACATGATCATACCGCGGCAGAACTCCGATCCACCCCGAGCTGCAGGCTGCGGTTCTGACCTTGTAGCCATCGGACCTGCGTGGCCGGCCCGTAGCCCTTCTGGTTCCGAGCGGCGATGCGGAAGATGACGGCGGGCTTGGTGGTGTAGTCGATGTGGGCGTTGGCCAGGCTGGATGCCTGAACCAGGCAGCGCGGGTCCGAGCCACAATACACCCTCATGAAGGCCAGCTGGGCCGGGCCGGAACCAGAAGCGGGCGACTTGGCCTGGCTGGACTGGATGGCCAGGTACACCGAGTACTCTGTGATGGTTCCCGCGGTGACGGCGGGGGGCTCCCAGGTGAGCTGGGCCCCGTCCAGGTTCTGAGGAGACAGATGTCGTTAGGACGCCCCCTTCTGGCGGGGAAACACGTTTCCATGGCGACAGGCGTAACTCACCTTGCTTATCTTAATGGCGCACGGCGCTCCAGGGAATCCAGGGAGGCAGGTTTTAAACGCCGACACCTCGGAGAAGGCGCCGCGGCCGCAGATGTTGATCCCTGCGACCCGGAACTTATAGGCAGTGCCAGGCTGCAGCTCCACCCGCCTCATCTGACTATAATCTGGCACCGAAGTCGCGTAATCCTGCAGGTACAGAACAAACGGTGAGTCCACAGCGCCGCAGCAGCTCCACCTGTACTCTGAGTGCCGGCAGCCTCACCTCAACCGCGCCGTCGTCGTAGGGGACGTAGTAATGTGTTACCACAGCGTTGGTGACCTTCATGATGCCGACGTCAAACCACGGGTTCTCCTTCGGCGCTGTCCTGACTCGCTGTTCCTACAGCATTAAAGTGGAGATATGACTGGCATGTAGTTGGCATGTTCTGTGTGTATTTTGGGCATGTTCTCCGTGTCGTTAGGGTGTTATTAGACACGTGATAACGTACTGAGAGTCAGCAGGTCTGAACTCAGAAGATGCATCTTTCCAATTAGCCTTTAATGCTATCTTAGACGCTGTTGGCTTTGTTCAAAATGTGAATAGTCCCACACATTCTGCTCTTCATATTCTGGATCTTGTGCTGACATACGGCATAGAATGTGAAGAAATAACAGTATTTCCTCACAACCCTGTCCTCTCTGACCACTTTCTAATAACCTTCAGGATTATTTTGACAGTTCTCCTCCCCCAAAAGTTTAGATCTTTATCAGATAGTGCAGTTATAAATTTAAAAGAATCTGTTTCACTTTCTCTCTGCTCTGTGTCACTGAGCAGTGCCGCAGAGGGTAAAAGTTTAGTTTTGATGGGGTTGCTAGTTCTCTGCGTACTGCCTTAGACAACGCAGGCCCTTTGAAAATTAAAAAACTTGTTCTCTGGTTTAGTGCACAGCTGCGCACTCTGAAGTAAAATGCTAGGAAACTAGAGAGAAAATGGCGCTCTATACGCCTTTGGGCTAACGTTAGCCCTGGCTGCGGTTAGTCTCGGAGCTCTTCTGGTTGCCACGATCCTCTCAGCATCTGAACTTTTGTTAAAATTACGCATTAAATCAGTAAACGGGCCATAAGGTGAAGCTTAAAGTATAATGATCTCGCCTCAAATGATTTTAAAACGTACTTTTATTGAACTACAGGCCACAGAAAAGAGAACTTAATCCTCTGAGCTCTGTGAGCGCTAACCTGGAAGCTGCTGCTGCCGCAGTGCATGCTGGGACAGCTGTCAGTCTGGAGAAAGGACAAGTCTGCTCTGATGCATGCTGGGTAAAGAGGGAGGGGCCAGAACAACATCCAGACTTTGTCCCGTTCTCAGTCTGCTGTTCTACTGAATTGGAACAGTACTAGGGCTGATGGTGATGATGTTTGAAGAACACACGAGAACGCACAAGTATAAAAAAGAAACAGCGTCTGTCAGTGTGTTAGCATGCTGTTGACCTTTTAGCTCCGTGTACTGAAGTTCTTAGCATGTTCTAGGTACACTGTTGTTCTTTTTGGAGTTTTGGAGCCATTTTAGCTTTGTTGTTAGACGTGTTCTTGGTGTGCTGTTAAAAGTCGTAGGGAAGCGGCCGTTCCAACCGTTGCATTTCCGAATTCTCCCGAGTGGTGCACGACTTTACACGAGTGAATAAAGTGAATGTGATTGGTCGTTTATCAAGGGGGCGGGATTGCTGTGGAGGAAGGTTTGCAAGCAAGTTTGGTTGTGGTCAGTTTGTCTGAAGCATCTTGCTAACCAGTTAGCATCTTAGTGCTAGCAGGTTCCCAATGAGAAATTCCATTGGGACCAAGTAGCACTAAATTGGTGCCTTAGAAACGACGCTGTCAAGGACCGCTATGGACAGCGGAAACATGCAAGAGGAGGAGAGTTTAGTGTCGGAGGTCGTGGATGAGTCTCCTCCGTCATCCATTTTTTATTTAGAGGAGGAAAGCGGGACGAAGATGTTGTGGAAGAGCACGCCAGGGCGGCAGAAGCTTGGTTTGGTGTAGAAGGCTTCCAGCCGTACATGTTTGAGCCCTTGCCTCGCAACGCTGCCAGTTCTGTTAGCTCTACGCCTGCCGAAGACACAGACGTCCATCCCCGTGAACACTGGGACGCAACTCAATGGGAAAGGAAAGGATTCTGATTTCAACCGTTGCGTATATTAGCTGCGACACATGAATCAAGATGCTATGACCGAAAACATTTGATTGACAGACGACCGTTGATATATGATTGGCCGAATTTAGGTGTTCAGGCTGACGAATAACTAACTGGCCTGCAGAAGATAACGGGAAAAAAACTGATTTTAAGACATGAATTTTTTTTCAAATAGAAATTTTCCAACTTTTGGGACACTATGGTCTGATTAAGAGAACATTAATATACACGTGTAAGCCAGAATGATTTGGCATTTAAATATAGTTTCCCTACAACTTTAAGCATGTCTAGATGTGAGTTCTTGGCTAGCTTAAGCACATTGGTCTATTTAGTAAATCTTCCTTTTAAAACTCCTGATGCTGACAAACTGATGCAGGAAACAAACTGGGCAGACTGGTCTAAGGTGTTGAGAAATTCTCTAAATTCCACCAATCATCTCACAATTGGAGGTTCCCTAATGCCATTGGACGTCGCCATGGGCGTGGTGACAGCTGTGCTCTTCGCCTGGCCCTCCGCCATCGTGGGGGTGGGGCTAAACGTGCTGGCTAATCGAGCGACGGCGCTGATCACGGCTGAGGTGGGGAGCTGGTGTCCGTGGCTCTCTGCGCTCGGGTCGTTCAGGCTGTCGGCTGGAGCGAGGCCCTCTGCAACACGTTCACACAGAAACAGAATCAGAACCAAGCAGGTTTCATGCTCCACCTGATCAGTTTATGTAATAAATTCCTGTGAAACTCTACCTGTGGGAACGCTGCTGGGCTCTGGTTCTGCTTCCTGCTGCTGCTGGACCAGCGCCGCCAGTTCCTGAGGTGTCAGAACAATGCGGAACGGCTGATCGCTCGGTTGGTTAGCCTCACCTACAGAAACAGGAGCACACTTTCAGAGAGAGCGCTGCCAGAAGCAGTGACCTCACCGTCCTCCCAGCGTCTCACCGACGGGCCCAGCCGCTTGCAGCGCCACCTGTGAGGCTCCTTCGCCGGTCGCCATAGTAACTGCCAGCTGATCTTGGACCAGTCCTGGCGTCAACGTAAGGGTCATCGTCCTGGAGACATCCTCACCTCCGTCCCCCTCTGATGACATCAGTTGCTGAGGAAGACCTTCATCTGAGGAGGCCATCTGAGAACAAGGGGGCGGAGCCTGGTATTAGTGTGTGTGTTTGTGTGTTAACTGGCCCGATGAGGCGCCAACATTCACCTGAACCTGTAACGACGACGCCCCCGATGACACCACGCCCTCCGATTGGCTGTCTGTCAGTGTTGGCTCCTCCTCTTCTCGTGGCACCATGATGAGCGTCTCTGAGGTCTCCATCCTCTCAGCTCCAACCAACGAGGAGATTTCCTGGTGAGAAAAACGCCATCAGAGCGACCAGCTCTCCACACCTAGAGTCTCTGAAGAACGTCTACCGGACCCAGACATACCGGTACTGCTGGACCCGGGGCCGGCGTTGCATGCGTTACGGTAGTTAATGCTGTGCTGTGACTGACAGCAGAGGCGGGATCAGATGAGGGGGCGGAGTCTGTGGAGTCTCCTTGCGGAGTTTCTCCACTCTGTTGAGCTGCACATCAAGTGGAGAGGAAGCGATGTCACAACACGTTTGGTTCTTCCAAAAATCAAGAGCAGGTGTGGACTGTTACCTGTGGCTGTGGTGGCGGTGTTGGTGGTTCCGGTCTCGTGGGTCTCGCACGGTGGGTTGGAGCACACCTGTAACACAAACGGGCCATTAACACACCTGTACCCATCACAGAAGGTCCTCCACCTTTACTGACAGACGTTTCCTCACCTGTCGGAGTCCTCCAGCTCCAGCTGTGGTGGCGGTGTTGGTGGTTCCGGTCTCGTGGGTCTCGCACGGTGGGTTGGAGCACACCTGTAACACAAACGGGCCATTAACACACCTGTACCCATCACAGAACGTCCTCCACCTTTACTGACAGACGTTTCCTCACCTGTCGGAGTCCTCCAGCTCCAGCTGTGGTGGCGGTGTTGGTGGTTCCGGTCTCGTGGGTCTCACACGGTGGGTTGGAGCAGACCAGAGTCACTGTTGCACAAACACCTGATCAGTTCTGACTACCTGAGTTCTGCAGGTGTTCTTCAGGTTCGTGCTTTAGAACCAGCTGCGTACCTGTGGCTGCGTCTCCCTCAGCGTTGGTGGTCGTGGTACTTCCTGTAGTATTCCCCGTTTCCTCTGACGTCGGAGAGGCCATGATGGAGACGGGCAGGTCCTGGACCAGCGGTTGGGGCTCGGCACCGCTTGGCGTTGTGATCAGAGTCACCTGCAGAAAGAAAACAGGAAACGCTTCTGATCACTTGAAGCCATCCGCTGCAGAACCAGAGGCTGGACCAAAGAGGTCAGACTCTGAACTTGGAGCCCGTTGAGTCGATGACGTGCTTTTTGTTTTTCTCTACTGTGGTACCTGTCTGGGTCCTGAGGTGGGGGCGGTTGCTGTGGTAACCTGGCTGGCCAGCGACGTCAGAGTAGTGATGGGTGTGGTCAAGGAGGCGTTGGCAGCGGAGATGCTTCCTGTGGCTGTGCTCAGACTGGCGACCCCTGCAGGCAGGAAGCGGACCTTCATGGTCAGCTGACACACGACGACATACGCCTCACCTGAACGCCAATTGTTTACCTGAGGTCCCCTTCATGACCAGCGTGGTGACAGCAGGGCTGCTTCCGCCGGGTGCTGGAGACACCAGTCTCAGTCCGCTCATGGGGACGGTTCTGAGGATGGTACCGCCCATCCCGGGCGCTCCTTTTAACACCACCTGATAACACAGAGAGGGGCGGACATGTTGGGATGCCCCATGTTGCCTTCAGCGGGCCTCTGTGCGCCACCCAGCCGTAGCCTACCTGTGTGACGCCCTGCTGGACGCCCGCAGACATCCTGGGGACGGCACTGATCAACCTCTCCGTTCCCGCGGTTCCCACCTTGGTGGTCAGGATGGTAATCGGACTGTTCCCACCTGCAGTGGGCGGACCTTCAGTGAGTACTCTGCTTTGGTTCAGAACCGCAGCTGCTCAGGCGGGCGCCGTACCTGCTGCTCCCTGCAGAGCCGACAGCGGGATGGTCTTGATGATGGTGGGTTTGTTGGCGGTGGATCCGGCCTGCGCCGTGCTGAGGATGGCCGTCTGCTTCCCATCTGCTGAGGTCACCAGCTTCAGGATGGTTCCCGCGGGCAGAGCGCCCTTCGTCTGAGAGGAAGAGGACGGGTTTAACTCAGAACTAATTGTGTGTCGGTTCAGACCCAGTGACATCAGAACCGCCTGGAACAGTTGGACTCCAGCAGGTTGTTCTGCTCTACAAGGTATGGAAGCTCATTGCTAGAATTCCCTTATGACAGAAAGAAGGCCACGATTCACACCATCTATCATCCGGCGGGGGGGGACACATTTAATTACAAAACCGAATTCATACAGCTGTCTTAAACACTTCATACATCCAGCAACGCGTCGTCAAAAATTCTGTTATCCCCCAACCTGCAGTCCATCTTCAGTCCACATCGCATTACGTAACTGCACATGCACAGGAATATCATGTCGAAAGCTTACTGGAATTCACGTGGGCTGGTCTGCGTCAGAGTCACTCCGACCCTCAAAGAATGTTTATACAGATGCTCTCTGTTTATGCCAAACCTTCTCATATATCATCTAATTGCGTACGAATAAGGCATTAGGGACTTTATTATTGCTAAGACTCATACTTGAACTTCAACATGTACGGTTTGTTGCTAAGTAAGTATAGGGCCGTGTTGTAGGATATATTCTGATTCTGATTTCTGATATGAGACAATAAAACTGCTTCTACAAAGGCAAACCTTCTGGGACGTCCCGCGCCTTCACCGTTCCAGAAGCCGGTTCATTTCCAGCTGGACCTCAACTCTGAACAGCAGCTCCAGTTTCAGTGGTTCTAAAACTGACCCCCAGATTCCACATCACCCGCCTCCGCCCCACTCACGTACGTCAGGCGGAGTTCTGGTCTCTCATGTTAGTCAATGAGATCTGTTCCACATCACCGCTACCCCTCCGCACGTTACCGTCCACCAACGTCTTCTCCGTCAAAACAGGGAGCAGAACTTTTTTTCTCTGCTCTGGTCCGTTAGAAGGCGGCCAGATCAAGATCCGCAATTACAAACAGGAAAAAGAACAGCGAGAAGATCCGGTTTGTCAAAGTTAAATATAGTAACAACAGATCGGTAACTACAAATTAGAGCATAATTCTTATTTATTCCCAAAAACTAACATTGTTTAATTAAATGATTGGATGCAAACTGTTGGTATTTCAACATACCAGGAAGGAGATTTCCCATCTCCATCAAAATATTTATTTTACCCCGAGAGGCTTATATCGGATCCAGGAGCGTGAAATAAAACGCCACCCAGCGCGCGCAGACGTCCCAAATCTGACAACTTCAAAACAAACTTCTTATGGCAGGCAGCGATGAAGAGATGCCGAGTTTGGAGGTCGAGAACAAACAAAATTCACCCAATCACAGGGTTTCCGCAGGTCATTAAAAATCATTTAATTAGTATTTTTTTAATTGAGGCCTTAATTGGCAGTAAAGTTAATTAAATCTGAATGTCGTGGCATTTAAAATGTTTGATTTAAAAATAACAAAAAATGTTTAGCAAAAAAATTTCATCAGATATTTTAAATCGCAATATATTTCCGGTTCCGTAAAGCCGTGTTAGCGGTGGCATAGATTACATTTTTTATCTAGATTAATCCCACTGTGATCTTGGAATTAATCTAGATTAAAATGGCTAATTTGAATTTTATGAATCAGAATTACTTTATTAATCCCTTGCTAATTTTTATTCTGGCAGTGCGATCATTTACAGAAGAGAGAAAAATAAGAAATAAGAATCAAATAAGATAAGGATGACATGTGTGAGCTTCCTAAATGATGTTTATCAGGCCAGCTGGTGAATTAGGGAAGGAGCTGGTGAGGAAAATTAATATACTAAATAAGACATATTTGAGTTTAATAAATGTTTATTCAGATAAACGTGAATTCTGAACTTTGAAAGGTAATCAGTCAGTTAGTTCATGATGAACTATCAGTAGATCTGGGTCGGTCCAAACTCCTTTATCCACCCGTCACTCAGGCAGTCATTGTAATTTCCTGTGAGGCTGGAGCAGCAGCAAGGGCTGCTGGGTAAAACATCACCATGTTATGCTAGTTCTGTGTTAAAGATGGTTGTTTATGTTGGTAGCCTGCATATGCTAAGCTAACATCGTGTTCTGGAGGTTGCAGCTGTAAGTGTGAACTTTGGACTGACTTTAATCAGTTGGATGTAAGGGAACAAGCGCAGCCCGAATTATGTGTTGCATAAACAAACGGCGTCGCCGCTGGTTACATCATGAGTAACTTGCTTGCAAACGCGAAACAATATGAAGGAGGAAGTCGTCATCAGTATAGACTCAGCTTCCAATCTGTATAGATCTAATAGATTAATGGAATTATTTTGTTTTTGGCGCGATAAGATTCTGGCGTTAACGCCGATAACAACCCACCACTAATATATTTACATATATGGGAATAACGGGTAGTTGTTTATGGCATTAAAATGATTTATAAGAGCATTAAAACAGAGTTACTCATTGCTGTAGAAACCCTGAAACTATGGATGATCCTAGTTCTCCCTGTAACAAAAATCCTCAACAGAAAGAAAATATTTGGGCAGAAACTGAACATCTGCTGGATGCTGATGGGGATTTTTTTCATTATGTCATATTATATGAAGCACTCATTTCCTCCTGTGAATTTAATGATATTATAGCGCATGCTGTCCTGCAGCTCTGAGGAAGTTGGAGCGGAGCAGAATGGGAGAAGCTTTGCTTTGCGCAGGCGGTCTGAGCGATGCGGGGCGGAGACGGAGGATGAGGGATTTTGGGGTGAGACTTATTTCCTTTGGCTTTGTTTCTGTTGCCTGGCAATAGCATCATGATGTCACTTCCTGTCCGTCTCTGTGACCCGTTTCGGGTACGGCTCAGTTCAGGACCTGGTTCGTACCTGAAGGATCTGAGAGACCGGGTTGCTCCCAGCCTGACCTGTAACCGCTCCGCTCTGGACCGTCCTGGTCTGGACCATCGACACCACCTTCCCCAGGTTTCCAAGGTTACCGATCTGAAAGAGGAGCAGATGTTTGAGACCCAGCAGGTTCTCCTGATTGCAGAGCCTGAGCCTGATTGCATGTTCTCAGAGACAGCAGAGAACATGTAGGAACAACAGAGTCGAAAATAAAAACCGAACACAGAACTGTTCTGTCCAATCAGAATGTTCTGATGGGTTCTGGTGCCGACGATCGTTATTTTACTCTGTTTAAGCATTGCAGATACTCATTACCAGAACACTAACCATATCTCACTATGTGTACTTGTGCGTTCTCGTGTCCTCGTGAAACGTCATCAGCCTCAGCCCTAGTACTGTTCCAATTCACAAGAACAAGAAGACCGAGAACGGACAAAGTCTCCGGATGTTGTTCTAGCCCCTCCCTCTTTACCCAGCATGCATCAGAGCAGACTTGTCCGTTCTCCAGACTCACAGCTGTCCCAGCATGCACTGCAGCAGCAGCAGCTTCCAGGTTAGCGCTCACAGAGCTCAGAGGATAAAGTTAAAAGTTCTATTTTCTGTTGCCGTTATTCAATAAAAGTACGTTTTAAGATCATTTGAGGCGAGAAAATTGGACCTTAAGCTTCACTATAAGGAACATTTACTGATTTAGCGCGTAATTTAAAAAACACCAATTTCAAGGTTGAGAGGACCACAGCAACCAGCGGACCTCTGAGGCCAGCCACAGCCAGGGCTAACGTTAGCCCGTCTGCAGCAGCCCTCTCTCTGCATAGCCGTGTGTGAAGGACCGCTGCCTCTGATGGATATTTTTGTTTTATTTGGTAAAATGTTCATTTGATTTGTGTTTATCTGACTGTGTTCATTATTATTCCTCCACTAAATGAAAAAAGTCATAATTTATTATTATCTAGAGATTATTAATAACAGGAGGTGAAAAGCAGCTCCAGACTAGCTTTGAATGTGATGATGTCATCAGTACGCTGCTGTTCTAATTGATCCAGATTAATTCTGCTCCGGTTCTCCCAGAGTCCAGACTTTCCTGGGTTCTTCTCTAGAACAGACTTCTAGTGAATTGAGAAACAGCTTCTGTGTGACATCACTCACCAAAGCTCCGCCTCCTCCCAGGCTGATGGGACTGTTGACAATGGTGATGGTCTTTGTGACTCCGCCCACCACTGTAGTGACCACCTGAGGCTGTGGGGAGACCGTCACCGAGCCCGACTTATGCACCGTGATGATTGGCCGTTTGGGAGTCCCCGCAGCGGACGCCACTGAAGCCCCGCCCACCTGAGCGGCGGCCGTCTTCAGGAGACGCGCTGCCGAGTTGTTCACCTGAAACGGAAGCGAGGAGGCGATCACCCATGAGCTCCGATCTCATCGCCACCATGGTAACCGGTCCCAGACTCACAATCTTCACCGCGCCGCCCCCTGCTGGTAGGCCGAGGACCGGCGCCGTGGACGGAGGGATCTTCTGAGTCACTGCTGCCGCCGCCGCCAGTGCCGCCATGCCACTCATCTGAGGGCCGCTACCTATCGCCTGAAAGAAGACGGAAGGAGGAGTTACCATGGAAACACAGCATCAGGAGATTTCCTGACATTAAGAGATAAAGCATTTGCCCAAAATCTAAACTTTACCAACTCCATCTTTGTTCTTTTATCCATCTTTTTTTAAGTTTCAATAAGTTTAAGTTTCATCCTTAACATGAACGAGTTAATCTAAAAAAAACATCATTATATTGCTGCATTAAATGCTGTAAATACTGTTAGATTACTAAAAAAAAGATGAATAAAATCTGATAAACAGAGATGTAGAGCTATCATTACCAGATGGGGTATGTCGCTGTGACATGTAGCGGACGCCAACTTTGAGCACTTCTCTGTTTTTAGTTTCATCCACCAATCAGAGCTGGGAGAGACTTTGTTCTGTTAGCAGAGATTTTAAACAGCTGGTCTGGTTCTGGTTCCTGTCAGAGGAATTTTATCCTACTTTCAGACCCCAAGCAGCAGAAGCAGCAGGTTTCCATGCAAAGTTATTGGTTGATGCGCATCAAGGCGCAGGAAAAGGTCCTGCAGTTCCCACAGAGAAATAATCTTTGAAGGCAGGATGGTAATCTGGATGAACTGACTGCACAGACCATGTTTTCAGGAGGACTTTCTCACTTCAACATAGATTCTAACTACTTTCTACCCGCTGATCACAGCTAATATAGCTGCTATTGTTCCAGGCAGAGAAAGGATAGAGTAGCTCCGCCCACCGCGCAGCTGGATCAGCAGAGATGCTTCAGCCGCGCGTCAGAACTAAACTTGTAGAAGCATCTAAAATGAAGCAGAACGCGCGTTTAAGCTGCTCCTGCTGCGTGCGATCTGAACTTAGCGTTACAACTTGTCTCCATAAAGGTCATGACCTCATCAAGCTTCTCCAGCTAACATGCTAACTGCTAGCTTGTCTTTTATCCTGTTCTAATGGTTTCTACTTTTCTCTCATCTTCTCCTTCTGATCCAGCAGAGAAGTTCTGCTGCTCCTCCATCAGCGCCGCTAAATGGACCCATTTAGGAGAACTGAAGGAGTTCATCAGAGTTTAGATTCACTAATAGAACCACAGGAAGTTCATCCTGGATCCTTGGATCCATTAAGGAGGAAATATTCTGGACTGGACTGTGGATCCATCAATGGTTCTGCTCTGACATTACTTCTATTGTAAATACCAAGGAGAATCTGATAAATATTGAACAATGGCGCCCTCTGGTGGACCGCTGTAACATAAAAGTGGATTTTATCAATCAGAGGGAACCCATCTGAATCTAATCAACCTTTAATTTATAATTAATCGTAAGTCAACTATTTGTTTACATCCTTAGTTCTGGTAGAACTCTGAGATGATAGAAGAAAGAAGAAGTTACTCTGAAACAGATAAATAAATCAATGTTAATGTGACATATTAACCACTATGTTGTTTTCTTTTCTTGTATAAATACATTAAAGTCTACAGGTAACTAATTATTTGGTAGAACAATAGTTCATCAATATGATATGATTCATATAATATTATTTTGAATCTCCACTGGTAAAAATGCTTTTTTTTTGGTGTGGAGAAAATTAGTGAATAGAAAGTGGCGTGTGCGTCGGCGTGCGAGGTTTTAGAGGAGAGGAAGACGCAAACTGTCAGATCTGTGCAGCTGGAGATTTTGGTTTGGCTGAATGTTTAAAACTCTTTAAAAAGCGCCGCAGAACGGACATTTAGAACCCTGGTCAGTGTTCGCACCCAGAGGACGTCGCTCGGTGCAAGAAGACGCCGCAGAGGGGAAAGAAAGACGCTCCCGGTGGGATCTGATTTTTCTTTTTGGGGATTTTTGGTGGCATCTCTTTTTATTTTTATTGTTTTTGGAACGGGACTTTGAACGCAAACGGAGGAACACTTCCAGGACTTTGTTTTGAGTTGGGAGGATATGGAACTCCTTTGTGGACATTATTATTAAAAAACAAAAAGAACGGGCAGCTTTGGACTTTCAGTTATTAGGTGTTTTTTTGCATATTTAAATTGAGTGTTTTGAGTCTAACTGATAAATAGTTTTTGAAGCATTTTTGGTTATTGATCCGTTTATTTCAAATAACTGGTGATATCCTTATTATTGTGATTTTTTTTATTAATAAATCATTGCTGCTAAAAATGTACAAATTTCTTATTGAGTGGTTGGATATTTATTTTCGTATTAAATTAATGATGTAACATATTTTACCTTGTTTCCCGTGACGGACGCCCCAGCAGGTTTTTGTGATTTCTGCTTTTAATTAAGCTAATTTGAAAATGTAGAAATAATCAGATTCTGGATCTGATCATTGTTCTGCTTTAGCGGCTCCATTACTTCTAATCCTAATACCAGTGAGACTCCGCTTAGCGGTGAACAGCGGCGCCCTCTTGTGACATAACTTTTAATCGTAGTTTATCATTTAATTAGATGGACAAAATGTTATCTAATAAACAATTAATCAATTTATAACTAGAAGTAAATGATTCGTTTTCTTCCATGTTTTTGAGCGGCGTCCTTACCACCTGACTGGGCTGAGCAGGAACCGCCACACGGACACCAGCAGGAAGCGTTGCCATGGTCACAGGGGTTTTTGGCGCGGCCAGTCTGACGCCCCCCCCTGCCGCACTCGGAGCTGCTGACAACCTCAGGACCGCTGCAGAAACACAAACACCATGTGAGAAAAAAGCATTTCCTCACATCGCCCCCCCCCATAGGAGAACCTACCCGGACCTTTGGCGTCTGCAGCCGACGGGCTTCCAGGAGCAGAACCCGGCGCCGGGACGGCCTGGCTAGGTGGAGCCAGGGAAGGAGGGGCGGCACCGGGGGCGGGGCCGGCTGGAATGTCGTACCTCTGCAGCTGCAGGAGGTACGTGTCTGCGGTCTTAGACGGACCCCAGCTCACCTCCAGGGACGTGGTGTTGGCCCGGACCAGCTGCACCCGGGACGGCGCCACTGGACACTCTGAGGGGAGGGGGGACAGGTTGGGACAGTTGGAATTGTTTTGGGGGAGTGGTTTTAGCTGTCCTTCCAAAAGAGTTAAAATCAATCGACTGGACCAGCTGTCAGTCTGTCCTCACCTGTCTCCAGGTACCACAGGTCTTTGCAGCAGACCTGGTTGTTCCAGGCCTTCCGGTACCCGTCCCGGCCGCTCCAGATGTAGAGTCTGGAGTTGATGGCCACGCTGCAGTGACCGGCCCGAGCTCTGGGCAGGTTCTCCTCATCGCCGTCCATCAGAACCGTCTCCCAGCTCATCGTCTCTACACACAAACATACACTCGGGTTAGGGGGGGGACGGGTTCTGCGATCGCCGGTGCGTCTCTGTGTTTGTGGACGCGTACCGAGGTTGAGGCAGGCCAGATTGTTGGTGCACTTCCACTCCTTCTCATGCGTCCCCATCTTGATGTCATCCCCCAGCAGAGGGACCCATCCTCCGAACACGTACATCCTGTAAGAGACACGCAGATCAGAACGGTTCTGACCCAGGCCCGGTCCACCCAAACCGTCTGGTGTTGGACTCTCATGGCGGCAGCAGCCAATCAAATCGCTGTGAACACTTCTCTGGGGTTCAGACAGTAAAACTGGAGAAATATCGGATCAAAACCAGAACAAACGGAGCCTCTAGATCATAAAATAAGGGTTAGCCTCTTTTAGCTCGGTCAGTTAGCCAAATTAAGCTACCAGACTTTCAATAACCGCCTATTTTTTAAAAGTAGAATATCTGTTGTTTCCTTTTCTCTAAAAGAAGTAATGAATCTTTGTGCATGTCCTTGTTAAATAGCGGAGCTCAGAGTGGCTAATGCTACATTCAGACTGCTAGCAGCAGAGGCAGCAGAAGCAGCTGGTTTCCATGCAAAGTCAATGGTTGACTCGCATCAAGGCGCAGCTAAAGGCGCCTGCAGTGCGTTTAGAGCATCTGAGGCGCTTCAGAAGCAGCAGCTGCTGGACGCGCCACATCAACCAATGAGAGAAGCTGATCTGGGAGCTGGCAGGGAGTCAGACGCAGCACTGCTGATGCAGAGCGCTTTGATCACTCCTCTGAAACAGTTTATTAACGCCTAAATTAACTTCAAATGTAGAAACCTGCCGGCAGAATATGTTGGCTTTTATTATCCTGCTGCCTGCAGTTTGTAGAACAGACCTGAAAAACGCTAACATCTACTTCCAGCCGCCACCAACAGGAGGGGAAAACCCTGGAGAGGCGAGCGGGCCTGAGGCAGCTGCTGCTGGGGATTCCCAGTGACAGCGCAGCGCCGGTATGTGGGGGTCTGAGCGGCTCCCACAGAGAAATAATCTTTGAAGGCAGGATGGTAATCTGGATGAACTGACTGCACAGACCATGTTTTCAGGAGGACTTTCTCACTTCAACATAGATTCTAACTACTTTCTACCCGCTGATCACAGCTAATATAGCTGCCATTGTTCCAGGCAGAGAAAGGATAGGGTAGCTCCGCCCACCGCGCATCAGACCCACTTTACCACCGCGCAGCTAGAGCAGCAAAGATGCTTCAGCCGGGTCAGAACTAGCATCAAAAAGGGCCTGGTTCAGAACTGAAACCTGTTTGGTTGGAAAGCTCTATGGCGGTTCTACAGGATCTAGTTCTACAGGATCTAGTTCTACAGTGGTTCTATGGTGGTTCTACAGGAGCTAGTTCTACAAGATCTAGTTCTACAGTGGTTCTACAGGATCTAGTTCTACAGGATCTAGTTCTACAAGATCTAGTTCTACAGTGGTTCTATGGCGGTTCTACAGGATCTAGTTCTACAGGATCTAGTTCTACAGTGGTTCTATGGCGGTTCTACAGGATCTAGTTCTACAGGATCTAGTTCTACAAGATCTAGTTCTACAGTGGTTCTATGGCGGTTCTACAGGATCTAGTTCTACAGTGGTTCTATGGCGGTTCTACAGGATCTAGTTCTACAGTGGTTCTATGGCAGTTCTACAGGATCTAGTTCTACAGTGGTTCTACAGGATCTAGTTCTACAAGATCTAGTTCTACAGTGGTTCTACAGGATCTAGTTCTACAAGATCTAGTTCTACAGGATCTAGTTCTACAGTGGTTCTATGGCGGTTCTACAGGATCTAGTTCTACAGGATCTAGTTCTACAGTGGCTCTATGGCGGTTCTACAGGATCTAGTTCTACAGGATCTAGTTCTACAGTGGTTCTATGGCGGTTCTACAGGATCTAGTTCTACAGGATCTAGTTCTACAGTGGCTCTATGGCGGTTCTACAGGATCTAGTTCTACAGGATCTAGTTCTACAAGATCTAGTTCTACAGTGGTTCTATGGCGGTTCTACAGGATCTAGTTCTACAGTGGTTCTATGGCGGTTCTACAGGATCTAGTTCTACAGTGGTTCTATGGCAGTTCTACAGGATCTAGTTCTACAGTGGTTCTACAGGATCTAGTTCTACAAGATCTAGTTCTACAGTGGTTCTACAGGATCTAGTTCTACAAGATCTAGTTCTACAGGATCTAGTTCTACAGTGGTTCTACAGGATCTAGTTCTAAAAGATCTAGTTCTACAGTGGTTCTACAGGATCTAGTTCTAAAAGATCTAGTTCTACAGTGGTTCTACAGGATCTAGTTCTAGTGGTTCTATGGTGGTTCTACAGGATCTAGTTCTACGGCGGTTCTACAGGATCTAGTTCTACAGGATCTAGTTCTACAGGATCTAGTTCTACAGTGGTTCTACAGGATCTAGTTCTAGTGGTTCTATGGTGGTTCTACAGGATCTAGTTCTACGGCGGTTCTACAGGATCTAGTTCTACAGGATCTAGTTCTACAGTGGTTCTACAGGATCTAGTTCTAGTGGTTCTATGGCAGTTCTACAGGATCCAGTTCTACAGGATCTAGTTCTACAGGATCTAGTTCTACAAAATCTAGTTCTACAGTGGTTCTACAGGATCTAGTTCTAGTGGTTCTATGGTGGTTCTACAGGATCTAGTTCTACGGCGGTTCTACAGGATCTAGTTCTACAGGATCTAGTTCTACAGGATCTAGTTCTACAGTGGTTCTATGGCAGTTCTACAGGATCTAGTTCTACAGTGGTTCTATGGCGGTTCTACAGGATCTAGTTCTACAGGATCTAGTTCTACAGTGGTTCTACAGGATCTAGTTCTACAGGATCTAGTTCTACAGTGGTTCTACAGGATCTAGTTCTACAAGATCTAGTTCTACAGTGGTTCTACAGGATCTAGTTCTACAAGATCTAGTTCTACAGGATCTAGTTCTACAGTGGTTCTACAGGATCTAGTTCTACAAGATCTAGTTCTACAGTGGTTCTACAGGATCTAGTTCTACAAGATCTAGTTCTACAGGATCTAGTTCTACAGTGGTTCTATGGCAGTTCTACAGGATCCAGTTCTACAGGATCTAGTTCTACAGTGGTTCTATGGCGGTTCTACAGGATCTAGTTCTACAGGATCTAGTTATACAGTGGTTCTATGGCGGTTCTACAGGATCTAGTTCTACAGGATCTAGTTCTACAGTGGTTCTATGGCGGTTCTACAGGATCTAGTTCTACAGGATCTAGTTCTACAGGATCTAGTTCTACAGGACCTAGTTCTACAGTGGTTCTACAGGATCTAGTTCTACAAGATCTAGTTCTACAGTGGTTCTACAGGATCTAGTTCTACAAGATCTAGTTCTACAGGATCTAGTTCTACAGTGGTTCTACAGGATCTAGTTCTACAAGATCTAGTTCTACAGGATCTAGTTCTACAGTGGTTCTATGGCAGTTCTACAGGATCTAGTTCTACAGGATCTAGTTCTACAGGATCTAGTTCTACGGTGGTTCTATGGCAGTTCTACAGGATCCAGTTCTACAGGATCTAGTTCTACAAAATCTAGTTCTACAGTGGTTCTATGGCGGTTCTACAGGATCTAGTTATACAGTGGTTCTATGGCGGTTCTACAGGATCTAGTTCTACAGGATCTAGTTCTACAGGATCTAGTTCTACAGTGGTTCTATGGCGGTTCTACAGGATCCAGTTCTACAGGATCCAGTTCTACAGGATCTAGTTCTACAGGATCTAGTTCTACAGTGGTTCTATGGCGGTTCTACAGGATCCAGTTCTACAGGATCTAGTTCTACAGGATCCAGTTCTACAGGATCTAGTTCTACAGGATCTAGTTCTACAGTGGTTCTATGGCGGTTCTACAGGATCTAGTTCTACAGTGGTTCTATGGCGGTTCTACAGGATCTAGTTCTACAGGATCCAGTTCTACAGGATCTAGTTCTACAGGATCTAGTTCTACAGTGGTTCTATGGCGGTTCTACAGGATCCAGTTCTACAGGATCTAGTTCTACAGGATCTAGTTCTACAGGATCCAGTTCTACAGGATCCAGTTCTACAGGATCCAGTTCTACAGGATCTAGTTCTACATGATCCGGTTCTACAGGATCTAGTTCTACAGGATCTAGTTCTACAGGATCCAGTTCTACAGGATCCAGTTCTACAGGATCTAGTTCTACAGGATCTAGTTCTACAGTGGTTCTATGGCGGTTCTACAGGATCCAGTTCTACAGGATCTAGTTCTACAGGATCTAGTTCTACAGGATCCAGTTCTACAGGATCCAGTTCTACAGGATCCAGTTCTACAGGATCCAGTTCTACAGGATCTAGTTCTACAGGATCTAGTTCTACAGTGGTTCTATGGCGGTTCTACAGGATCTAGTTCTACAGGATCTAGTTCTACAGGATCCAGTTCTACAGGATCTAGTTCTACAGGATCCAGTTCTACAGGATCTAGTTCTACAGGATCTAGTTCTACAGGATCTAGTTCTACAGGATCTAGTTCTACAGGATCCAGTTCTACAGGATCCAGTTCTACAGGATCTAGTTCTACAGGATCTAGTTCTACAGGATCTAGTTCTACAGTGGGTCTATGGCGGTTCTGTGTCGCAGTACTTGTTGTTGATGACGGTGGCAGAATGCAGGCTGCGGGGGAGGGGCGGCGTCCCACTGAGAGCTGGTTGGCTCCACACCAAAGACTCTGTGACATCATCAGAAAAAGAACCAATCAGGAAAGGATTTCATGAACTCTTCTGATTCTGTGAGAAAATCACGACAACCTCTAACAGGAAATGAAAGCGGACTGTTAGTCTGAGTCCTTCAGAGGTTTCCATGGAAACCGGTAGAGGCGGGCCCTCACCTAAGTCCAGGACCCAGAGGTCTCCCAGCCGGCAACCGTTCATCCCGCCGTAGATGATCAGCCTGCTGACTCCGCCCTTGGTCGTCATCACTGCCGTGTGACTCTCCCTGGGGGGCGGCGGCGGCCCGGATGTGGGCGGGATCTCCCAGCTGACCACCGTGGAGCCGGGTCTCAGCTCCAGACAGTACAGGTCGTTCAGGTACCTGCAGGAGAGGGACTACAGTCAGACTGAGGGACAGGCGCTGTGTGGACGGGTGGGGGTGGGTCCGACCTGGGAATGTTGTTTTTTGGGTCCTCGCTGTCATTGGCCAGGCCACCGAACAGGTAACACCGGGAGCCAATCAGGGAGAAGCTGTGTCCGAGGCGGGGGCACGGGGGTGGGCCTCTCTTTGGGGGTTTGGCCTTCAGACGTTTCCACTCCCAGCGGCTGGCCTGCAGAGGACAGCAGAGGCTTATTGACCGGTTGCCATGGTGACAGCAGGGGGCGCCTCCATGGCGGCGGCACTGACCTGCAGCTCGTACAGCTCGTTGCTGTACTTCCCGTACTCCACCATCCCTCCGAACACCAGCAGGCGCGTCCCGTCGCAGACAAAGCCGTAGGCCGCGCAGCCCGGCGGGATGTCGCCACGGACCGCCGGGATGAACCACTGGTTGGTAGCTGGGGGGGGACATGACAGTAATGAGGGTCACACCATCCACAGCCACCATCGCCACGGAAACAAGCTGCTGAAATACATGCTGTCTGTGTTCTGCTAAGGATCACGCTAACCGGGTTCTGGATTCTGACCCACAGGGTTCGGCGTTCTGATGTCATTTCTGATGTCATGTGGTCACAGGTGTTTGAGAACATCTGGTGGAGCGAAAGAGGCGGGATCTGATTGGCCCAAAAGAGTTAGCACTTCGTCATCTTCTTAATCTGTTAATGGGGTTCTGACTGGGATTATAACTGTTTTAACTGGGAACATTAAGGTTCTGACTGGAAACACAAAGGTTCTCCTTGGGATTATAAAGGTTCTGAGATTATAAAGGCTCTAACTGGGATTATTAAGGCTCCAACTGGGTTCATAAACGTTCTAACTGAAGTTTCTAACTGGGATAATTAAGGTTTTGACCGGAATTATAAAGGTTCTAACTAGGATTGTAAAGGTTCTAACTGGGACCAGTAAGGTTCTGACAGGGATTACAAAGGTTCTCACTGGGATTATAAAGGCTATAATTTGGACCATTAAGGTTCTAACTGGGATTATAAAGGTTCTCACTGGGATTATAAAGGCTCTAACTGGGATTATTAAGGCTCCAACTGGGTTCATAAACGTTCTAACTGAAGTTTCTAACTGGGATAATTAAGGTTTTGACCGGAATTATAAAGGTTCTAACTAGGATTGTAAAGGTTCTAACTGGGACCAGTAAGGTTCTGACAGGGATTACAAAGGTTCTCACTGGGATTATAAAGGCTATAATTTGGACCATTAAGGTTCTAACTGGGATTATAAAGGCTCCAACTGGGTTCATAAACGTTCTAACTGAAGTTTCTAACTGGGATAATTAAGGTTTTGACCGGAATTATAAAGGTTCTAACTAGGATTGTAAAGGTTCTAACTGGGACCAGTAAGGTTCTGACAGGGATTACAAAGGTTCTCACTGGGATTATAAAGGCTATAATTTGGACCATTAAGGTTCTAACTGGGATTATAAAGGTTCTCACTGGGATTATAAAGGCTCTAACTGGGATTATTAAGGCTCCAACTGGGTTCATAAACGTTCTAACTGAAGTTTCTAACTGGGATAATTAAGGTTTTGACCGGAATTATAAAGGTTCTAACTAGGATTGTAAAGGTTCTAACTGGGACCAGTAAGGTTCTGACAGGGATTACAAAGGTTCTCACTGGGATTATAAAGGCTATAATTTGGACCATTAAGGTTCTAACTGGGATTATAAAGGTTCTCACTGGGATTATAAAGGCTATAATTTGGACCATTAAGGTTCCCACTGGGAATATAACGGTTCTCACTGGGATTATAAAGGTTCTCACTGGGATTATAAAGGATATAATTTGGACCATTAAGGTTCCCACTGGGATTATAACGGTTCTCACTGGGATTATAAAGGCTATAATTTGGACCATTAAGGTTCTAACTGGGATTATAAATGTTCTAGCAAGAAATATAAATGTTCTAACTGGGACTATAAAGGTTCTAATTAGGAGCATTAAGGTTCCCGCTGGGATTATAACGGTTCTCACTGGGATTATAAAGGCTCCATTTTGGACCATTAAGGTTCTATCTGGGATTATAGAAGTTCTGACTGGTTTTATAGAAGTTCTCACTGGGATTATAAAGGTTCTCACTGGGATAATAAAGGTTCTAACTGGACGTTCTAAATGGGTCATAGAGGTTTTCACCAAGAAACAGTTTTGAGATTAAAATGCAGATTTTTTTTTTTTTTGTATCCATGGTTCCTTTGTTGCTCCACCAGCAGCACCTCCCGCTCATAATCCGGGGTGGGATGTTGGACGGACAGGGGGGGGTCTTGTTCTCTGGTTCAAACTGAATTTACTGGATGGAAATTTTCTGGACTTCTACGGTTCGAAGGAATAAAGGAAAATAAAAGCCGCCTTTATTATTTTGTTCTGTTTGTTTGTTTAAGCGCCTGTCGGTGTGGGCGGGGCTATGTGACATCAACAATGTTTTCATTAAAAAGGCGCCATTTTTCACCGTGTCTCTGGCTGATAAGCAGGAGCTAAATGCTAACTGCCACATGCTAAAGGCTTAAGACGAACCGGGGAGAAGCAGGTGGAAACAGGCTCCCTGTGACGGGACCACAGCCGGATTTAAAGCCGCTCCATCCTCCGGTTCAAAGCACATAATAACCCGCTTCAGCCCCGCTAAGGTTCCAGAAGTTCTCCCCCAGTTTATCCACTGGAAGCCGAGCTGTTGTGGGCTTTAAAGCCCACTGCCCGCCGCCTCAGCCGGACCCACCTGTATTGTAGACGTGTAGCTCATCCACGATTCCCTCGTTCCCTCCTCCGAACACAACCATGAGCTCCTTAATGGACACGGCCCGGTGGCCGTGCCGCGGCCGCGGAACCGGCCCGGTCCAGCCCAGAACCCGCTTCCAGCGGGGCTGTAGCACAGTGGGGGTCTCATTCAGGGTCTCCATGGGTTTAGCTCTGCTCGGATCTAGTCGCAGCTTAACGGTTTAATCATTTGGTTGCTTCGGACCGGCTGGTTCTGATCCAACCGGCTCCTCCACTGAGTTCTCAGGGCGGCCAGACCCACTAACGGTTCCCCGGGTCTGCAGGCCGCGAAGTCCCGGTGATCCGCTAACGGCTAGCAGATAGCAGCTAACGCTACTCTACTTCTTCTTTGCGGGTTACTTAGTTTAACGCTCATTAGCGCCGCCTGCTGGGCTGGTCTGCTAAGTGTTTATCACAGGCTAAGCGCTATGCTGCCCCCTTCAGGTGCTTCATTTTTCAACAAAGAACTTTCTGCGCAGCTTTATTCTCTGGTTGTGAATTAAAACTCAGAAAATATAAATTTACTGGAAAAACAGAAAGCCTTAAATCTGATAAACAAAGCCCCCTTCTGTCCCCTAACTCTTTGTTCAACCTTCAGTACATTAATCTCAGTAATCTACAGAACCTTAATCTCAGTGTTCCCACCAGTAGTTAGAACTGGAGAAGCCTCTTGGATGAGAGGAGAAATGTGTTCTAGAAAACTCCAGGTTTAGTTGGATAGTCTGAACCTTTTCAAGCTGGACTGTGACCCGGATGGTTGACAATTTTCACAGATATCAAACAAATGTTGTCTTTCACATGGAAATCTGGGTTTAGATGACAACAAATGAGCCGCATTTCCCTGCTTTGACACAGCGCTTACCAGGCACGTGCAGAGGGGGGGGCTAAGGGGGCTTGAGCACCTGCCCCTTTTGCTGCATGATCCCAATGTGCCCTTTTGGTCCCTTTTTTTTTTTTTTTTTTTTTATTTGACACATGTACTGAAATTATTATTATTATCTTTTTTTTTGGGCAAGAAAAACAATACAATAAGCCCTCTGGTCACATTGTTACCTTTGACCTTTTGCCGGTGACGACGCACTTGCCTCTCGCACAGTCAGATAAGGCGGCTAACTGCGGAGCTAAAGGTAGCGAACATTCCACATTACACTGTGGCCGCTGCTCATTTGGCCCTAAGCAAGATCAACCATGATCGGACGGATGGCTATGTCTTCAGTCTGCACCGCCTCTCCAATGTCAACCTGAATAGAGATGTAAGTAAAACCAAATGAGCCCCATGGATGATGCAGTATTGTTTGATCTAAAACACTGTTTGCTCTGTGCTTTTAGTCTTTTACATTGAAAATTATGTTTTTTAATTCACAAAAAGTTTGATGCAGCAGCTCAGCTTTTCTGAATGGACCGTCTCCATCTCCACTGTCAGTACAGCAAACCAGGCAGACATTCTTTTTTATAGGTTACAGTACACTAAAAGGTTGCATTGTGCCCTTGTATGCATTTTTTACAGTTTAATTCTGTAAAGACAAAATATGTCTGGTGGTCCAGCTCTGATGTACATCTTTGGCTAAATTGCAGGTTTGAATATTGTAATACTTTCCTATAACAAAATAGACCTGCAGAAAGAAATTACTAATAAAATATTTTACATATGCATAGTTCTATGTAGAGATTTCCCTTAGCTTTGATTGTATGTCTCACAATTTTGTAATTTATCATTGTTCATTAAACTCTGAAAGCTATGTGACTTTGTTAATATTCTGTCCTAAAATGCGATAAGATGTGCCCTTTTTTTTTTTGAGCACCTGCCCCTTTAGTGGTCTCTGCACGGCCCTGGCGCTTACTCATCATTTTCAGATATACAGTCAGTCTACAATGCCCAGCTTTAATGTGTTTAACTTGATCCCTTATATACTGTTTGTTACTGACTGCTTATTTTAGTCAAAGGCTGTTAGATAAACTAATGCCTGAATTTATACTCCCCTGCTGTAATTTGAAAGCCACCAAGGCCCGCAGCTCAGCAGCAGCAGAACAGATTTAACCCAGAACTGGTTTTACTTCCCCAAACATGCCCTCTCTTAGCACAGTTATTTGGCTCCATTGGTGAAAATGTTGCAGTAGTGATCCTTTTTCTCACTTATAAAATCATCAGCCTTCTTACTAGCATTGCTCTGATGCCATTTTTTGGCCCCGATATCAATACCTGACTGTGCAGTATCGGCCGATACCATACATATACCATCTGTTGGAAACTGATGCGTTTGTATATATGTAGAACTGCAGACTACTGGGATGTAAAATAATCACCATCATGGCTTCATGTCAAGCTGCTGCCTTCCTTTGTGAAGCAGGAAAAAGACTAAAACAAAGGGAATCCAGTACAACTTTTTATTGCCTACCTGGAATGGGCGACAATAGTGGAATAAACTTTTGGCCCTAAAAATGGTATCGGTGCCCTATTGGTTGGTATTTGCTGATAATGATACCATTATAGTGCTGGATCGGGGCCCCGCCTGATAATGGTATCGGTGCAACACTACTTCTTACTAGCACGATTTAGAAAATGATATGCACAGCCGGGAATGCCGTCACACTCCACATATAATCCAATAAAAAGGAGTAAAATAATTTCTAAGATGAAGCAGGACAAGCTGCAGATAATTTATTGCTATGAGACGCAGCTCTACTCTTCTGAACATGAAAAATCAAAATAGCTTGGATTCTAAAATTCCTATTCTTCATCCCATCAATCGAGGTGGAGGAGAGGTGTAGAGGTGGAGGATTGGGGGGGGGGGGGGGGGGGGGGCAGTGAGGTGGTGTTTCCAGTCCAGGTGAGGGTGTCTGTGATGAATGACCACCTCTACAGCTGAGCTGTTGATGAGCAGTGGAGCGTGGTTAGGCCGCTTCTTCCTGAAGTCCACCATGATCTCCTTGGTCTTCTCCACCTTCAGGATCAGGCTGTTATCTCTGCTCCACCAGCTGCTCCACCTCCTCTCTGTAGTCCAGGTCGTTGTCGTCTCCACTGATGAACTAGCACCAGTTTAGCGCGGTTTGGTTGTTTCTGGCGCGGTCCGGTTCAGTTATGCGTGCCATTTAAACTCTACAGTTACCTTGGTTACAGAGCCTGGACCGATCTCGGTACGGTTTCAAAAGAGTAGCATAAATGGGCCTTTTGAATCTGTCCAAGGGCCCTTTTCAGGTCATCTTTATCTTTTTAGGACTCCAAAATCCATAAACATCAATTTTCCTTCACGCTTATCCCAGGGGGTTGTGCAAAAACAATATTTTTTAATAATTTCAATTAACTTTCCTTTGCAATGTGCTGAACTTGACTCGTTAAGGGCCGTTTATATTCCCGCAGCAGTCTGAACGTCTGATCTGGTTTGTGTTCCTGGATTTATTTCCTGTTCTTTTGGTTTGTTGCAGCTTAAGAAACAAATCAAACATGTTTTCTTGCTCATTTCTTTGTATTTATTATCAAAATGTTGACATTAAAAAATCCACAAACATCCTTAAATATGATTCATCAAAGGAGAACTTAAAGGTTGATTAGTAACCTGAACCAAACCCAGGAAGTGATCGATGAAGGCGGCTGCTGCTCAGCGCCGACAGGAAGCGCCTTGCCGTCACGCTTCCTCCTAACGAACACCAGGGCCTCATGCACGCACCAACATGACGCACCCCAGCAGGAACGTTAAAATGTGCAGAAAATCACACCAACTTTTCCCCCCGACTTGAAAACAGAACGGAAACCGGCCTGTGAGACGCGTCACAAACTGAGGCGTCAGAAGTTTTAACGTCATTCCTCAGTAGAAATATAAATCCTACTGTTTAAAAACACTTTTGCAGAAGATAGATGATCAACTTAAGCTTTTTACTACAGTAAAAGTACCATTTTAAAACTACTTAAAAGGTGTAGAGGAGGATTTTTGTGAATTTTTGAAAAGCCTTGCCCTCTTTAAAAAAAATGCACCACCCTCCTGAGAGGGAACGTCTATTAAAGTTGTAGTGAAATCACATTTAAATGTTAAATCATTCTGGCTTAAAAATGTATATAAATTTACTCTTTATTAGACCATATTGTCCCAAAAGTTAGAAATTTCTATTTAAAAAAGTCTTAAAAGCCAGTTAGTTCTAAGTCAGCCTGAACAACTAAATTCAGCCAATCATATATCAACGGTCATCTGTCAATCAAATCTTTTCGGTCATAGCATCTTGATTCATACGTCGCAGCAAATATACGCAACGATTCTTTGCAGGGTAGTGGTGACCGTTACAGGTGTTTAGTTGGAGAGTTAATTATTGAGACTTATTAGGCTATAGTTTGCGGGTATAAGAGAGAGTGATTTATCTAGTGGCTAGACTGTGGGATTGTGACTGTGGGTTTTTTTCGCGCTTTCTACACCAAACCAAGCTTCTGCCGCCCTGGCGTCCTCTTCCACAACATCTTCGTCCCCGCTTTCCTCCTCTAAATAAAAAATGGATGAAGGAGGAGACTCATCCACGACCTCCGACACTAAACTCTCCTCCTCTTGCGTGTTTCCGCTGTCCATAGCGTTCCTTGACAGCGTCGTTTCTAAGGCACCAACTTAGTGCTACTTGGTCCCAATGGAATTTCCCATTGGGAACCTGCTAGCACTAAGTTGCTAACTGGTTAGCAAGAAGCTTCCCACAAACCGGCTACAACCAAACTGGCTTGCGAACCTTCCGCCACAATAATCCCGCCCCCTTGATAATCGACCAATCACATTCACTTTATTCACTCGTGTAAAGTCGGGCACCACTCGGGAGAATTCGGAAATGCAACGGAAATGCCATTTCTCCTCGTGCACGCTCTGTTTGAAAGTTGCTGTTTGTGTCGCTCATCCAAGCTTACCTTCCAAAAGAAGATTTGCATTTTTCCACTATGTCAGACTCACCATCAGTGAAAATGGGAACGAGAACGTAGGAGTGCCGTACGTAAACATATCACCAGAATGATTGACAGTCAGGAAGACCAGTGAATGAGATGATCCACCCGGATAAAGAACATCCTCCACTGTGCCTTTAAGGTATAAAAGTAATGCAGGAAAAAATGTTAAGGCCAGAAGCTTCACTGCTCTACCCCATTAAAGGAACATTTTTCTACAATTCTGGATGATAACTTCCTTAGACTTCATTTTCTTAGTTTTAAATAATGGTAACAGCGTCACATTTAGCTTTGCATGTGGCCCCCAAAAGGGAGGGGGACAAACGGGTCCCAGGCCCAGGACAGGGGGGCCCAAAATCGACACCCTCACCATTAAAACAAGTAATTTTTTACAAAATATTTGTGATAAGAATATTTAAAATTGGAGTAAATATATATCTGAATTAGGTATATGTACAATATGTTTTTTTTTTAAATAAGGGGCCATTAGAACTCCCCCCCCCCCCCCCCGACCTCAAAATAAAATGGTTTGACCAGGACAATGGCGGGCTGCGACTTTTAAAGTTCGTTTCACAGCAAACTAAGAATGTGAGGTTTGCCAAAAATACTTTGTTGTCCCGGGGTCTAGCCAAGCTGTCAGCTGGCCTGGGGGGCCAGCAACAAGTTGGGGCAGCACAGAGTCCAACCACAAAGAAAGTGTCTGGATGAGACCAATTATTTAAACAACAGGCCATAATGAAAATGAGCTTAAATGAAACCAACGAGTCTATTTATAAAATGTCAGGAGTAGAAATAAAAAGTTAATTACTCCTGTAAAGTATAGAGAGCCAACATTTCTACTAAAGTAAAGTAGAAGTACTGGTACCATGTTACTGGTACCTCTGGTTGGTTCTGGCTTCTGAATATATGAAGACAGAATTCTCCCAAAATGGATGCAGCTGAAAAAAAAACTCATTTGGAGCGTTTTTTTTTTTAAACGCACGCAGTCATAAAATGCTCTCCATGAGGATTTGAATGTTTTACGCATCCAGATTCAGCACCGCCACGACCCAAACAGCTGGACAGCGTTTTTTTGGCCCCCTCTGGTCAAACTTTGTCACTCAAAGTGAGGAACCCATTGGAAAAAGTAAAACCTCCTGCTATTTGTTATTTTGTTTAGGAAATCCCGCCTCTTTAGAAAATACGGTTTCCTTCTTTGCAACTACAACCACCGTGAGGCAGACACCCTGTCTACTTTTAAGGCTAGGCTTAAAACTTTCCTTTCTGATAAAGCTTCTAGTTAGAGTGGCTCAGGTTATGCTGATCTATCTCTATAGTTCTGCTGCTATAGGCTTAGACTGCTGGAGGACATAGGGACCCCTTTTTCATCATTCTGCTTCATTCTATCTCTATTCTCCCACTCTGCAGAATCTGTTAGTTCAATCTCTAACGTTCTGCTCTCTCTGCTTTTTCTCATAGTAGCTTCATCTGGTCTGTTCCTGTTTGGCTGTGACTCCATCCTGGAGAGAAATATCAGCTGTGCTGCTGCCATCAACACCTTTGTTTCTAGATGTTGGAGCTTGGCCTGTTTTCCAGTGTAGTCCTGTTTCTCTGACTGTGACTAACTGGATGTGCTCTCTTCATCCTCTGACATGGGAGCTGGCTCGGAGCTCGTCTGCCTGGCTGTGTGTTTCCTGGACGGGGCCGCCTGTGGAGCTGGTTGACAGTTGCCTTTTGTATCTATGCTTCTTTTTCTATGTCTGCTTCTGTCTCCTTGAACCCCAGTGGGCCTCAGCAGATGGCCGCTCACACTGAGCCTGGTTCTGCTGGAGGTTTCTTCCTGTTCAAAGGGAGTTTTTCCTCTCCACTGTCGCTACAAGCATGCTTAGTGTGAGGGATTGCTGAAGAGTCAATGAGTCGATGCAATCAGCTGGTTTTCCTTAGATAGAAAACTTTGAATCAATCTGACTGGATGATCTGGTTGAACTGGAAAGTGACCTGAGATGACATGATGGGAATCGGAGCTATAGAAATAAACTGAATAGAAGTGAAACGTAAGCAAAGCATCTTCAGGATAATCGCTGACTAGACATAAAATACAGAGTAAAATAAAAACGTGTATCGGATATAAAACTGATTGTTCATGTAAATATCTGTTCAACTAGAAACCCGAGTTCATCCAAACCTTTGAATATAAAGAGTGAAGCTAACGTTAGCTTAGCGCAGTTCCAAATGAACATTAATCATCAGTTTAGAGCAAAAAGCTGCTGCTGTCGGAACAAAACGATGGTCGTGTTAAACTGCGTTACTAATTTCTTAAAAATTGTTTTAAGAGAAAAGCCTGAAGATGCTAACGTTATTAGACACAACCCCAGGAAAATGATTCTGTCTAGAGAGGCGGGATGTCCTGTAAAGTAGCCAATCACAGGCCGTTTACTTTCTTTAGTGATTCCAACCTCAAAGCTGAGCAACAGAAATGGATCAAAAACGTGACGACGAGAGAGAGAGGAGGCGTGCGTGGAAAGCTAGCCACCAGCTCAAAGGGGGAGTCCATGAGGTCATCAGCAGCCGATTGGTCGGATAGAAAAACATTTCCCTGATAAAGTCCTGAGGGTCTGACAGCTCTGTTGCCATGGTTACCTGGAGACTACTGGGTATTTATACTGATTCTTTTACGCCATCACTTCCAGGTGAGTTTTAGACGTCTGAATTTATCTCCCATTCTCGTACCGCTCTACTTCAGCCTCAGTACGACGGCTTTTTGCTCTTCCCTGTGGTTCCCATGGTAACCATCCTAACATAGATCAGCTGGCTTGTTTAAACGTGACCTCCATGCTGACCTTCCTGGTTGGACATACAGAAGCAGAACCACTTTCAGGTGCAGCTGTGATCGTTTTTAAAGATCTGGACTTTTTTTGGGGCGTTCGCCATTTTTGGGGACATTATGTAGACGTTTAGTGTGGATCCTACGCAATGTTTTAGAAATGAGGCTCCTGGTGTTTTGGTGAACTGTCCAGATGTCTGAGTAGATGAGCGTTCAGGGTCCAGCTGGCAGCAGATCCTCAGAGTTTCTGAACAACCAAACGGTCCCAGCTCCAGAACCGTGACCCGTCAGGAGCCCCCGCCTGGGAGATACTCCAGCTCATCACTTTCCTCTGGTCCTCTCAGCTCCTCTGAGCTCCTCCCGCCTCCATCTGGGGAAACAGAAACATGAGCAGAGACCAAATCAGGGAATAGGGATGCACGATATAATCGGCCCCCTATCGGTATCGGCCTTAAAACTGAATATCGGACATCGGCCACCCCACCGATATTTAACCCCATATTTGATCAGCTTCTGAGTTTCTAAAGTCTAAAAAATAAAATAAAATACTACTTCTTCTTCTTCCTCAAAAACTTCTTTTTTACAGACTTTAAAACTTCTAAAGACGCGGGAAAAAATATTGATCCATTAAAATATCCCAATATCTTCATATGCTGATATATTGCCATTTAAAAACACCATATCAATCTCTTTTACTAATGAAATATTGCTATATGTCATCGTTATGCTACGAAATCCCCCGAAAATTCACCAAATGTTGCCATATTTTTATATGTTGATATATTGACGCGGTATCGATCTATTTTACCAACAAAATCTCACAAGAATTTGCAAAATATCACGAGAGTTTGTAACAGAACGATGAAATTTCACCAGATTTTGAAAGTAAAATAGATCGATACCGCGTTTTTAAAAATCAATTTGATATCAGCATATGAAAATATATTTGAGTATATTATTTTTCAAAGTGTCAGAAATGGATAACAAAACTGCTATTTTCAATGACTACTTATTTTTGTCCAGCTTTAACATCGGTATCGATATCGGTTATCGGCTACATGAGTTTTAAAATATCGGATATCGGCCAAAATCCCAATATGGTGCATCCCTATCAGGGACAGATGGACCTTCTGTCCACCTGGACATCTGAACTGTCCTAAACCGCCTCCAGACTCTCATTACGTTCACACTGCAGCCTGAAGTCACCAAAATCCCACTTTTTTGCCCAAATGTGACCTGAATCTGAGTCTGAAAATCTAGATCTCATTTTTTCCAATGCAACCCAGGCCGCTTGGCTCTGAGGTCCTGAATCCGATATAAATCTGATCTTTTCAAATGCGACCTGCGTCTGAGCGGCCAGGTCGCATTCATCCAACCTGAACGTCATTAATACCCGACAAAGGTCACTATTCTGCGTGTTGCTACGCGGAAGCGGCAAGAAAAACAACAACCATGGCGGATAATGATGCAGAGAGTAATATTTATATAAAAAAGATTGTGTTTTAAAGGTTGCGAAACTGGCACTAGCATCCATGTTTACTCCCGTAGACACAGAGCACGCTGGCTTGTGACGTCAATGCCGTTCCGACAGCAGATAACACACAAGTTGCATTTATTTGGAAATGTGAACGGCAACGCAAAGAAAAGCGTATTTCACAAAAAAATGGGAATTGAGCATGAAGGCCTGCAGTTGGAACGCCTCACAGCTGGAAGCTGCCTTCATCAGATTTAGGAGGATATAACGTTATACATACCATGTGACCTCCACGCAGTGAGAGCGTTCACCGCTACTCCCTCACCTCATGCTAAGTGACATTTGCTCCGGGATAAACATTTAATCATTAATGCTTATTATATAGTTAAGCCCATTTAGTCCTTTTTTATATTGGGCTAAAACACTTAGAGACCTGTTGCCATACGAGGCTGATAGAAGACTTTTACATTTTTCTGCGGCTCCAGACAGATTCGTTTTTTGTCCAATATGGCTCTCTGAGCAGTTTGGGATGCCGATCCCTAATCTAGCACATGTGACGTCTGTCACATGTGCTCAGGATGAACCTGCTCTCATCTGTGGAAAGCACAGGGCGCCAGTGGCCGACTTGCCAAAACCGGTGGCAAATGCCAATGGAGCTCCGGGGTGCCGGGCAGTGAGCTCAGGGCCCACTAGAGGATGTGGGGCCCTCAGGCCGCCATCGTGAAGTCTGTTTCTGATTGTTTGGTCAGAGACCAGTGGCCTGCTGGAGGTCATTTTGAAGGGCTCTGGCAGTGCTCCTCCTGCTCCTCCTTGAACAAAGGAGCAGATAGCTGTCCTGCTGATGGGTTGTATACCTTCTACGGCCCTGTCTCTCCTGGAAGCATACCGTCACCGGATCGGGTTTGGGAACTCTGTCCTCGCCTGGCTGCCTCCCCCGTCCACCGGAGTTCCCGGACCAGCTCTGGAGCTCACGGCTCGGTTCTGCTGCACTATGGTCGACCAAAATCCCGGACGATTTTCCCAGCCTACGTCTTGATAAAACATGTAGGACCTTTGACAAAACTGGCATATGCCAGTTCCCAATTGGAATATGCCATATGCCACTTTTGTCTGTAGGTGCCGCCATCTTTTATTGTCAAACCCGACGGCACGTGTTTCTGGTTCCCCAGGGGACCAGAGCAGGTACTCAAAATGGCCGCAGCTAGATTCGAACGTCTGTGACGTCGGCCGTGTCACTACCCGATCTGCCTGGAAGCACGATCCGTACCGTCAGCTAATTCGCGCAACCATTTACATCCGGGTCGCCTTCGGTTTTACTTTGTAAAAAAAAGACCTAAATCAAGTTTTTGACTTCCTTAAAATAATAAGCGTATTAAATTAAAGTGTTTCAAAGGTTAATTATTTATTTCCTGAGAAAATAAATGCCTTAAAATCTGTTTTATCACTCTGTTCCCGATCAGCACTGGAAATGGGATCGCTACTTTAGGGAGCTAACTTTTTTAGCTTAGGATTTAAACATAAATCTAATCTTTTGAGTTTGACGTTTTCCTTTCTTGTTAATATTATGGTCTATAGTGCGTAACCTACAGAAAGAAACAACTAAAATGCAGATAAACATGGTTTAGTCATATTTTGCCGGACTGCTCTGATCATGTCCCATGATGACGTCAGAGAACATAGAAAATTTAAAAAGCCTCAAACTTGTCTCAGAAAAGTCATAACAATTTTTAAAGTTTTGTTTTAGCAATAAGTACTTTTGGTGCCATAATTACATTATTTATGACGACCTGGATGAATATCTGCTTGCACATGAGCTGATGGTTCGGATGGTGCTTCCAGTACGGATCAGGAAGTAACAACGCGCAGCGGACCAGAGCAGGTACTCAATATGGCCGCAGCTCGATTCAAACATCTGTGACGTCGGCTGTTAGCATCTATAGCTTGGACCTGGACCCGAAGGACTGCAGACCAACCAGAAAGTAGAACCGCCTGGTTGGTCTGTAGCAAGCAGAACGGTAATTCCAAGCCAGGAAGCATCAAGGCAGGTAGCATCGAAGCTAAGAGAAAGCTAGTAGGAAGGTTCTGGTTTACGTACAAAGGTCCTCCAAAGACAGCAGTTCCGTGGTTCTGATCTGTTCCTCCTCGTACTGAGTTTTCTTCTCCAACAGTCGCTGTTTGCTGGGATTGATAAGAACTGAACAAACACAGTCTGATGAAGCGTCGATCGGATACACCAGAACCAACACCCGTCTGGAACACATACCTGAGAGTCCGGCCGGGTTGGACTGTAGCGACCCGGCGGGGGAGAAACTGCCCGCTGCCGCTCCGGGGCCAGAGCTGTTTGAGGAGGTGCTGCTGGGCTGGGACGGGTAGTTGTACTGGTCCTCAGTGGGAACAGAGGGTTGGCTGAGCTGGGACTCTCCAGGTCCGGCTGGACTCTTGTTCTTAGACTGGCAGCTGGTTCCGTTGGACTTCAGCTGTGGTCTGAGTTCGTACTGGGAGAACCCGCGGCTCTCGTCAGTTTCACACGGGCCAGCCAGGGAGCAGGAGAGGTGGCTGAGGGAGGAGGAGTGGAGCGGATGGGGAGGGGTGAGAGCCCCAAAAGAGGAGGAGGAAGAGGAGTAGTACTGGGAGGGAGGGAAGGTTGCTTCCAGTGGTCCCAGTTTGGATAACTGCTGGGAAACAGCCGTGATGCAGGAGTCCAGGGAGCGGGGGGGTCTGGGAGAGGAATGGCGAGGGGGCTCTGGCCGTACGGACGAGGAGGGTTTCCTCCTCAAAACGCTGCCGATGTCTCTCAGTTTATGAAACACCTGAAGAAGAAAGAGGAGTGAGAACCTGGACCTCATGGACTGAAGACCTGAACCTGAAACCAGGACAGTCTGGAACTGAATCAGCAGTTTCTGACCTCAGTCATGGTGGGTCTCTTCTTCCTCTGTCTGCTCAGATTCCTTTGGGCCAGTGTCGCCATCTGCAGGTATCCGTCAGGTTCAGCGGTGCCTCCTGCAGGCAGAACTGTCAGGTAAACAGAGGGAAAGATCTCAGAGAGCCAAAGTCGGCCCCTTAGCGCTCACAGACCTCCAATCAGCCGTCGGTCCAGGTGTCTCCTCCAGGCCTCTGCTGAGGAACCGTTTGGACCGTCGTCGACTTCATCCACAAGGTCCCGCTGTAAGCCAGAACCAGAGCAGCGTTTTATACGACCAGAACTCACAGACGGACTGCAGCGTTGGGACATAAACCATGATAAACTATCGAAGATTGAGAACCAATGTCTATGTTTCATCTTAATATAATCAAGATGCAGTTTTGCTCATAAAACAGCTGTGAGAGCTTAGCCTGATAAACCAGACTAAATGGGAGACTAAAGGTGTGATTTAGTCTGGCCCCGATGAATGAGACATCGGAGGATTGCTGATGAGAACAAGCCGTAGTTTTTCTAACCATGTCTGTGGCTATTGGCCAACGCTCTGACCAATGAGAGCCACTGACTGTGACGTAGTGAGGGCCGCTGCAGACGGGCTAACATTAGCCCTGGCTGCCGTTAGCCTCGGAGCTTAGCTGGTTGCCGCACTCCTCTCAACTTCGGAAATTGTTTTTTTTTAATTATGCATTAAATCGGTAAATGGACCATATAGTAACGTTTTAAAGTATAACATTCTCACCTAAAATAATCTTAAAACATAAGTTTACTGAACAACAGCAACAAAAAAGCTAGCTATTTCAAAGAGGGTAAAGAATCATTTGACTAAAGGTTATTGGTTCCCAATCAACAAAATAATTGAATTATACATTTAGCCAAATAATGTTTTATTCACCTCATGGATTTACATTGTGAAATGGTTTAAAAACATTAATGAAAAGCTAATTTGATCACATCCTAAATTCTTCAACATGAACAAAATCCATCTTAAACTGTTACATGGTTTTCAACCATGTTTCCTCTTTGCCATAGTAGTTTAGTTTAGTTTCTCTAGTTTTTAGTCAAGAAATTTTTATTTAAATATGTTGTCTTGGAGCTGAATGATTTTTGTTAATAAACTCTTATATAATATATAACAGAAGTTGTTGTGAATTTATTCCATGTATGTGCAGAATTAACTGTTTGACCGTGGCCGTTTCTCAATTCACTAAAACGGACTAGTCTCCTCGCCAAGTATGTTCAGTATGTTCTTCTGAAGAACCCAGGAAAGTCTGGACTCTGGGAGAACGGGAACACGCAGCATAAATCTGGGGCAACTGAAACAGAAGCGTGCTGATGACATCACCACACGCCAGACATGTTCACAAGTCATTTTTTCCAAGTCCAAGTCAAGTCTCAAGTCTTGAGAAGGCCTGTCGCAATAATCAATTAATCGCACAAAAAATTCTAATCACTTGATTAATTTAAAAAAGTGCAATAATTTTTGTGCTTGCTTGTTTCTCCTTGTGTTTTCATCTCCGTCACTGAGACAGTATAGCTTAAAGGTCACTATTATATCTATGGAATTATCATTATCTTGAACTGCTAAATGAAAAATACAATTAAAAAAAGCACACGCAAAATTTTTTTCCAGATAAATTTTGCATTTTCTTACAGTATTTCCTGACATTTGTGGTTACAACTTTTTCTAGTTTTAGCAGTAAATGTCTGCTCTTTTATTGAAAATGAGGACTGTGGAAAAAAAAACAATCACAATCCTGCCGTCCTCGTACTGTTGCGTCAGTGACGTCAGTGTGTTGCACAGGGGAAAATATGGTTTATGGTTTTCTTTCATTTTAATGTTAGTTTTATGCTTTGCATGTTTGGAGAGGAAGATATGATTTGTTTTTCTTTGTATTTTCTTCTTGAGCTTTGCATGTTTTGATGTTTCTTTTTTATATGATTGTTTTCCTTTATTTTAGGCTTTTGAATTTTTCCTGCATGTTGGGTTGTTTTGGTTTGTTTCTCCCTTGTGACAATCCATGCGCACTGGACTGAAGTAGTTGTCTGAGGAGGCGGAGTGCATTGATTGCGCTGCGTAATTGCTGCACTCAGGTGTGAGCAAGGGCTGATTAAAGCCGACATAAAAGGAGTCTGAAGGAAAGGAGAAGGAGAACGGAATCTGCAGGTGACAGAGACGGACGCGCTGCTGGGGGAGATGCAGGCGGGATCCGTGCACACAGATGGCCCAGTAAGGAGTATTAGGGCAGAGGAGGAACCTCGCCTGTAAGTAGCGCTCCCCCTCGCTTAAAGCATAAACAGGAATATATCTTCCGACGGGGTTTTGGCACGTGGATGCTGGCGTTCTCCTTGCTTCTCTTTTTAGCTGGATCGTCTGGAAAGGGGTGTGGCATGCCAGGGAGTGGAACAGTGCTGGAGCGCCGCAGAGTCTGTGGATCAGCCAGTGGGTGCTGCAGGCCGATCACTCGCACCAGAAGCAGCATAATAAGCGGAGCCCAACTTCCAGCCTGTGATTTTTAAGGAAAACTCTTGAATTTTAGGTTTTATCAGGAGAAGAAAAGGACTGTTTTATTATGCCACTTTTTCTGTGGCTTTTTGTATAAATAAAACACTTGAACTTGAGTGCTTCACGGTTTGGGTCTTTGAGTTTTCTTCTATGTGCGGGTAAGGCGAGCGGCGATCAGTCAAGTTAGTAAAACAAAAAACACTTGAATAAGTGTTTTTACACTGGAATAAAATATTGTTCACAAGTCGGAAATCACGAGTCTCAGTCGAGTCTGAAGTCCTTTAAATGCAAGTCTAAGTCGAGTCTGAAGTCATTAAATATACGACTTAAGTGCGACTCGAGTACGAGTCACAAACTCGAGTCCCCATCTCTGCCACACGCTCAGCTCATCTAGAGCTGCATTTCACCTCCTCTTATTAATGGTCTCTAAATAATAATAAATTATTGCTTTTTTCATTTAATTGGGGAATAATGATGAACACAGTGAGATAAATACTAATTAAATGAACATTTTGCCAAATAAGACAAAGAACTCGCCATCAGAGCCAGCGGTCCTTCACACATGGCTATGCAGACGGGCTAACGTTAGCCCTGGCTGCTGCAGACGGGCTAACGTTAGCCCTGGCTGCCGTTAGCCTGTGAGGTCTGCAGGTTGCCGCGGTCCTCTCAACTTCGGAAACATTTTTTTTTTTTTATTACGCATTAAAGATCGGTAAATGTTCCATATAGTGACGCTTTAAAGTATAATATTCTCGCCTCAAATGATCTTAAAACGAACTTTTATTGAACAACAGCAACAGAAAAGGGAACTTTTAACTTTCAATGGAGCGCTCCATTGAAAGTTGCTGCTGCCGCAGTGCATGCTGGGACAGCTGTCAATGCCAAAAACGTCTGCTCTGATGCATGCTGGGTAAATAGGGAGGGGCGAGAACATCATCCGGGGAATTGGAACAGTACTAGGGTTGAGGTTGATGATGTTTCATGAGCACATGAGAACGCACAGGTGCACATATTGAGAAACGGCCCATGATTTGAGTTTGATTCACACTTTCATTTGTTGCTCTAAAACACAGCCAGTAGGGGGCGTGCTCATAAACCATAATCAATATATGACTGTTTAAATAATATCGGATTAAATAAGATATTTGCCATCCCTACCGGGTTGGGCAATAACCATCTTAACGTATCAGAACAGCATCAGTGAGACAGAAATCAGGGACGTAAACAATGGAGAGCAACATGGAAGGAAGGCAGGGAGGCAGTGTGCTCCATTGTTTCTCTCTATTATCTGTCTGAATGCCTCACCAGAGCGGCTCCATGTTTATCGAATAGAAACAGAGTTGATTCTGCTCGTTAGATCAGAAGCGACTGTTGTGTTGACGTCCGTACGCTGCGTTCAATGGTATCACGTAAATTAGCGGGTCAAGCCAGGTCTGCTGTTCACACAGCATGTTGATCAGAGCAAAGACTTTTGAATACAACTTTAACCTGGGTCGCTGGCCAAGTTCTTCAGTCGGTGAGTTGTTCCCACTGCCAATAGAGGCTGATTGTTGTCAGGTCTGATCGCGGTTTTTGGCATATTTAAGATGGTGACTCAAGAGAAACGGCTGAGGAGTCGAGTATTCTCACCAGGTATCGTTCTCCACACTTCTTGTCCCGTTCTAGAGCCCGGCGCCCCGTCAGAACCTCAAGCAGAACCTGAAATACACACAGGACACTTTAAGGCCCGGTTCAGACCCACAGAGCAGATTTCCCATCAGCCCTTGCAGCTTCTCACCACTCCGAAGCTGTAGACGTCCACCGCCATGCACAGCTCTCCTCTTCTCACGTATTCGTCAGGAAGATACGCCAGCGTTCCTCTCACTGTTGTCGTCTTACCAACAGACGTTGTCTGTGTCGCAGAATCCGCCGAGCTGCGTGGGACGTACCGAGCCAGACCAAAGTCCGAAAGCTTCGGAACCCAATGCTGGTCCAACAGGATGTTAGAACTGCAGAAGTACAGAAGAATATAAAAGTTTAATTCCGGCTTTAGAGCTCATCATAGCACTGAAACAGTTCTGGGAAAAAGTCACTAATGATATTCTCATGGCCTCAGATAATGGACTTGTATCTGTGCTCGTCCTGTTGGATCTCAGTGCTGCATTTGATCCAGTTGATCAGAATATTCTTTAAAAAAGACTTGAATGTTTTGCAGGAATTCAGGGAACAGCACTAGACTGGTTTAAATCTCATTTCACTGACGGATAAATCATCTGGATTACTTGTGGAGTACCACAGGGCTCAGTGTTTGGGTCAGTTGTCTTTATGCTCCAATATGGATTCATGTTTATGCTGATGATACTCAGCTTTGTTTGTTCTGATGATTGATTCTAGGATGTCATAACAGTTTCCAGATGGGTCCTGTGTTCAGCAAGCAGACATATCCATTGTCCGGTTGGGATCCTGAACCCTTTTTCTACTTCAGAAGGTTCTGAGAATCCTTCCTGTGCTTTTTGATTTTCACCTTTTTCCATAGATTTCTAATTAGCCAGTTGACTGACTAGATCATTGCAGCAGTTTAGCTTTATGGAGAGGAGAATTCTTTTCTTGCTTTTAAATGAAAATGTGTTTCTTTAAATTCTTAATAGTTTTTCCTCTCCACTGTCGCTACAAGCATGCTTGGTGTGAGGGATTGCTGAAGAGTCAATGAGTCGATTCAATCAGCTGGTTTTCCTTAGATAGAAAACTTTGAATCAATCTGACTGGATGATCTGGTTGAATTGTCTCTATAAGGTTCCTTGAGATGACGTGTTGTGAATTGGCGCTATAGAAATAAACTGAATAGAATTGAATATCCAGATCCATTTCTGTCCTTTTCAGCAATATAAAGTCCAAAGAACCAAATACCAAACAATAATGTTCACACCTGCAAAACCAAGTCTGGCTACTTTATGTTTTTACTCAGATGTTGTAGTTACAATAATTGTATTTATTTCTTTCCGTATGTAAACATCCTTTTCTTTTGTTGTTTTTTTCTTTCTGTTAGTTGATATCAAGATTAACAGTTTAGGAATCGTACAAGTTGAGAAACGTCTTATAAAGTATAAGTATGTGGTTTTTGAAAATTAGACCCCAGAGCTTAAGTGCCTTACGATTAGTTTTGTTTGGTTTTCCTAGTGAATTACCTTTGTTGTTACAGATGATTAAGGTGAAATTCATGTCAAGAGAAATATTAATAATATATTTCGTGTTTAAAAATTTATTAAACCTAGATTATACAGATTAACCTTAAATTTGGAAAACGAATTGTTCGGAATGATGATCTTTATACTAAAGTTACTGTAAAGCTCAAACTGGGACATATAATGCTAACAAACAAACACATCAGCACAGTGGCAGGTAGAGGGAACGCTGACCTTTTGACATCTCCATGGATCAGGGGTTCCTGACCTGAGGGGGGATGGTGCAGAAACTGAAGAGCTGCTGCTGCTCCTTCCACAATACTGACCCGGAGAGGCCATGACAGAACCTCACATGCCTGGAACAAAGAAACATTTGATGGGAACACAGAGAAACTCCTCTGGAACCCATAGAAACACAAACAAACATCTGGAATACACAAAAACACACCTGGAACCCATAGAAACACCCCTGGCACAAACACAAAACACACCTGGAATACAAAGAAACACAGCTGGAACCCAAAGAAGCACACCTGGAACCCATAGAAACACAAACAAACATCTGGAATACACAAAAACACACCTGGAACCCATAGAAACACCCCTGGCACAAAAACAAAACAAAGCTGGAACACATAGGAACACAGCTGGAACACAAAGAAACAGACCTGGCACAAAAACAAAACAAAGCTGGAACACATAGAAACACAGCTGGAACACAAAGAAACACACCTGGCACAAAAACAAAACAAAGCTGGAACACATAGAAACACAGCTGGAACACAAAGAAACACACCTGGAACACATAGAAACACAAACAAACATCTGGAATACACAAAAACCCACCTGGAACCCATAGAAACACCCCTGGCACAAACACAAAACACACCTGGAATACAAAGAAACACAGCTGGAACCCAAAGAAGCACACCTGGAACCCATAGAAACACAAACAAACATCTGGAATACACAAAAACACACCTGGAACCCATAGAAACACCCCTGGCACAAAAACAAAACAAAGCTGGAACACATAGAAACACAGCTGGAACACAAAGAAACAGACCTGGCACAAAAACAAAACAAAGCTGGAACACATAGAAACACAGCTGGAACACAAAGAAACACACCTGGCACAAAAACAAAACAAAGCTGGAACACATAGAAACACAGCTGGAACACAAAGAAACACACCTGGCACAAAAACAAAACAAAGCTGGAACACATAGAAACACAGCTGGAACACAAAGAAACACACCTGGAACACATAGAAACACAAATAAACATCTGGAATACACAAAAACCCACCTGGAACCCATAGAAACACCCCTGGCAGAAACACAAAACACACCTGGAATACAAAGAAACACACCTGGAACACACAAAAACAGACCTGGAACACACAAAAACAGACCTGGAACACACAGAAACACACCTGGAACCCAAAGAAACAGACCTAGAACCCATAGAAACACAAACAAACATCTGGAATACACAAAAACACACCTGGAACACACAGAAACACAGCTGGAACACACAGAAACACACCTGGAACCCAAAGAAACAGACCTAGAACCCATAGAAACACAAACAAACATCTGGAATACACAAAAACACACCTGGAACCCATAGAAACACCCCTGGCACAAACACAAAACACACCTGGAATACAAAGAAACACACCTGGAACACACAAAAACAGACCTGGAACACACAAAAACAGACCTGGAACCCATAGAAACAGACCTGGAACCCATAGAAACACAAACAAACATCTGGAATACACAAAAACACACCTGGAACCCATAGAAACACCCCTGGCACAAACACAAAACACACCTGGAATACAAAGAAACACAGCTGGAACACACAGAAACACAGCTGGAACACACAGAAACACACCTGGAATCCAAAGAAACAGACCTAGAACCCATAGAAACACAAACAAACATCTGGAATACACAAAAACACACCTGGAACCCATAGAAACACCCCTGGCACAAAAACAAAATAAAGCTGGAACACATAGAAACACACCTGGAACACAAAGAAACACACCTGGAACTCAAAGAAACACACCTGGAACCCAAAGAAACACACCTGGAACACATAAAGCCATACCTGAAATCAATAGAAACACAAATGGACCACAAAGGGAAATAGCTCTAACACACAGAAACACCTGGAACCCAGAAAAACACAACTGGAACAGGCAACACACCTGGGACACACTGAAACACACCTGGAACCTACAAAAAGGCTCAAGGACATTTAAAACACAGGAATACATGAATACATGGACGAGCAAAAAAAATACAACTTCAACACAGCAACAAGACATGAAATATGCCTAATGTGTAAATTCACGTACACTTAGAAAAAGGGCAGAATACCAACATAAAAAAGCCCAAATAAAACCGTGCTGCATGAGATGAACTGTTGTTCCTCCACCTTCTTAGGCAGCTGAGGTCAATAGGCAGACCATCAGCAGCCAGCATCCCATGATTGGTCGAGTGACAAATGGTTAACTAATGGTGCTCACCAGCAGCCAGGTCCCCTGATCAGCAGATTTTACTAAAATAAACTGAAATAAAGAAACCTTTATTCCAGTTACTGTAGTATGAGAACTAAGCCCCAGTTTAACCAGTAATGAGCTGAAAACATGGTGGGACTAAAGGAAGAGCTAAGATGTTCTGTTTTACAGTTTAGCATCAGGTCACTTAAGATGGTTTCATTGTCAACTCTATGAAGCGGTTCTGCCGGCCCGGTTATGGTTAGAAAGCCGCCATCATCTCACTCAGTTGGACATGAAACAGACGCAGCAGAAGGACTGCTCAGTGTGTTGGGTGTTACATTGTGCAGCTGGTCCTCCAGGGATCGGTTCTCCATGTAGCTGTAGATCAGACACATCAGTCCTCCGGTTCCTTCACTGAAGCCCAGCAGATCTACAATGTTCAGATGTCTGAACCTGCAGACAGCACACACACACATTAGCATTCTGCTGTTATACTCTGAAGCCCTGATGGGCGCAGAGCTACGCACTTAGACAGGTTCTCCACTTCAGTCTGGAAACTCTTCCTTAAACGGGTCCAGTCCATCTCGCTGTCCTGTGAACAACAACAGTTCCATTTAGCTTGAATAATCCACTGACTCTGAAGGCACTAATCACATAGATCCATTACACATAGAGTCAAATATTTCAAGCCCTTAGTACTGGGAACTCATGGTGCCACAAAACAATTAGCCAATTCACTCCAAGAGGTAGCCACCTCTGGATGACCGCTCCATGTTGGTCAGTAGGCGTTTCCTTCATGAGGAAGACCGTTGGCCACATGTCTAGGAGACAGCTACTGACATCCGCCAAAAGGAGGCGGAGCCACAACAGGTGTCTTATAAAGACGCTAGTTGCTCACTGCTGTAACCTGGCATATTCAGAGAAAATTAGCTGGAAGGAAAAAGTATGGCAGGAAACGGAACAGCAGGGAGAACCGCAGCGTTTGAGAGGATTGGTGAAGAAAATCCAAGAAATTAAAAGAAGTAAAGACCTGAAATACCTCAATCTATGTGTAATAAGTCATAATGAGGGGAACTACCTGTCTGCTTTGTACAAAATGTGGGGGGCTCTTCTGTGTTGGCCCAACACAGAAGAGCGCCCTCCTCTGGACAAGACTCTGCGGTACATCTACACCATATGGACGAAGGACATTGTTTGGAGGACCAGAATGTTCACATTTTGGACAAAGAAGACAGGTGGTTTGAGAGGGACGTGAAGGAAACCATTTATGTTAAGAAAGAAAAAACAACTTTAAATGTGGGGGGGGGGACTCAGATTTCAGCTTTCAAAAACCTCTAATGCAGCGATAGAGTTGATTCCTTCCCGCTATCATCGCAGCTCCAACCCCTTTACAGGAGAACAGAAGACCTCGCCTATTCAGCCAGGCCAGCAATTCCCTCTAACGACCCCCCTATCAGAGACATAGACAGGTATGGGGCATTGCAGGCTAACAAAGAAGCCAAACGACCCCCATTCCAAAAGGGGGGGACCCGTTCATCCGTTTCTATTTGCATGTTTTCTAAACTAAAACCAGGCTTTGTTGGGCTGCTGGATAAAACCTGGAACTAAACGCTATTTCTGACATTTGAAGTGAAAAAGCTTCCTGGATGGAAGAGAAACGTCTTCAAACCATTTGGGCAAAAATGGCCGCTCCCAGACTGAGCGATCGCAACAAAAATGTATCCGTCTGTCTGTGGGGCTGACCTGTCGCAGTCTCTTGACGGCACAGTCCATGTTCCTGAGAGACGCTCGGTAGACGACCCCAAAGCCTCCCTCTCCAACCTGAAGGCTGGGGGAGAAACCTTGCGTCCCAGCATGCACCTCTTCGTAAGACCAGCAGATGGCGGCGCTGACCAGGCTGTTAGAATAAGGTGGAGGGATGACATCATCGATCGCAGGGGCAGGTGGGTGCGGCTCCTGTTGGGAGATGATATCATGGATCAGGGCTGGTAGCAGGTTCTGGTTCCGTTCTGAGCCGATCCGTTGGTACAGACGGGTTCTGGACTTTCTCCGGTAATTCCAGGTTACGTCACCTGGGAGCGCTGGTGGTCCTCAGTGTGCAGATTGTCAGGGGGTGGCGCCGGTCCAGGAAGCGCTTTTCCTCCCTCTTCAACCAGACAGGAAGCTGAGGATTAGCACAGAATGACATCATCATTGTAACGGACCAATCAGGGCGTTGCTTTGTCGCTAGCGGTGAAGCGTCTCACCTGTGGGCAGAGCAGGCTCCTCCAGAGGAGGAGGAGGAGGAGGAGGAAGAGGAGGAGGAGGAAGGGCAGGCGGCGGGAAAGGAGTCACAGTCGGCCTCCCTGCAGAGAAACAGAGCTGAAGATGGTCTGTCCTTCAGGTCAGAGGTCAGAGGTCAGAGGTCACTCACAGCTGAGGATGACGTCCCGCGCTCTGAAGAGGTGCAGCTCCTCCAGCAGGTCGATCAGATCCCCGACCCGACCGTTCCGGTTCTCCCACTGGTTCATCACCCAGTCCGTCCGCCTCTCCCGCCGCTCCGCCAGGCGGACCGCCGTCTGGTCCCTGAGGACCTCTGAGGCTGCAGAGACAGGGGCCGGAACCGGGTCAGCATCCAGAACCAGGATCCCGATTAACACAAACTGATCAGAACCTTCCAACCAGAACCAAGCATACTGACAGAGACAGCAGGTCCAGCAGCACAGAACCAACCGTCCCCTCACCTCAGCCTGAGTAGGGTCAGAACCTCAGACCCAAAGCTACGTTTCCTATCGTTCTGCCTCACATTCTCACATCAGAAGGTTCCTGTTTCTCTGTTTGGCTCACTTCATGTTTCAGCGCAGAAAAACCTAAAGGTGGTAAAAGCTGCTTCAGAACCAAGAAAGGAGAACCCGACCCAGGAACCTTCAGAACCAACATCCACCAACGCAGAAAGTTCTGGGTTCTGCAACATCACTTCCTCTGAGAGTCAGAGGAGGTGCAGCCATGTGACCCGGTTTGATGATGAGCAGAAACCTACTGACTACCAGAACCAGTTCTGACCCGAATCATGGAAGGCTGGCAGACTTCTTTCATCTGAGGAAGATTGCAAAAATGAGAAATCTCCTTCAAGGCTGGACTATTGTAATTCTTTACTATCAGGAAGTCCACAAACTGTAGTTAAAAGCCTTCAGCTGATCCAAAATGCTGCAGCCAGAGTTCTAATGAAAATGAAAAAGAGAGATCATATCTCTCCTATCCTGGCTTCTCTTCATTGGCTTCCTGTTAAATCCAGAATAGAATTTAAAATCCTCCTTCTCACATATAAAGCCTTAAATGGCCAAGCTCCATCTGATATTAGAGATCTGATTGTTCCTTATGTTCCTAACAGAGCACTTCGCTCTCAATCTGCAGGTTTACTAGTGGTTCCTAGAATTTCTAAAAGTAGAATGGGAGGCAGATCTTTTAGTTCTCAGGCTCCTCTCCTGTGGAACCAACTACCAGTTTTAGTCCGTGAGGCAGACACCCTGTCTACTTTTAAGGCTAGGCTTAAAACTTTCCTTTTTGATAAAGCTTCTAGTTAGAGTGGCTCAGGTTATCCTGAGCTATCTCTATAGTTCTGCTGCTATAGGCTTAGACTGCTGGAGGACATAGGGACCCCTTTTTCATCATTCTGCTTCATTCTATCTCTATTCTCCCACTCTGCAGAATCTGTTAGTTCAATCTCTAACCTTCTGCTCTCTCTGCTTTTTCTCATAGTAGCTTCATCTGGTCTGTTCCTGTTTGGCTGTGACTCCATCCTGGAGAGAAATATCAGCTGTGCTGCTGCCATCAACACCTTTGTTTCTAGATGTTGGAGCTTGGCCTGTTTTCCAGTGTAGTCCTGTTTCTCTGACTGTGACTAACTGGATGTGCTCTCTTCATCCTCTGACATGGGAGCTGGATCGGAGCTCGTCTGCCTGGCTGTGTGTTTCCTGGACGGGGCCACCTTTTACAGTTGTATCTATGCTTCTTTTTCTATGTCTGCTTCTGTCTCCTTGAACCCCAGTGGGCCTCAGCAGATGGCCGCTCACACTGAGCCTGGTTCTGCTGGAGGTTTCTTCCTGTTCAAAGGGAGTTTTTCCTCTCCACTGTCGCTACAAGCATGCTTAGTGTGAGGGATTGCTGAAGAGTCAATGAGTCGATGCAATCAGCTGGTTTTCCTTAGAAAACTTTTATTTGGTACCAGATGTTCTTTCCCTGATCCTTAAGATAATCCACCTTCATCAGATAAACCATCAGAACTGTATGAAAAGCTTTACTAAATTAAATTTAAAGTTCCAACTTCTGGTTCATCGGTTCTGGTCATGAACACCTGAAAGCTGTTCTGAAAGAACCTCTGGTTCTGCTAATTAACATAATTCAGAGACTGAAACGAACTTTACTGGTTCTGCCGGACCAGAACCTAAACCATCCAAACAGAACCTGATCAGAACCTTTAGACAGACGGACCTGTTGACCACACACCCCCACCCTGCCTCTAACGGAACCAGAACCCCACCTGAACCCCAACCTGATCACGTGACTCAGCCCGGAACGTCTCTACACGACCCACGTGACTCCGTCCGGTTCGGCTGGTTCTGGGGCACCCGCAGCGGTCGGCTGGGCCCTGGTTGTTACTCACCGAACCGGGTCCAGTCCAGGTCCAGCAGTCCATCCATAACGCGGCAGAACTCCCAGTGGACCTTGGTGGGCAGCTGGTACAGGAAGTAGGCCCGCAGCTCTGACATGTTTCCGACCGAACCCCGCAGACCGGCTCACATCAGAACCGCTGCGTTTCAAACCTCGAATTGACCAACTTTAGAACTTCTGATTTGCGGCAACTTCCGGTAACAGAGCGAATAAGCGTCACGCACCCTGAGCTGCTTCCGGTGTCAAAATAAAAGCCCGGTTTCCGCCTCAGCTCTAAAAACCCAAACAGAACCTGAACAGGTCCAAAGAGCTGCATTAAGGTGCATTCAGAACCGGCCCATCACTCTGCTGTCAGCACAACTATAAGATTATTAAAGAAAAACGATCTAAAGGGGAGAAAAGTTCTTTAGAATATTTTGAGCCTGATATGAGGAAGTTGGTGGGTTCCGTCAGAACAAAGAGGATCGGATGAGTCAGAAAGTAAATAATGAACAAATGAAACAGATAAGATGTAGAACAGCAGGAACGCCAAGAAAAGACTGGAGATGTAGAAGGAAAATAAGTGGAGAATAGATGGGAACATGTGGAACAGAGGGAACATGCAGAGCAGAGGGAACATTTTGAATGGAGGGAACACGCAGAGCAGAGGGAACGTGAAACTAGGGAACATGTGGAGCAGAGGGAACCTATTGAACAGAGGGAACACGCAGAGCAGAGGGAACATGTGAAACTAGGGAACATGTGGAGCAGAGGGAACATGTGGAGCAGAGGGAATGTATTGAACAGAGGGAACATGTGGAGCAGAGGGAACATGTGAAACGAGGGAACATGTGGAGCAGAGGGAACATGTGGAGCAGAGGGAACGTATTGAACAGAGGGAACACGCAGAGCAGAGGGAACATGTGAAACCAGGGAACTTGTGGAGCAGAGGGAACATGTTGAAAGGAGGGGACATCTGAAACAGAGGGAACATTCAGAGCAGAGGGAACATGTTGAACAGAGGGAACATGTGAAACAGAGGGAACATGCAGAGCAGAGGGAACATGTGAAACGAGGGAACATGTGGAGCAGAGGGAACATGTGAAATGAGGGAACATGTGGAGCAGAGGGAACGTATTGAACAGAGGGAACACGCAGAGCAGAGGGAACATGTGAAACTAGGGAACATGTGGAGCAGAGGGAACATGTGGAGCAGAGGGAACATATTGAACAGAGGGAACATGTGAAACCAGGGAACTTGTGGAGCAGAGGGAACATGTTGAAAGGAGGGGACATCTGAAACAGAGGGAACATTCAGAGCAGAGGGAACATGTTGAACAGAGGGAACATGTGAAACAGAGGGAACATGCAGAGCAGAGGGAACATGTGAAACGAGGGAACATGTGGAGCAGAGGGAACATGTGAAATGAGGGAACATGTGGAGCAGAGGGAACGTATTGAACAGAGGGAACACGCAGAGCAGAGGGAACATGTGAAACTAGGGAACATGTGGAGCAGAGGGAACATGTGGAGCAGAGGGAACATATTGAACAGAGGGAACACGCAGAGCAGAGGGAACATGTGAAACCAGGGAACATGTGGAGCAGAGGGAACATGTTGAAAGGAGGGGACATCTGAAACAGAGGGAACATGTGAAACAGAGGGAACATGTGGAGCAGAGGGAACACGTGAAACCAGGGAACATGTGGAGCAGAGGGAACATGTGAAACCAGGGAACATGTGGAGCAGAGGGAACATGTGAAACAGAGGGAACATGTGGAGCAGAGGGAACATGTGGAGCAGAGGGAACGTATTGAACAGAGGGAACATTTGGAGCAGAGGGAACATGTGGAGCAGAGGGAACGTATTGAACAGAGGGAACATGCAGAGCAGAGGGAACATGTGAAACTAGGTAACATGTGGAGCAGAGGGAACGTATTGAACAGAGGGAACATGCAGAGCAGAGGGAACATGTGAAACTAGGGAACATGTGGAGCAGAGGGAACATGTTGAAAGGAGGGAACATGTGGAGCAGAGGGAACGTATTGAACAGAGGGAACACGCAGAGCAGAGGGAACATGTGAAACTAGGGAACATGTGGAGCAGAGGGAACATGTGGAGCAGAGGGAACATATTGAACAGAGGGAACATTTGGAGCAGAGGGAACATGTGGAGCAGAGGGAACGTATTGAACAGAGGGAACATGCAGAGCAGAGGGAACATGTGAAACTAGGTAACATGTGGAGCAGAGGGAACATGTGGAGCAGAGGGAACGTATTGAACAGAGGGAACATGCAGAGCAGAGGGAACATGTGAAACTAGGGAACATTTGGAGCAGAGGGAACATGTGGAGCAGAGGGAACGTATTGAACAGAGGGAACATGCAGAGCAGAGGGAACATGTGAAACTAGGGAACATGTGGAGCAGAGGGAACATGTGGAGCAGAGGGAACATATTGAACAGAGGGAACACGCAGAGCAGAGGGAACATGTGAAACCAGGGAACATGTGGAGCAGAGGGAACATGTTGAAAGGAGGGGACATCTGAAACAGAGGGAACATGTGAAACAGAGGGAACATGTGGAGCAGAGGGAACACGTGAAACCAGGGAACATGTGGAGCAGAGGGAACATGTGAAACCAGGGAACATGTGGAGCAGAGGGAACATGTGAAACAGAGGGAACATGTGGAGCAGAGGGAACATGTGGAGCAGAGGGAACGTATTGAACAGAGGGAACATGCAGAGCAGAGGGAACATGTGAAACGAGGGAACATGTGGAGCAGAGGGAACATGTGAAATGAGGGAACATGTGGAGCAGAGGGAACGTATTGAACAGAGGGAACACGCAGAGCAGAGGGAACATGTGAAACTAGGGAACATGTGGAGCAGAGGGAACATGTGGAGCAGAGGGAACATATTGAACAGAGGGAACACGCAGAGCAGAGGGAACATGTGAAACCAGGGAACATGTGGAGCAGAGGGAACATGTTGAAAGGAGGGAACACGTGAAACCAGGGAACATGTGGAGCAGAGGGAACATGTGAAACCAGGGAACATGTGGAGCAGAGGGAACATGTGAAACCAGGGAACATGTGAAACAGAGGGAACATGTGAAACAGAGGGAACATGTGGAGCAGAGGGAACACGTGAAACCAGGGAACATGTGGAGCAGAGGGAACATGTGAAACCAGGGAACATGTGGAGCAGAGGGAACATGTGAAACAGAGGGAACATGTGGAGCAGAGGGAACATGTGGAGCAGAGGGAACGTATTGAACAGAGGGAACATGCAGAGCAGAGGGAACATGTGAAACTAGGGAACATTTGGAGCAGAGGGAACATGTGGAGCAGAGGGAACGTATTGAACAGAGGGAACATGCAGAGCAGAGGGAACATGTGAAACTAGGTAACATGTGGAGCAGAGGGAACATGTGGAGCAGAGGGAACGTATTGAACAGAGGGAACATGCAGAGCAGAGGGAACATGTGAAACTAGGGAACATGTGGAGCAGAGGGAACATGTTGAAAGGAGGGAACATGTAGAGCAGAGGGAACATGTTGAAAGGAGGTAACATCTGAAACAGAAGGAACATACAGAGCAGAGGGAACATGTTAAACAGAGGGAACATATTGAACATAGGGAACACGCAGAGCAGAGGGAACATGCGGAATGAGGGAACATGTGGAACAAGGGAACATGTTGAACGGAGGGAACATGTAGAGCAGAGGGAACATGTGGAACAGGGAACATGTTGAACGGAGGGAACATGTAGAGCAGAGGGAACATGTGGAACAGGGAACATTTTGAAAGGAGGGAAGATCTGAAACAGAGGGAACATGCAGAGCAGAGGGAACAAGTGGTACAGAAAGCGCCAGCAAACCGATCATTTGCTGGATGAGGCTAGTTTTTACTCTGCTTGATGATCATTCAGACTCATCATTAGACCGTCCCTTAATGTTCCTCCAGAGTCAGTGATTGCAGCCCCTTCCTCTCTGTTCTGTTGGGTTGTGGAACAGAACTACCACATTTACACTGGATCTAGCGGCTGAAAGTCTGGGGCTTTTATTTTGTAACAGGAACTGCCAGGGCTTTTTCTGTAATGTAACCAAATGACTAATTTCCTGTCAGACTTTACCAGCAGCATACACACCCACAGCTGCAGCTCCGGGGTTCTGTATGATCGGCTGGCTGCTCAGGCCAAAGGGGGGTCCAGTCCAGTTGGTTCTGAAATCAGAACCAGAGGTGGCAGCTGGAAACCAAAAGGCTTTCTTACTGGAGCACATCTCTCCACTATCTGTGTCACATTTGGATCTGTTCAGAACCGAAGCAGACCTTTAAAAAACCAGAACCTGGTTACTGATCCATCCGTCAGAGAGAGCAGGTCCTGGTTGAATGGATCTCTCTGTGTTTTAGGATGTCTGGAAGGTTCTCCATCTCAGAACCCTAAGCGGTTCCGTCACCATCAAAGTTCCTGCTGCTCCTTCACTGCTTGTGTCAGTTTGGCCTAAAGACCCATAAAAGTAATCATTTCTACATGATTAAAGATAAACTGATGTAAAAGTTTGTTTTATCATAAAACTGTTATTATTATTATTATGTTTATATAGAACATAAACAAGTAGATTCATTGTTCCCGAGGGCCCTCCAGCTCCCCTGGGGCCCAAAGTAGTTGCTGAGCTTGTTTTTGCCCGGGGACGGCCCTGTTCCTAGCAGTCTCTGAGATTTCCGGCTCCAACATAATGGAGGTCCCTGCACAGGATTACGTCCAGGATTGCTGCTGGACTCCCCGCCCAGTGGAGGAACAAGAAGATTAGAAGGAAATGATCCAAGCCCATACCATGATACCACCTCCTACAGGGTTTATACAGGAATGAGTAACTCTTATTTAATGCTATTTTAATGCTCTTAGAAATTATTTTAATGCCATTAACAAGTACCCATGACACACATATATATATGGAAAAATCTTTCATCATCTTCACCATCTACAGGCTGCAGCCATGTCCCGAATTCCTCGTTTTCCAGCCACTATTGTTGAAATTTGCATTCTCTAATAGTCTGATCCTTCCAGATCTGATTACAAAACTGAGTCAAACCAGAACTGTTGAATAGTTGTTGCCATCTTTCTGTTGTGCTTTCTCCAATGTGGTGCAGCTTTGTCGTCACGCCCTCAAAACCCCGCCCGCTTTTCATCCAGAAATTCAAAACACATCTCTGCGTTGTGATTGGCCCACCAGTTCTAGGGCCTGGGGCATTGATGGAGGCTAGACCACTGCAGGCAAAAAGGATTTTGGCCGCTGGTGGGTGGGGCTAGTTTACTAGGCTATCGTGATATAATATATCTGACGAAAGAGTTTTTATTAACGTTTTTTTTTAAATAAAGCATTTTAAATGCCATGATAATCAGATTTAATGAATTTTAATGCCAATTAAAGGCCTTAATTTAAGGAATAATAAATGAATGAGTTTTAATGATTTTTAATGACCTGCGGAAACCCTGTCCTATGGACCGTTCGTCCGTTCAATTTGCATGTTTTCTAAACAAAAACCAGGCTTTGTTGGGCTATTAAATTAAAGCCTGGAACTCGAAACTGTTTCTGACATTTTGAATTGAAAAAACTTCCTGGATGGGAGAGAAACGTCTTCAAACTTGGAAACAAAGTCCAGCGGATTGATTTTTAACTTTTTTTTGGAATGACTCTGACCTGGATGACTGAGAATCTTCACCAGCACAGTCCTCAGGGCAGTTTAGAGAGAGCATTCGACCTCCATGTTCTCCTTAGGGAGTACCCAGAGAGAGCCCATGCCTGACAAGGAGGACATGCAAACTACACCCAAGGCTGGAAAAAAAAAAAAACAGAACCCACTTCCTGTGAGGAGACAGATCTACCCATAGATGTCCATAATAAAGGCTAGATGTCTCGTCCGCGCTGCTGGCCAATGGGGGTCGACGTCCGCACGTGGCGGCCATCTTGCCACAGGCAGCTCGCTCATTCGTAACATTGTGTTTTAAAGGCGCATGTACTGAAATAACCATAACTTCCTCAATTGTCTAACGATTCTCAAACTGTTTGGTTTGTTAAACAAAAGTCAGACATGTAGTTATGATACTGCGCACTTATGAATAATTATAACCATGGAATTTCATATGAAAAGAACATTGAATAGAACATACAGGTGCAATAAATATACACATGCACAAGGTATTTGTGTTAAATCAATATATGCTATTAAAACTCAGTGTACTGAATGGCAACATGATATATAGATATATCTATAGATATCTATATATATATAAATATGTGTATATATTGGAAGATGCCAGACTTTTGCTATGACATAATAGTATTACAAGACTGTTGTTGACTCAAAGCTTTTATAAGTTTGTATTAGTTTCATTTGGACAACTTAAAGATGGTGTTGTGCCAAACATTTTCAACTTTCCAGCTCATCTTCAAAGGGCATGTGTATCATTGAAATTTAATCACATATTGATATACCAATCTTATACACCGTGAATTGTTGTTGGTCACTTTTGTTTTTGTTTCTGCAGGTTATATAATGTGTAAGCAGGAGGAGAAGATCGTCCATCCCCGTTTGCTGACATTCCTGCACTAGTACATGACCACAGCTACCTTCCTGTCCGCTTTGATGGCCTTGTGGACAACGGTCTCTTGTACATTACACAGAAGCTCAATAAAACCTTCCTTTTCAAAGGGCATTAGCCAAGCTATGTTTTTTGGGTCATTTTTTAAATCTCTGTCTTCCATGTGTATACCATCACAGTAGTGTAGGTGGGGATTTCAACATGCTACATCTATATACTTGTGAAGGGGACTATTGTACCAATTTTAAAAGCAAATAAATGTCACTTTTATAATGGTTTAAAAATAGGAACTTTTGTGTAATTACCCCTGATATATAATCCGAATAGTCTACAAGAAACTTCAAAGTGTTACCTTTAATTTGAAACCTGGATTATGCTTCTACACCAAGAGGTTGCCACACAATAAGCCTTTTTTGTTAGTATTTCATATTTTATTATAACAATAATATTCATATTATAAAAGTATGTATGTAAATATATATAAATTAGGACTGTGAAATAATTAATCACACACCCAAAATACACCCAAATAAAAGTATTTATTTATATATATCTATAGATATCTATATAGATATATATCTATATAAATATCTATAGATAGATATATATAGATCTATATATAGATATATATAGATCTATATATAGATATAGATCTATTTATAAATAGATATAGATCTATATCTATATATAGATATCTATATAGATATAGATAGATATCTATATAGATATAGATCTATATAGATATCTATATATAAATATATTTAGATATAGATCTTTATCTATATATAGATATCTATCTATATAGATATCTATATGAATATCTATATCTATATAGATAGATATCTATAGATATATCTCTCTATATATGTTGCCATTCAGTACACTGAGTTTTAATAGCATATATTGATTTAACATAAATACCTTGTGCATGTGTATATTTATTGCACCTGTATGTTCTATTCAATGTTCTTTTCATATGAAATTCCATGGTTATAATTCTTCATAAGTGCGCAGTATCATAACTACATGTCTGACTTTTGTTTAACAAACCAAACAGTTTGAGAATCGTTAGACAATTGAGGAAGTTATGGTTATTTAAGGACATGCGCCTTTAAAACACAATGTTACGAATGAGCGAGCTGCCTGTAGCAAGATGGCCGCCACGTGCGGACGTCGACCCCCATTGGCCAGCAGCGCGGACGAGACATCTAGCCTTTATTATGGATATCTATGTATGGATCTACCAACCCACTGCGCCACAGTTCAGCCATCTACTCCAGTATGACTTCTTTTTATTTTTGATACAAATGGAACCCCATACTCCAGTACTATACGCTCTGCTACCATCTGCTGTTCGAACTTGGTATTGGAACAAACTAACGGAACCGCAGCCTGGAATCCGAACAATGATGATGATGGTAGTTATATGTTGTATTGGGTTATGATCTTCATAATAAATCCATCAAATTATAATTAGAAAACTTAAATAAAAAAGGAACTGATTACAAAAAGAGCCTTCATCTTGTTCTCTGTTTCTGATTGGTTGATCTGAATGCCTGTTACTGTGGTTCTGTGATAGACTGCTGCAGTGTCCAAGTGCTGCCCGCCCCTCACTCAACAGTTTGGGCCACAGGTTTGAATCAGGAAATGGACTTCTCTGTTTCACCGGCTCATCCAAGTGTTTAAGGGGAAGCTGAGTGAGAAGCTCAGAACCTGACAGACACATCTGGATTTCTGGGGGGAAAAAGGGGGGGTCCCTATGTCCTCCAGCAGTCTAAGCCTATAGCAGCAGAACTATAGAGATAGCTCAGGATAACCTGAGCCACTCTAACTAGAAGCTTTATCAAAAAGGAACGTTTTAAGCCTAGCCTTAAAAGTAGACAGGGTGTCTGCCTCACGGACTAAAACTGGTAGTTGGTTCCACAGGAGAGGAGCCTGAGAACTAAAAGATCTGCCTCCCATTCTACTTTTAGAAATTCTAGGAACCACTAGTAAACCTGCAGATTGAGAGCAAAGTGCTCTGTTACGAACATAAGGAACAATCAGATCTCTAATATCAGATGGAGCTTGGCCATTTAAGGCTTTATATGTGAGAAGGAGGATTTTAAATTCTAACTCTGGCTGCAGCATTTTGGTTCAGCTGAAGGCTTTTAAGTTGGACCTGAACTGGAGGATGTAGATTAATGATGATCTGAAACAAGGACCAGCTGCCCTGGACTCCTCATCATCTGCCAGAACGTTGCTCATTTGAATCTTTGTGGAAGAAAGGCAGCATCCCTGTGAGGTTCTGGGAGGAGATTCATAAACAGAGGAGGTTCTGAGGCTGGAGGACTTTCAGTTTCTGAGAGCAAATAAAGAAATGGCAGAAAAAGAAAAAAAGAGAGTAGCAGGTATAAAAGTAGACCAAAGGTCAGGCAGTTCTGAGGCAGAAAGGTCAGAGGGATGGAGGAGGATCTGCTGGGGTTCAGGAGGACCGATGGATGGACAGGATGAGATGTGTAAGTGGGCACCGAGAGGAAGAAATTAATTTCCAAGCGGCCCATGAACGTCTCATTCGAATCGTCACTAAGCTCTGTTCTGGGCTGAGCCGCTTAAGACTAGGTTCTCGCGATGTTTTGCTGCTGACGGAATACAGCGAAGATGTTTGGAGTTTTTTAATATAAAATTATTTATTTAAATAAAAATGGCCGCCGTGGAGCGCGGAGCGGACAAACTGTAAGTGTTTTTAATCCTTCATCCTCCTTTTTCACGGGTTCGTGCTGAGATTCAGCGCCATCGTTTCCTCCGCAGAGCTTTATGACACAAAGTGCGCAGATTTTCACCCCGGGCCGTCTCTGCGGAGCGGGGTTAGCGGGAATAACGTCACATATTCAGCCCGGACCGAAGCTCATCGGAGCCCCGCTGCTGGAGCTCCGGAGGGCCGCTCAGGGCTCCGCGCTGCCCGTGGAGGAGCTGCGCAGGCTGGGCAGAGGGGCGGGGAGTGACGGGAAGACCGGGGAGGCTTCGGGGCTGCAGCTCCGTCACAGCTAGCTAGCTAGCTACTGATGTTATGCGCACATGCACGCGCTCCATAATAACCCGGCTCCCCCCCACCGGAAGCTCAGCGTAAACTGTTAAAGAGCTGCTGCTGCCGGGTGCCGCTGAGCAAGAGTATGCGCGTACGCGAAGGCGCGTGCCCCCTGCGGTTTCAGAAAGTCAGCAGCTTACTTCCTGTTCTGGTAGAAACAGTTTGAACCTGGAAAGAGTTTTCTATGGAAGCCCGTTTCCGCCACTCTGTAAAAAAAAAAAAAAAATAACTATCTCAATATAATGAGATAGTATCTCATTATAATGAGATAGTATCTCAATATAATGAGATAGTATCTCATTATAATGAGATAGTATCTCAATATAATGAGATAGTATCTCATTATAATGAGATAGTATCTCAATATAATGAGATAGTATCTCATTATAATGAGATAGTATCTCATTATAATGAGATAGTAACTCAATATAATGAGATAGTAACTCAATATAATGAGATAGTAACTCAATATAATGAGATAGTAACTCAATATAATGAGATACTATCTCATTATAATGAGATAGTAACTCAATATAATGAGATAGTATCTCATTATAATGAGATAGTAACTCAATATAATGAGATAGTAACTCAATATAATGAGATACTATCTCATTATAATGAGATAGTAACTCAATATAATGAGATAGTATCTCATTATATTGAGATAGTTTTTTTTTTTTTTTTTTAAGTTAAAATTGAGTATTTTTGGTCAATAGCTCCCAGATCATGTGACCTATTGACCCAAAATCAGTGTGTAATTGTTCTACTAGTCTCTGTAGATGGGGCACACTCATTTGTTTTTCATTTTAACTCTTTTTTTATTTTTTAGCAATTTTTTAAGTTAAAATTGAGTATTTTTCGTCAATAGCTCCCAGGTCATGTGACCTATTGACCCAAAATCAGTGTGTAATTGTTCTACTAGTCTCTGTAGATGGGGCACACTCATTTATTTTTCATTTTAACTCTTTTTTTTATTTTTTACCAATTTTTTAAGTTAAAATTGAGTATTTTTCGTCAATAGCTCCCAGGTCATGTGACCTATTGACCCAAAATCAGTGTGAAATTGTTCTACTAGTCTCTGTAGATGGGGCACACTCATTTGTTTTTCATTTTAACTCCTTTTTTTTTTTTTTTTTTTTAGCAATTTTTTAAGTTAAAATTGAGTATTTTTCGTCAATAGCTCCCAGGTCATGTGACCTATTGACCCAAAATCAGTGTGAAATTGTTCTACTAGTCTCTGTAGATGGGGAACACTCATTTGTTTTTCATTTTAACTCCTTTTTTTTATTTTTTACCAATTTTTTAAGTTAAAATTGAGTATTTTTCGTCAATAGCTCCCAGGTCATGTGACCTATTGACCCAAAATCAGTGTGAAATTGTTCTACTAGTCTCTGTAGATGGGGCACACTCATTTGTTTTTCATTTTAACTCCTTTTTTTTTTATTTTTTAGCAATTTTTTAAGTTAAAATTGAGTATTTTTCGTCAATAGCTCCCAGGTCATGTGACCTATTGATGCAAAATCAGTGTGAAATTGTTCTACTAGTCTCTGTAGATGGGGCACACTCATTTGTTTTTCATTTTAACTCCTAGCTAAAAAAGGAGCTAAAAAAGGAGCTAAAAAAATAAAAAAAGAGTTATAATGAAAAACAAATGAGTGTGCCCCATCTACAGAGACTAGTAGAACAATTTCACACTGATTTTGCATCAATAGGTCACATGACCTGGGAGCTATTGACCAAAAATACTCAATTTTAACTTAAAAAATTGGTAAAAAATAAAAAAAAACTATCTCATTATAATGAGATAGTAACTCAATATAATGAGATAGTATCTCATTATATTGAGTTACTATCTCATTATATTGAGATAGTTTTTTTTTTTTTTTTTACAGAGTGGCGGAAACGGGCTTCCATAGTTTTCTAAGAACAGAAATAGAAAACTAAAGATTCTGAAGCGGGTTCTACCAAGATGCTCAGTGAGAGGGGGATTTAGCTTTAGACAATACTAGGCAGTTGCCATAGCAACACTATGTTTACATGTATGGTTAATACAACTATTACTCATTTGTGCACATTTATTATTTTTTTGTGATAAAATGCCATCAGAACGCTGATAATATTAAGTGTGTCTCAGCCCCCCCCCTTCAGTGTCCACCATATTGGATCAGTCCATTTGCTGCACATGTTCAGAAAGGTCCAAACAGACAGCAGCAAACCATTTGAAAACAAACCATGCAAAGAGCAGTGTTGCTAACTTAGCGCTTTAGTCGCTATATTTAGCCACTTTTCAGACCCCTCTAGCACTTTGATTTCTAAAAAGCTCCTAGCGCAAAACCTAGCGACTTTTTTCTGCTACTGGAGACTTTGGAGACAACATCTAAAAGCAGCGAACTCTGCTCTCCAGAGCGAGTAGATTGGTAACCCCGCCTCCTGCTCTCCTCTATCTTGTCTGCTGTCATGATTCATGCAGCTATTATTTCATCCAAATGAAAAATGGAGAACAGATAAGCAGATCATGGCTTGTCTACAGTGAAAAGAAGGACTGGGTTATTTACTTTGGCCTTTTTGGAAACACAGGAAGGAGCAATCAGCTAAGTGAGCTTAGTGCTTGGAAAAAATCTTTCATTCCTTTAGAGACAGCATGAAAAGTCAGCTGAGTACAAAACATAGAGAGGAAAACAAGAAGAAAAGGGACAAGAAGAGAGGGACACAACCTAGAACAGATAATGGATGTCTATTCTATTAACATTTCTCTATCTGTAGAATGGGGCCGTTCTATATGTTGTCTTCTCTGTTCAGAGGGCCCCCTGCCTGTATTTGCCAGGGGCCCCCAAATTTCCTAAATCCGTCCCTGTGCTTAGGGGAGAAAAAGTATTTAGCCCTTAACTGTTTCCTTTTGGGTTTTTTATCAATTAGGAAAAATATATCCAGATTGACCTGAACAGAACCTGTCTGACAACAGGAAGTAGGATAAACAACATTATTAGGTCCTGATTGAATGAACAGATAAGAAGTAAACAGTGATATTATCTCCCAGGAAGGATTACAGATCAGTTTCTACGAATCTGGGACTACAGGGAACCACAGATAGAACCTTTTTCACATAGAAAGAACATGAAACCTTCCACAGATAATCTGAGCAATCAAACTAGAACTTTATCCAAATTTTGGCCTTGAGTTTAACTGATATTTTTATTATTTGGCTCTGATTCAAGCTATCAACTAGTTATTTTTTTGTTGTAAAAAATTACTTTCTTCAGATGCAGGTAAAGATTCTCAGTCATCCAGGTCATAGTCTTTTCAGAAAAGTAAAAAATCAATCCACTGGACGTTGTTTCCAAGTTTGAAGACGTTTCTCTTCCCATCCAGGAAACTTTTTCAGTTCAAAATGTCAATTTTGAGTTTTTAAACCAACTTTAAACAGAGGGGGGGTGGACTCAGATTTCAGCTTTCAAAAACCTACAATTCAGCAACTGAGTTGATTCCTTCCAGCTATCATCGCAGCTCCAACCCCTTTACAGGACAACAGAAGACCTCACCTGTTCATCCAGGCCAACTATTCCCTCTAACGACCCCCCTTTCAGAGACATAGACAGGTATGGGGCATTGCAGGCTAACAAAGCAGCCAAACGACCCCCATTCCAAAGGGGGGGACCGGTTCATCCGTTTCTATTTGCATGTTTTCTAAACTAAAACCAGGCTTTGTTGGGCTGCTGGATAAAACCTGGAACTAAACGCTATTTCTGACATTTGGAATGAAAAATCTTCCTGGATGGAAGAGAAACGTCTTCAAACCTGGAAACAAAGTCTAGTGGATTGATTTGAACTTTTTTTAAATGACTTTCTTCAGATATACTCGATCACCTCTAAACCCTGGTCTTGATGTATTTTCTTAATTTGGTGGAGATCATCGTATAATCAAGTTAAAACTGTGCTTGAAGATGCCTCCACCTGCATCCCATCAGGCCGCTGCTCAGAGTCAGGTTCATTGTTTTAAATAAAACCGAACGTTCCAGCTTGTTTCCTAGACACCAGAAAGAAAACGTTCTCCAGGTTGCCTGACACAATCTAATGTGAAATGAAGGAACAAGAAAAACAAAGTTTATCTGAGGCTGCCTGCATTCCTAGACTGGACAGGGAGGGATTTGATCCAACAAACTGATTCGGATTACTAACCAGTTCAGTCAGTTTTAATGAATGTTACAGACTGGTTCCAAGTTCAACACGAAGAAATCTCCACCAGAATTAGAACCAGACTCCGTAGAGCTTCTTTAAGGGCTCATTTCGCTTAACTCACAAACAATAAGTGTGGAAAATAAGTTGCCAGTATTTGTTTTCTGGTTTCCCCTATTCTGGCTGACAACACCAGACCACATGAGGAAGCAGAAAACTGACGTTTACAACTTTATCAAAGCTTCCTCATGCAGTTTAAGACTAAAGGGTGGTTTATGCTCAGAAACCAGGTCGTCTACGTGAGAGAGAGAAAGGAGGCTTCTGATTGGTCAGTTCTCCATCCGCTCTACACTATGGGTATTTCCTGTTTGGTACCTAACGGCAGAAACTCTGGCTGTAGTGCCATCCACAGCACCTGGCTCACCTTGGACTCTATCCCAGACACCGTGCAGGACGCTAGTTTGTAGCTCTG